ATGACAATTCTGTAGTCACGGTAATGACAAATGCATGTAATATTTTACCACTTATGCAGACAAAACGCTATCACCGGAAGGAGCACAAGGAAGTACTTATCCCTCAGCCAAATGTAATCCAGCAATATAATAAATATATGGGTGGGGTAGATCTCCATGATAATGGTATCTCCAACTATCGCATCGGAATAACAGGTAAAAATGGTGGTGGCCTTTGTTTACTAATATGATAGGCAGCATGGTGGTAAACAGTTGGAAAATCTATAATATAGCGAATGAATTCAAAATGTCATAAGTAGAATTTCGCTCGAACTTAGCACTCTCCTTGCTAAAGCATGACGGAAAGAAAGAGAATATAGATGTTACTTTAAATACTACAGTATCCAGTTCAAACAATGGAAGACCCTCTAAATCTGCTCTTCCAGCTAATATGGAATTTCACAACATTGGACATATCATAATTGGGGAGGTTAATAGTGTAAGGAAAACGTGTCGATTTTGCAAAAGTAACAGTATTTATCTGTGTAAAAGTGCATTTGCACCCAGACTGCTTTGAAAATTTCCACTTAAAAAAATTAATTTTCTTTGTAATATTATTAACTGTTTTTGACCAAGCGTGCGTATACGCACCCACAATTTTTTCTCCAACAACTATGTTCAGAATTTTTTTTTTTTTTGAAATAAGTCTTAATTTATGCATTTTAAATACACTTTATTAAAAAAAATATAAATATATCTTGTTTTACTTGTCTTGGCCCGTAATGGGTTAAACAAGACAAGTGTGAACGAAGTCTATATTCATGATAAACAGATGGTCAACAAAAACTAACTCCATATTAATACATTGATACATATGCACAAACAAGATGAGTGGCATTTATACCGAAATATAATCACAGCATTGTGTTCAATTGCTAATAGTGCTAAACCAGATAAGATACATGTAACTTAGTTTTACTAAATGTGTTTAGTCCGATTCCTAATAGTATTTCTGTCAAAACAAGATAAAGGCCAGAACACCACTTATTTTTATGAAAGTATTTGTTGAAATACTTCCAACATTTTGCCTAAACCATTTGTTTTGCCTAGAGCCGTCTCTGGCCTCGTTCGATTGTTCCGAAATCGAAAAGGTGATTACGTCACCCTTTCTTTTCAAGATACAGCTAACCTTCAAAAATCAATGGATTATAACACATGATGCCCGAATAGCCATGGTAAATGATTGATTGGTCAAGCTGTAAAGAGTGATTGGTCAAGTCGTAACTAGTGGGGATGCTACGCTCATCTCCATATTGTTTGCCAGCATTTCTTAAATCATCGAAATACCAGCTTTTCGCATTGCTTGAAAAACCCAAGCCATACCGGCAGAGGAATGCCTAAAAGGATGAAAAACGGATCTGAAAATACTTATAAAAAAAGTGCTTGTATCCAATAATGTTAAAGACATTTCTTGAACCTTTCACAGAAGCTAGTGACACGTACATTGAATATTATGACTTGCAAAGTGCACATGGATTCTTGTGTGCGAACTCGACACGATACGTATCGAATAGAGAGATTTTGTAGTTGTAGTTGTGATGTTTTTTCTCCTTTTTTTGTTCCCAATCGATAGATTCTTAGTTTATATGTGTAAAGACTTGTTTTAAATTCTTTTTTTTTTTTTTCATTGGAGTTATTGTTTATTAAATAGTGCTTTTACTGATTTTTTATTTCATTTTATACTTTTGAAGAGCGTTTTCTCGAAACTCGAAAAATGTAAGTTTTCTTGTTTTTGCAGTTTTGTGGTTTTTTTATTAGAGGTTCCCACTAACTAAATAAAGAGTCATCATCCAAAGATATTGCGGCCCGTGTAACATAGCAAACATACGTATGTGGCCCGAACGAAGAAAAGGTTGAGTATGGCTGATTTAAAGCATATGAATATTCATAATATTCAGAATAAGAGTAAATGTATAAGATACATGTACACATTGTATACTTTGATCTTATATGCTCTCGAAGTAGATGTAGATTCAGATTTAGACGAGGTTCCCTAGAAAGAAAATATAGTAGACAATGATAATATATATTAACTTGGTCCTGGACTGCTAAGCGAGTATGCTCAAATTTAAATACCCACTAGAATGAAAGAAAAGAAATAGCAATAGAAATACCAGTTAACAAAAAAAGAAATATTAAATCAAAGCTTGAAATGACAAAACGTTCTTGGGAACCGATTCAGTTTAATTTTTAACAATTAAAAATAAAATGAACGCTCTGCCTAATATAGTAGAAGAGATGAGAGCATCAGGAGGTAGCACTATTGACTTTTTCAAATTATTCTGGCCGTTAGAGTTTGTGGAAGTAATATATACCTACCAAATTATAAAAAATATTTCAAATTACAAAGACGAAAATGAGGCTTTTCGAGTAACTCCTGAATAATTTTATGTTATTAAAGTAAATGTAATATTGAACTGTTTTATGCCTTATCATACAAGCCATACATATTCTTCATCATTACCAGTTTTGTATAAATCTTTGTGTACGGTACTCAATAAATATTGTTTCACGAAAGCCTTCCGTATGAATATTTAGACATTCCCTAATTTGTCTATGTATAAACATATGTTTGAAAGTTTTATATTTTTGCGTTCTATCCTATGATTAGTAGGACAACTGAGTAAAAACATTTTTCAATCAATATACAGGGGGTCAGGCTCTGATGGGTTAAGATATAATTTGCAAGACGTGTGTCTTTTTTTCCATCGGTGAGACCTTGAACGCCTTGTGTTGGATTCAGTTTATTTATGGTTGACCGTTGAAATAAATAACAGTTGACATTTTGGATTAAAATTTGTGTTTATAATTTTGTTTGAATATACCTTTATACTTTAGTTTGAAATTGTGTATTTTTAAAAGTCCATTTTTCGGGTTTTCCCACAATAGAACAATTAAATAATTAATTCCTCCTTAATTTCTGCAATCAAGCTGTCAGTTTTCACATCTAAATCCGAAAAACCACACATAGCCCAATCGGATTAGTATTTTAGATTCTGAAAAATTCGAAGCAGCAATTTTCCTTCGGAATTCGTTGGAGGGGGTCTCTGGTAGTCTAAATTCAAAAAGTTGGGATTCCAAAGTTGTCGTTACCTCCGCCATCTTGATTTAAAGGGTTATTTTTTGTATCTTGAATAACTCATTTATTTTCAATTTTACACGGAAAATAGTTTTTACAAAAGTTATTTAAAATTAAATTTCCTACAATTCTGCTTTTTTTGTACGATCGATTTTTTTCGATTTATACCCGAAAAGAGGGGGTGAATTTTTGGTTATAGAATAACTCGTTTATTTTCAATTTTACGAGAAAAATTGTTATAAACACAGTTGTTTAAAATTAAATTTCCTACAATTCTGCTTTTTTTTTGTACGATCGATTTTTTTCGATTTATAACCGAAAAGAGGGGGTGAATTTTTGGTTATAGAATAACTCGTTTATTTTCAATTTTACGAGAAAAATTGTTATAAACAAAGTTGTTTGAAATTAAATTTCCTACAATTCTGCTTTTTTTTTGTACGATCGATTTTTTTCGATTTATAACCGAAAAGAGAGGGTGAATTTTTGGTTATAGAATAACTCGTTTATTTTCAATTTTACGAGAAAAATTGTTATAAACAAAGTTGTTTAAAATTAAATTTCCTACAATTCTGCTTTTTTTTTGTACGATCGATTTTTTTCGATTTATACCCGAAAAGAGGGGGTGAATTTTTGGTTATAGAATAACTCGTTTATTTTCAATTTTACGAGAAAAATTGTTATAAACAACGTTGTTTAAAATTAAATTTCCTACAATTCTGTTTTTTTTTTGTACGATCGATTTTTTTGTATTTATCCCTGAGAAGAGTGGGGGTAAACCTAAGTATTGTATTGTCACGTTTATTATTGATGTTGTACCAATATTTTTTCTGTTTGTTTTTTTTTTGCTGATTTTCAAAAATGTTATTTGGTACAATTATGATTCCGATTTTTTCTAAGAGTTTACCCCCACTCTTCTCAGGGATAAATACAAAAAAATCGATCGTACAAAAAAAACAGAATTGTAGGAAATTTAATTTTAAACAACTTTGTTTATAACAATTTTTCTCGTAAAATTGAAAATAAACGAGTTATTCTATAACCAAAAATTCACCCCCTCTTTTCGGGTATAAATCGAAAAAAATCGATCGTACAAAAAAAAAGCAGAATTGTAGGAAATTTAATTTTAAATAACTTTTGTAAAAACTATTTTCCGTGTAAAATTGAAAATAAATGAGTTATTCAAGATACAAAAAATAACCCTTTAAATCAAGCTGGCGGAGGTAACGACAACTTTGGAATCCCAACTTTTTGAATTTAGACTACCACAGACCCCCTCCAACGAATTCCGAAGGAAAATTGCTGCTTCGAATTTTTCAGAATCTCAAGCCTGTTCTTCACCTAATCCGATTGGGCTAACATTGAAACTGATAGATTTGTGTTGCATCGATTGCAGCAACATTGGATAAAAAGACAGTGCTGTTAGTTCATCATTGATAGATTGATGAAAAAAAAAAAGACAGGTACCGATGCCAAAGTTGCTGTTACAGTTGAATAAAAAGACACACATAAGGCTAGCTTAAAATATTTTATTGCAACATAATCCTAGAAATATAACGTTATTTACAATACATTTTCAGTTATTTATTTGAATTTAACTGAAATCTAAGAGTTTTTTTACATATATACAAACATAACTACAACTAGGAATAGTCATTTTTTTATATAAATGTGAAATAAAAGTAATGGAAAGTATCAACCGTAAGCCATACATTGTTATTGACTATACATTTTACAGAACTGAAAATTATTCACCAGTAATTTTTTTTCATTTCAATAATTGTGCATGATGTAAATTACTTTTTGCATTGCTCCTATTTTAATAAGGCAATATCTATAAATCATGTTTCTACAGATTACTGATTTTACATTTTATTTTTTTCAGCAAAAGAAAACATCCTATTTGGTTTCTTATGTACTCTTATCCATAGTTTCTCTAATATTTTCCATTCTAACAGTTAGCGATCTACAGTGGGAAGAACATGTATCAATTAGAAGAGGTATAACTATATTTTTCAGTGGACTAGTGTTTTTTCCCTTTTTGTATCTTGCCTTGAATAATATTTTTCTACATACAAACTCAGGAAGAAAAATTATCAAGACTTATAAACTCAGTTACAGTGACATTTATGACATCAGTAACAAGTAAGTTTTGATTTGTATTTTATTTTTGAGACATAACATTTATTTGTTAAGATTAAATTAGAAATAAATACAATTTTTCATTTGAAATCAAGTATATTATTTCTGAGGACTTTTTTGACTTAGAATCACAAAAACAAAAATAATGTCATCAGTGAAATTATAAATCAAAATCACCTAGCACTATTTATAAAACCTTGTAAATACATTAGATTTTCATAGGTAAAAACCAGTTAGTTGTAAATATTTAGTCTCGTACACAGTGTTTGATAGCTAAATTATAAAAATGTTTTCCATGTAGAAATCAAAGATTATAAGCCTATACTCGACTATTCAACTTGTACTTTTTACAAAAAAAAATTTTTTTTGAATATAATAATCCTTTTATAATACTGTATTATATTATGTTACATTGGTGACATTTGGACTTTAATAGACACAATGTTACATTTTTAATTATAAGTCCAGTCTAGTAACCCTAGTTAAGGACGGGGTACCCTTCAAATTTCTGAACGTTTTTACACCAAACAATAATGCAAAAAAATTACAGAAATCTGTAACTGTAAATATCGTGTATTAGGGGTATTGCGGTATTACAAACCGGTTTGTAAGGTGTTTTCTTGTCCTTAAGAAAATATAACCCTTACAAGTGACGCCTTTGGACTCGGAAGCACTCGGGCGGCAGTTCTGTTGATGTGGTTTGCTCCATAACCTTTTGATTCGGCGTCAAAAGGGGCTCATGCAGCTTCTAGTGGAAAAATTCCAGAGGTCTCATTGATATCAGACTGAATGTAAGAGAGTAACAATAACGGGCTTTAATCGTTGTTATTATTACGTTAAAGAATTTCCGGAAGATAAAAAAGAAAAGTAAAAGTTCGATACGTGGTTAAATAACCGTAACTATGAGCCAAGTTGTTAAAGTTAATACATTTATTGTTTACGAAAGATCCAGGACTCCTTCAGCTTTAAAAATTATTTCTTTTTGAAATTTCCACGGCTGGAAATTCATATTATCGAATTTTTGTGTCTGATAACATTTTAATTTGTCCATCTTGAATAAAAAGTTAAATCTTCTTCAAAAATACCGTGACGTTGAATATTGATGTAATACTCACATATAGACATATTTATCCGGGTACAGATTTATTACAGTATTTCTTCCCAATAGCTTCTACTACTGGGCCCATAACCTGTTGTGTAAGTTCAGAATTGGTATTAAAATACTTCTACAAGAAACATTTTTATTCGGTAAACTGATTAAAAACAAAACCTATTTTATACATTTCTAGAAAATCAAAAACAACAAAATAATGTATTTACCTACTAGGTACTAATAGTGTTGGCTAATAGTATTGATCCAATAATGTGTTTTTCTTATTTGTTTAAAATCGAACGGAAAATAATTTTAAACAGCACATTTGAGATGAAATAAAATGGGGTTGTTTTAAACGATTGGTTTTTATTTAAAATAATAAATGTATTAATTATTTATGGTAAGACGACCTAACTTATATCTTAATCTTTAATTTGGCCAAAAATTTGATTTTTAAAGCCTATATATTCGTAAATCAGTCAATTTAACTTTTTGTCTACACATACGGTTTTTATACACAAGGATACCCCGTACTTAAAACAAAATTTAAATAATTATGATTTAAAATGATCCCTTTTTTAAATGTATTTATTTGAAAGACCAATGACCTTTGTTCGATATAATACTTTGACATAGAGTTTCCAAAATACAGGATTGACCAGATTAATATACTGACAGCCATCCCTTAGAGTAGTAAAAGTCACAAATACTCTAGAAAAGTAAAAAAAGTATTGATGTGAGTTTTATGAGACTATCAGATATTAAGAAACTAAAACGCTGACGAATTATCACACCTTATCAGTTACTCAATTATTTTCCATTTAATCCACATATCAATAATCTGTTTTTTTTTTAGGAATGTTTCAGCAGTACAGGCTTTATTTTGCTGTATAACAGGTCTCACAGCAGTGTGTTACTCCTGTAACCGTAACGTTCTCAAAACATCTCACTACATTTCTGAGGCATATGCTTGGTTTGGAGCGGCATATTTTTTCTATGATATTTGGTCCATGTACAAAATATATACAGCGAAAATTATCGGAACTCAGATAAATGGCGATGTGTGCCGAACTAAAACTTTATCAAGGTTTTCAAGAGTGATAACATTTCTTAAAAAAAATTTCCTTATGGTTGGACATCACATATTTATAGGGTGTTTTGGATTCTTAGTTATAACAGTAAGTTCAACTATAAATTTAAAAAAAAAATACTATTACTTAGGTCATAAATATTGTAACTTCTATAGGGACCGTGCGTGAAATATAGAGGCAGCACTACTGCCGAACTTAGCCCTCTCTAGTGTTTAATTTTAGAATTAAATGGGGTAAACATTGCAAGTAAATAATAAAGGGTATTTTTTTAAATATTAAATATAGTTAAAAATAGATACCGGCCCGTACCAAACAATCGTGTACATGGTCAAAATGACGTAAAATGTGAAACATTATTAAAATCTGGACATGCATATACATTTTAAGCAAAAAGATTTAAATGGCTAAGTGACAATAAATTGTGAAGTTGTACCTTAAACAAGTGTATCCAATGTTAAAATATCGGTATTTAGTAACACTGAATTTAAAAGTATTACAATAACATTTAAATAATGTAAATTAATAAAAAAGATTGATAATAATAATTATAAATCTTTTTATCTTTATGTTAATCGAAATGTCATTCATCCACTGACGTTTATGAGATGTTCAATGATACATATTATAGATTGCTCACCCATCTATAAAAAAATTATGAAAAGCGGGTTGCAATGTGCCTTTCCTAGTGCTCACTAAATAGAGCCGTTCTAGCCCAAATGTGTTTTAAAATAAAATTTCAGCATTTTAATCTTTAGAAAAAGAAAATAATTAAAGTTTTACTTCAAGACATGTCATTATGTATTTGGAAAGTTGAGTTTTCATGTAGTTAAATAATATTAAGAGATCTAAACAATTTTTATAACAGATAGATATAAATAATTTTAGACTACTATTTCAGAAACAATTCTACATAACATACATAATTGCAATATGTAATACAATTTCGAAAAGGTAATATAAACAATTTTGATATGAGGTATAAACAACTTTGGGAAGAGTTGTAATTGGACACTTATCTATTATTCTGAATAATGTTTAATGGTAATGTCACTAAAAAAATTTACAAAAATCACTGGATTTTTAATATTTTAAAGTTTGTTACAATCTCTTTTGACAGTAATTGCAATGTATTATTTATGATGTTTATTTTAATAATAAATGAGAAATAGTTAATAAATTGTAAAGAGGGCCGTGATATTTTTGTCAAATTGGACATTCTTATTTCATATTCTACATTAGTTTTAATCAACAGAATAAACCATTATCTGTAAAATGATATTTATATAAAATGTTCATTTAAATATGTAAAAATCTTAATGACAAGAAAACACTAAAGATTCTAATTTCTAAACCGGTTCTGTAAATGATTTCTTTACAACTAAGTGCTCAAAATTGATACAAGCTAGATAAAAAGAAAACTTTGCCCAGTGAAATACGGTTTTCGTCGTCTGATTTACATATGGATAAGCAATCTTTGTAATTATGTATATCATTGGGTGTGAGGCATAATAGACCTTTTCATCATGTGATGAGCGCAAGCGCAGCCACCATGTTGAAATAGCGGTAATTCAAAAGTTTCGTACTGTTTTGATCGACAAAGGCTGGAAAGCAATATTATCTCTACAGAAAAATTAATCATTAGAAAAAATCGTTGATGGTGATTAACTTTTTCATAACTCTGTAGAAGCGCATAGTTGAAAAGGTGGTTGAAGTGTCTTAGACGTTTGATACAAACGAAAAAAGTGAACTGATTGAGAGGTTAGGTGATCAATACTTCTTAACTGTGTACAAAATTAATGAAAACAAATAATAATTATAACTCTACTCTAATTAATTATGCCAACTAACTATTAGTACTTGCAAAAACACTTTAATTAACATGAATCATATTACTGTGTATACCGAAGTAAAATTTAATATTAAAAAAATATTGTTCAATACCAGATAATAATTTTCTTCTGTTGGACCACTTCCTCCATGAAAATGTAATTAACAAATATAAGTATATTCAGTAACATCATCAATCCATCGAAAACCGTTGTCACTTCGGTCTTCGACCACATTTTGTCGCACCTAATGCACATTTGCTTGATAAATTGATAATTTTTTACGATATTGCAGCCAAGGCTTTGGAATATTTATAAAATAATATGTATATTGACTTTGGATGATTTATACCGTGTGTCAATTTTACATACTCCATAACAACACCGTTTCGTTGTTCCTTTCCGTACAGATAACAATTATAATTAATTGCAAAAATATATTTTTTTACACCCGTATTATAATAATGCACTTATATGCTCATAATCCGTTTCATAATGATACCCATTATGATACAGATTTTTCATTACGATACAGATTTTTAATCAATAGAAACCTACAATTTTTCAATCAAGCATTCTTTTTGACGTTTGTCCTAGGTTCCTATGTAATTGTCTTAGTTGTCAAAACGTATTAAATTTTCGTAGATAGCTAAACTTCGATAATTATATTATCAACATGTCTGATATCAGCGATATAGAAGACTCCTCCACACATATCGGAGAAAGGAGAAAATGCAGTACACAATAATTTGCCCAAAAAATCTATGGTAATACCAATACCCAAGGTAATACCATTAATTACAATTTTGTAGAATTTTTTATAGAAATACGAGTAATTACTGTTATTGTGTTCAATACCAATATAAATATAATATTTATAGTTCTTGATTATTTATCGGGTGTAGAAAAAATAGCGTATGCAACTCTCATGTAATGGTTATTAATACACTCGCCTAAACCATACGAAACTCGCATTTGGCTCGTTTCGTATCCCGGTTAATGCTCGTTTATTAATAACCATCATTACATGATCGTTGCATAATATACTATTTTCAATTAAGACACTAAAATTATTATTACTTTGCTTTTTCTTCCTTTTTTGTAAATGAATATACTTAATTAATATTTATCGATTATAATTTTTTTCACGTGGGCATTTTAACATGCTTGTTTACAAAAACAGTACGAAAAAGATGGCTGATACTATCGCATGCGCACAAAAAAATATTATGATGAAAAGGTCTATTGTGCTCTGTGGAAATTTATAAAATTTCTTTACTATCGAATGAAATCCAGGTTTCCAAAGTGATGTGTTTGTACATCCATGGATGCAACAAGTTTTTTCGATATTGATATTACGAAAATAATTCGACTTCATTTTATTAATAATTATTAAACAATAAATGCCGTATAAAACATTAATAAATACCCCCCATAAAGTTCACATTTTTGTCACCAGTTAGCGTTAAAGTCATGACGCACGGTCCCTATACCTCGATCCTAAAAGTTTGCAAACTGTCAATAAATGTGTGGAACTTCGTTGTCGAACAGGTAAAGGGGAACAATGTATTGCTCAGCGGCCTTTATAAATAACACTGTAGAAAGAGCTCGAAAAAAAATACATCTCTATTTGTCGAAAAATATGCAGGAATATCTAGACAAAGTTCAATTAAACTCCGTAAAATGTGAACGTTTGATTTTTTTGAGATTTGATGAATTATTAATAATTTTTACCACGGACACTACTGAATGTAGTTCTTCCGAAACCTGCTCCTATTCAGATTACATTTTTTACATCTCGATTTGAAATGAGATGTGAATGAGATGTTCGTTCCATGCCAGAAAGTAAGTGTTCTGTAAAGCCAAGTTTGTCAATTTATCCTTCGTTTATGCTAGCATGAATATAAAAGTGATTAATTTGTTTAATTTTTGTTTAGATTTCAAATTTAGGTTGATTTGTAGTCTCAAAAGTCAAATTTAAAAAGTATAAACTTCTAACTTGTCATTAACATTTTATCCCGTGACCAATCAAGTCTAGAGCGTTTGTTTATTACATCTACATTCAGATCTAATTCTATTTCACGTGATAAAAAATTCACAACATCTCAGATGCATCCGATGTGGATTCTCAAACGCGGCAATAAAATTATAGGTTACACATCTTATTCATTAATGTAGAAGAACCTCCCGGTTCAATCAAAAACATAAGTAAAACGGCAGCTGACGGTTTAGTACAGGTTTCTGTCTAATTGCCTGTTGTTGGTCCTATATTGACCCAAAATTGGTGTTACATATTGGAAAATAAATTTGTTGCCAATATGGTACCAACATTGGTTAAAAAAGTTTAATATTGGCCCAACTTATAAATATTGGACCTACAATGCACCAGTCTGGGTCCAATATCTTGTGCTACAGGGTTCGTTTCGAATTTTCATTCCAACTTTGTCTATTATAGGTGGGAAAACCTCAGGCCACCTAATTCCCTTTTACTATCAAATTCCTTGTGAATTCCCACAATTCTTTTAATTACTTTAATCCTGTAAATTCCTCTTAGTTTTCTACCATTGTACACCCAATTCCCTCTGCGGTTTACATTAATTTTATTTTTGAAACTTATTTTAAAATCCTACACTTGAGAAGATAGGATTGGAAGGGTCGAGACTATTTTCTTGCTGCATTAACGACATAAAGGGACATAATAGATCTTTTAGGTCACAGTGTATTAATACCCCATACCCAATATAACAATTTTGAAAAGTTTTAAGGGATGGTTCTTCATGATAGTTACCGATTCAAAAATGCTAAACCTGCATTTAACAGTACTTAAGAGCGATATCCATGGTTAGAAACAGGCTTAAAACGACTTCAAGGTTCTCTTTCTCAGTTTTAAATATTTTTTTATAAAATTTGGTATACCTACTAAGCAAATGATAGAGAACTCCGCTGTAGAGCCCGAATTCAGAAAAACTAATTTTTTAATTATTTCTATACAAATTATGAAAATTATTGCAAAAAGGAGTCTTTACCGGGAATTGTTATATAAAAATCAGCTAATTCTTTCCAATACACTTTTTTGTCCAAAGCGTATATTTTTTGAAAACCTTGAATTAGGAAATCTGAGAAAATCTGTCAAGATTCCAATCCATATTAATTGATTTGGCAACAAGGCGGCGGACGTTGGCGGTGCATGCAGTACCGGAAAATTGGGATAAAAATAAAATAATAAAAAACTTTATTCTTTTTAGTTCAAGTGTAGGTGTTTTTGTTTCGTATTTAGTCAATGTGTTTATATGAACTTTTATGTGTAAGCTGAGTTATAATAATTTGTGATAAAAATGGGAAAACTTTCGGAAATGCCGAAAATTATATTTCCGTTTCGACGGAAATCTATAAAATATCGTGCTAGATTACTTAGAAAAAGACAAACATTAGCACCCCTTCTAAGCTTTAAAGTTAAAATATATGGGAAATTAATATACTAAGTATTGAATAAAAAAAAAAACCTTTAGCTTTAAAGCAATATTTACAAATTTAAAGCGGATATCCAATAAATGTGGTTTATTTGTGGATTCTGAATATGGTTTTTAGGTTCCGACGGTTTATTAGTAACAGACAGTATTATCGAAATTAAATATCCTGCCACTGCTTCAAAACTGACTCCGAAAAAAGCAATGGTTGACAACATAATAAAATTTGCAATTATTAATGATAATGCGAAAATGCAATAATTGTTCAGGGGCAACTTAACGTAACTAAACGAAATATTTTTTTTTTATTTATTTTAATACCTTTAAGTATGTTAGTAGAAAAAATAAAAAAGATGATAGATTTTGGTGTATATGGAAAACAAACTAAAGCAATTTTATTTAGATTGTATACTACCCGAGATCTTAGATCCACGTTTCACTAGAGGTTTAGATATTAGAAATTTGAGTAGAAATCCGAGTAGAAATCCGACCAATAGTCAATAAAAATGATTATTTTTATTCCTTCTTTTACTAATAATAAATCATTTTACTCAATGTTATTTTTAAATATTTTTAGTACTAGAAAACAATTTTTTCTACACCCAAATGGATAGCGTATCTACGTACAGACTATAAAACGAAAAAATATGCTATTGCGTAAAATGAGTTATACTTGTGTAGAATCGATAAATAATAGCATTTCTAGTTTTATTTGATCTATATTTAGAAATAAATAATTATAAATTTTAATTAAACTATATGAAATCAATTTAATTTATATTCACTCATGTTACACAAACTACTATTTTCTACATCCACATGGATATGCTTTTTTCCATACCCACATGAATATTAGCTAATCTACGCACATACTACAAAACAAAAAAGTATTCCATTGCGTTCAACTGAACGAATATATTTCATATTCATTCTACCTAGTAAGAACACTGCAAAACAGTTAAATCCACCAATCAGATTATATATTGGTCACCCGGCTACTATTATTTTTTAAATTTTATGTAGTCAAACTAACTGTCAGTATATTTTTGAATTATTGAGATTAAATATACGTAAAAATGAATATTTCTTATGTATAATCGATAAGTAATAGAATTTCTATTTTTATTTCGTCCAAATTTATAAACAAATCTTAAATTTTAATCAAACCATATAAAACTAATTTAATTACAAATATAAGAACTATAATGGCAAGTGTGGCGACGGCACGGAGTTTGTCTCCAAGCGAGAGACCCGAGTTCCAATCATGGCTGGGGATTAATTAAATTAAATCTTTTTGTATGTTTATTTTATTTTATAAATTATTAAAAGTCATACATTATTTTAAAATTATTTATTTTGTCTTAATAAATTACTTTTTTAAATTTGTAGAATTTCGTTAGGGTGTCGTAGAAAAAATATACTGTACAACTCGAGTGGATTGTCTGTATCGCACCCAGACGATTAAGCACTCCGTCTACGGCGTCGTTCTGAAACTTCGTCTTCGTGCGATATGGCTATCATATCCAATTTTGTTGCACAAACTACTATTCACGCACAGACTACAAAACGAAAAAATATACTATTGCGTTCAACTCAACGAATATATTTCATATCCATTCTGGGTAGTGAGAACACTGCAAAAAAATAAAATCCACCAATCACAGTTTATATATTGGACACCCAACAACTATTATTTTTAAAATTTTAAATAAATGACAATTCTGTCAAACTAATTGTCAGTATATTTTTTAGGAATTGAGATTAAATATACATTAAAATGAGCTATTTTTGCGTAGGATTCATAAATAATTTTAATTTAGACCACAATTTAAAAAATCCTAAATTTGAATTAAACTACCTATATGAAACTAATTTAATTACTACTTTTAGAACTAAAATTTTAAATGTGGAGGTGAAAATGATGATACGGCATCTGTCTTTCACGCGAGAGGCCCGAGTTCAAATCTGGGCTGGGGACTAATTAAATGAAATATTTTTTCATGTTTATTTTATTTCACAAATTAGTAAAGTCATAAATTATTTTAAAATTAATTATTTTGTCTTTTCCTAAAATAATACTTTAAATTTGTAGATTTTCGTTAGTGGGTCGTAGAAAAAAACATACTGTACAACTCCAGTGGATTGTCCACTGTTGTTGCACAAACTAGTATCAAATGGGTTATTATTTAAAAAACGTATTTTTATACAGGGTATTTGTAAATAAGTACGAACAATTTTTGCAAATTGTTATCAAAGTTATTTTGTTAAAAAAAGTTCCTATAAAAGTAGGTCGAAATATGCTTCGTTTCCGAGATACAGAATGTTTAAATTTTATTAATTATTTTTAATAGTTTTAAAGATATTTACTCTAAATTTGCAAAAAAAAACTTTGAAGGGGCAAATGTGTATTTTTTGGGGTGTTCCAAATATTTCTACTTGTACCAGTGGCGTTTGTGCGAGAATGCCACTTTTTTAATAAAAAAGTACTGCGCCACTGACTTTTTCGATCTATGTTTTTTTTATAAAATAACTTCGGCAAACATTCCCTAAAATCATTCACACTTACCAACAGACACCCTGTATATAAGAAAATGTAGAAATAGGTACATATTATGTATATTTAAAAATATATTTCGTAAATAAATAAATTAGTTATAAAAAATTTTTTTCGAAAATGTTACACCAGGTTATACCTTTAAAAAATATTTTAAACGAGAAAACAAAACAGAAATACTCTTTGTTAGACCGGACCTGCGATTTAACGGCATTTTTAATATTTTAAATCATCTATAGTTTATAAGTAATAAATTGAAGGGAGCGTAAGCCTGGGAATAGAGCAACGTTGCCAAAGTGGGTTCAGATGCACTGAAAGTTGTCAGTGTGTTCTAAATCTGAATTTGCTGTTAGGTGTTGCATGGATATCGCTCTTAACCACTTCCAATATGTGTTATAATGATCTGAAGGTGATTTTAATCCAGTATTAAGTCCTTTCAGAAAAGATGTATTTCGACTCGTTACTAATAAATCTTGCCACACGTTATACGGTATAACCTTCGTTTACGGGACGAGCGCAGCGAGGTCCCGCAAAATAAACGAGTTACACAAAAGGGCATTTCGTAACGTGTTACATACAAGATTTTTTCTAAATTTGACTTATTTATAAAATTGTGTTTGCTTAAAAAATGATTCGCCATCATTCTTTTGTAGGTACTTCTAATCAAATATTTCAGAAAATTGTTGTATTTGATTGCCCTACGACGTTTTTTTTTCCTATAGTAACAATAAAAATAAGGGACATGTGGAGCGTTGTCGATCTGATTTTTGACATCACCCCCGGGAAATAAAAAAAAAAACCGTTTTTACCTCTTAAAGGAGTACATCAAACATTTCTGGGCAGTTTTCAACGGTGTTCAATTATATAAAAAAATAAAACGCAATTTACAGCTCTTCTTTTTTGTTGTTAAAAGTAATGTCAAATTGTCACTATTCATAGCCTTTTTTCGATTTTTCAATTTCTTGATTTTTCGATTTAAAAACCAAAAAAGGCATTTTTATTTATTTTCATTTCATAACTGGTGACAATTAACTTTTCGTAATCAGTTTTATAATGTTCTACTTTATGCGACTGGTTGCATAAAGTAGATCATTTTAACACTTGCTGCGATTACAAAATATGTCACTTTATATGTCAAAATTAGAAAATTTTTATTTATATAGAACATTTTCAATTTATTATTAATTTTATGTATCTCTAGGCACAAATGCCTTATTATATCAAAAATGGAAGGTGGATAGTAATTCATATGTAATCAAATAAATATCTTTTTTAGTATTTAAGAGGAGGTCTGGGAGACTGTTTTTTTGGATTTGTGTACCTGATGGAGGCGAGTACTCCTTTCGTATGCTTAAGAGGCATATTGTCCAAAGTAGGATTGAAAAACTCTCCACTTTATGTCGCTAACGGACTTGTGATGTTAACTGTATTCTTTATATGTAGAATTGCCATGTTTCCTTATGTAATATTCATGTATTCACTCTCCATAAAAGTGGATTTCATATCGGTAAGTTTTATATCTGCTTTTGTTAAGAATGGAGACAATGAAATTCAACTGTTTACATCAAATTTACGCTTTTAGGCAGTCTACACCCTACCCAGAGGATGTTTGACAAGCATAGCCATATTACTGTTACCACAAATATACTGGTTCTATTTAATGGTGAAGGGGGCCATAAAGGTACTGAGTGGCCCAATTGTTAACAACAATAATATGCAGAATTTAAAAAGCAAGTAATATCGATAGCAATTGCGATGTTTTTTGAATTTCAGTTTAGGATTGAAATGAATTACGGGGAAGGGTAATTGGTTGTGAAAAGGTGCATCTTCAAAAGTTCGAAAAGAAAAACGACAGCAGCTTCAATTCTCAAATCAGACGATGATAGATAATTCGACCATCAAAGGTCGTCATTAATATTAGTACTATTTTAGGAGAATATGGACTGATAGTTTGCATTAATAGTTATATTTTTATATAATTTTTCAAAAAATTTAATCGGTTTTTGTCAAATTATTGTGCTGTATGTCATATTCAGGTATGTATCTACAATTTTCTACAATAGTAATAATAAATTTCATATGGCCATGATATCATCAAGCATAGTGTTTGCATTGGGCTTCATCAAAGGCTAATTCAAATAATAGCGAATTTATTTAACTCAGGGCTAAATAGTCGAGTTTTTAGGCATTTTTGGTGTCTTGTGGGAACTGTCCTTAAGAGACATTAATACTATTAATAATATTTTTTACGTTGGTAAGGATACTTATGAAATTTTGTTTAAAAAATATCTTAGTTTTTCATACCTCAAGTAAAAATGTTAGTTTTTAACCATCTAAAAAAATATAAAATATGTAATTTTAAGAAAATAATCAACACATTTATCACTAACATTTCATTTCAATTTAGTAACTCCAAAACAGGTTTTAGACAATCAGGTAATTATCATCTTCAAAGTTTGAGAATAGAGGCAAATATTGTTATTTTTGAAAAAGTATGTTTAAAATAAATACTGTGCTGTTCTTATTAGTTGCGAAAGTAAAGCTTATGTACATAAAACTCCAAACATAAACCAAATGTAAATATTTTAAAGTATTATCCTAAGTTACATTGCCAGTCCTAATATTAAGTATGTTTCAAACAATAGTAGGATTAGCAAAGTTGCTTTGATTTTAATTTTTTTATACATGCGTGGAAATGATTGGATTATATTATATTATTTATAAAATTTCAACAAGTCAAACTTCCTGTTGTCATATTTCACATTTACGATGGGCTATTCTAAACAAAAACATTACCTTGCCGAATATTAAAATTTATAGAGATGGGATCGTTGCAACTGTCGTTAAGAGCAGACTAGCATTTTTAATATCGACGACAAATAGTTCTGTTGATGTCACAGAACTTTAGCCATTAAATACCGAATTAAAAAAAAAAAAGAATTATAGGTGCATATAATACTTTGAAGATGCACAATAGATATAGCAGGGATATTTCTAAATAACTGTTAGTGCAAAAGACGAATTAAAAATAAAGACTAGCAGCCAGTAGCTAGAAGTTCATTCAAATTTATGAGTGATAAACGATGGTCTTCTGTTTGTCTGAATGACATGAATTTCAAATTATTCAGTCTAAACATATGTCAAAGTTTATCAGGCTACTAAATTTAAATGGACGTTTCTGCAACCGACTGTAAATATATTTGCTTAAGCATTTCTCATAAAAAAATATATAAATGTATAGTAGGTAATCTAATTAAAATAACAATTCCAATTCGTAATTATAGTTGATACAAGAATCACATATTTTTGCTAACAAGTTTTTTTTTTGTATTGTATACTAGTACGCAAAAGAAGTTATTTTGTTCTTTGTGATATGATGTAGTTTCTATTATTAAAATCACATGATTAGTGAGTTAACAGAAGGTAAATATTTATATTTTTAACGTTGATCACGTCATTTAACACAAAATATCGATCTTAAAAATAATATAACATGATTTTTCTAAACTTTAAATATACAAAGTTGTGGTTTATATGTATATAATGAACTCAAGACTATTAAATCCAAAACCAATGGTTTATTTTTGCTACACTAATGTATTTGTTTGTAGGATGAATGAAATACTTATTTTTTACCTAATAAAGTTCAAAAATAGTGACAAATCAATTGACTCTTTCTCTTGAAGAATTTTAAACCATCTATTTTAACATTTTTCCCCTTATGAACTTTTGCCATTACTTTTTTAAAAGTCTATATTATAATGGATGAAACTAAAATAAATAATAGTTTTTCTTGAGAAATAGTCACGTAATAAATCTTCCACGTTATTTGTCAAAGTGCCCACTCCTCCAGATATTTTAATGTACATCAAAGTGACAAGTTTTTACTAAATCTAAATACCTCTAATAGTCTGATGGCACTGATACAACTGATGATTATAAATTATTACCACTTATTTTGCTAAAAATTCCTACAAAATAATATAAAAAAACGATCTATTTTTTAAAAAAATATATTTAAAACAGAAGAGAATAAGGATATTAAAGGCCTAAAGATATATTTTTTATAGAATCTCAAGTATGTTCTTTACTATTCCACAACTATTTACTATTTGTCAAACTTTAATTATCCTTTCACACTGTGGTATGTGTGCAACGTACCTCTTGTATATTTTAATATTTTTTTATCTGGATATTATTTCATGATTCTTATTTAATTTCATCATATCCCAGACAACACACCAAATCCCAGAGATATTCACAGAATATCTTTTGTGGATATCCAATATATCCACAGGATATTAGAAATATTCCGTGGATCTAATATGGATATCCAAATGTCCGTCTATATCCAGAATATAGAAGATATCATATGGATATCCAGCAAAATATCTAATGAGTATCTTCCAGACAATACAAGAAATCCCAGAGATATCCACAGAATATATTCTATGGATATCCAACCAAATGTCCGTCTATATCTCAGGATATAGAAGAATTCAGATATTCAGCAAAATATTTTATAGGTATCTTTAGTAGAGGTTCATAAGTAACCAATGATTATTGAATAAAGTCGAAAGAAAATAACAGAGATAAAAAATATTTTCAACACTCTGCCTTTGATTTTGTCCACTAAGGAGAAAGTTATCCTTATTAGGACTCTTCAGCAATAAATGGAAATTCTCGACTCCAGTCTCTAATGGAGTCTGATTGTAAAACAAATTTCGATCAAACTCAATTACGGCGGGTTGAGCATGAGTAGATGCGAAAGTGGTATCGGCATCTATACTTAGTAAGCAAAATCAAAAATTACATCTAGTGGATATCCACGATGGTTTGCGTTCGCGCCTAGACTTTGACATATTTAGTGGATGTCCATGGAATATTGAATACACCTTAAAAAAATTAATTTTAAATATCTGAACGGTACTATTAGCCACATTGGCGAGCACAATGGCGTAATTTTTTAATAATTTGCTATATAATTACTATTATTTATGGACATTTGCATGTCTATAAATTACAGCTCATGGATATAAAATAGATATCCACCATGGACTGGACATTCAGTGGATAGTGGGATGTTCAGTTGATATCCAAAGGATTTGGTGTGCTGTCTGGGATGTGTTCTCTTAAATAAAAATAATACAAACGTTACTTTTAACAAAAACAAACAGAATGGTTACTAAACGATTATATGCCTGATACTTTAGAAATATATTTCATATAGTTCAGAAAAATATAAATTACCCAAAAAAAGAAAAGAAGAAGAAGAAAATATAAATTAGTCGTAAATAAAACGAACTAAAGAAAAAAGTCTTCCGTCACTGTCATTGGAACACAAATTACGTAATCACTCACTATAAATTAACGTAGGGTCAGATATAATAGGAGATGTAGCTATTCATTGATAAAATAAAAATTCCGTGACGCCGACATCGTGTCCGTCCAGTTGTAGATCAAGAGAAAAGAGACTGGTGTGAGGAATGGAAGGGATAAGGTGTAGGGTATTTTCGAATGACGGCGGAGTTTCGAGTAAATTGCATTTGCCTTCACTTTAAACATGTAAAGTTTAATTTTAATCCCGTGAAAAAGTTTGTGTTTTATAATTTATATAGAGTAAATATTTTTTTTGCAAAATTAAAATTTGCCAAGTAACTTTTTAATGCATCAACGATATATAAATTTAGAAGACATTAAAATGTACCTTTTTGCGGATGATACGATTTTGTATGTTTCTGAATATCCAGGGATTGTTCTTAGATCAAAAATTAATGTTTACTCAACATATAGATTACACAAGATTATCGGAAAAAAGGGTTATAGCAAACAATTTACTTTTTAGTTCATGACATAAAACTTATATAAAATACTGAAAAATTTATATTCTTCCAAATTATAAACACAAAACTTAAGAAAAATGTAATTTAAATATCATCGGTTGAGAATAAAACTACGTCCATTGTTTTTGAAAAATAAGTTATTTACATAATATCCTAAGTCCTATTTAATTCTAGCTTGTGTAAGAAACTATATAGCCAACAAAAATTGCTTATAATTGTCTTCGTTATAGGGTAATAAAACGTTTAAATGCGTAATACTCAAGAATAATAGAAAAGGACTTAGGATACTATAGCAAGGACAGAAGTTGAAAAGGGTTTTGGTAGGTAGAGATGTGGTAATCAAATCCCGTTGGACTTCGCGCTAATGTTTGTTCGCCATAGTCGTCTCAGAGACTTCGGTTAGCTCCACGTCAAAATTGTCAAATCCCGTGTATGAAGTGGGAGAACTGGTATATTATACACTTAGATTGAGAAGTGAGCACTTTTATATTCTGAGACGTGTAGCGCCGAAGGATATAATGTGCGAGGTTTATAATGGCCGTCTCAACCGAAGTGTATATAGATTTTTTTTACACTGATATATTACCATATTTGATTTAATTAGATTTTGATAAATCCAACTTTAATTATTTCAAATATTAAATAGTCTGGGAATTTAATTGTCAAATTAACTAAATGAAACTAATGGAATTCAATTTCATTATTTACCTAGATGTTCTTTTATTATCATTATTTACCTAGGGTGAGTAATATTACTTATCATTAGAGGAATGGTGTAAATCATGGTGATTTCTCATGTTAGTAGTAAAAAAGCCTTTCCAACTTCTATCCCTGCTATATTTTTCTCAACCGACGATATTTATTTCACAAAAAACTAAGGCGACCAGTCATTAAACTCATAGAAAATATTAAGAATAATATATCCTTTCAAATTCCAGGCTCAAAATTTGTGAAAAGTCGGCATCACGCCATAAATAATAATATTAGTCTAATACTTTCAAATTCCATAAATTTTCATATTTTTTTTTTTGCATAAAACTAAGAGGCGTAATGTTTTAAAACTCACAGAAAATGACATTAATAATAATGAAATGTTCTTTTAAATTCCATGTTCAAAACTTCAGAAAAATATCGGCGTCAATGTGTAAACTCTTATTATTTCTAATTAAGCAATAATCCGTTATTCATAAATTACCCCGTTATTAAATTTGAGAATACTCTAAATTCAGATTTGCTCTTTTTCTTGGATTTTTCTTAAATTCTATATTCAGTGGGATTGAATTATTTTGTTAACTTTCATTATAGGTAGGTTACCTACCTTGGTACTAAAATCAAAACATCTTGTCAATAACATTACCGAAACTTTAGGGCAACGCCTCAATTAAATTGAATCATTTTAAAACCTGTTTTAAAGTGTTTCAATAAATAAATGCAGAATTTTTGCACAAATTCGATTTTTACATAATATTACTTTGAGATGTTTAGGAATATTCCCCGATTTCCAGGACCGATTTTAGAGTTTCTCATCTCCTGATTTTTTTAAGCGATAGGCGAATTCTAACCTATAAAATAGTTACATGCGAAACGATTAATTTGGATCTAATTTGTTCTTTTTTTACAAATTTTGCTGTTTTCCCGTGTTTTAAAGTCTGTATTATAACAATATACTAGAAAAGTATTTTTACAAGAAAAAAAAAAAAACGGTGAACAATCAAATATAATGTCAAACGCCAAACCATCTTTATCAATCAATATTTGTAAACCCCAGTAATGCGCTAGTTCAGTGTGATGTCATTTTGGTTCCACTGACATTTAATTCTAACCAAACTTTTAACTAAAGCATCAATAAATTTGATGTAACGTTTTTACTGTTTTTAGTCTATTTCTAAATATTGTTTACAGGTCATAAAAAATAGTTTAAAGGTATGTAATTGGTAACTAAACGATTGTATATTTGATGCATGTTATCTACTTTAGGAATATATTTATAAAAGTGAAGAAACGATATAATTTAGTAAACAAAACGCACTCAAAAAATCTACTGTCACTTTAATTGTCAGTGGAACCATAAATACATCATCACTGAACTAGCGCATACAACCTAATCTAGCCCCACCTACAAAATGTTGCCAAATTAGTAAAAAAATTCTTGATGTCCAATTTAACATTAACTAGGTTTTGAAATTTATTGAAATTATTATTATCTAATTTAGTTAAATTTTATATTAATAATGATTCTATTTTTGTTGTTGTTACAATAAAACAGCTCGAATTATTTCATCTTTTTTCAAGATATGGAAATAATTTTGTAAACAAAACGAGAATAATGAAATGGACATGACAACAGCGGATATTATACCTCCTGTGTCCCTTAGAATATATCTTATCCGGTACATCACGATATTTATGTGTAGTTGCATCACCTGTTATCTCTGAGTAGAGTCCTTTAGAATCTTCCAAGCAACGAATTTACCGAAATTTACAATAATACTCAAACCAATGACGAAATACTACTAGACTAATTGATTCATTCATAATTAGGCTTTAGAAAGAGCATACAACTGCGATTCCTGCTTTACACAGTTGTCACCTTTCAAAATAAATGGTGCACTTTCCTGTAAATCACTCTGAGCTACAATAATAATAGTTGCAACCAGGAAAAGCAGTAACGGCTCGTGACTAGTGTAAGTAATTTAAACTTAAGCGGCTGCATACGAGGCTTTTTAATTCCCGTTACTTTCATGATAAATAATTATTACGAAGAAAAATAAACAACACTACACTAGATCAACATAGCAAAACAAACCACAAAGCGATCGCCGGATGGGCTGAGGGCTGACTGAGTTGCGACCGCCAACGGCGCCAACCAAAATGTATAATTTCTTACTCCACGATCTACAACGTTGACGTCGGTAACCATATGGCAACCGTCCAGCGGTACGCTACGGGCTACTTGTACTACGCCGATACAGTAATTATTGCGCGCATTTATAAATGATAGGGTAAATCGTATTATTCATATTTAACAAGTCGGCTCGTCCGTAGCTATTTAAATTATTCGTTTACAAACTTTATTATTGCATTTATTTGTGTTTGACTCTTCTATTCTTTTATCTTATATCTTTTATTGAAAATTACTGATTAAGTATACGGAAATACTAATTCGTAGATGACTCCTGCTACTTTGCAGGGAGGGCGGCGCTCCAGTGCCCTCCCTCATCAGCCGCCACAAAGTAAAAGTCAATGAACAGATAATAATTGGTATTAAGAATGCAAATATACTTCTCGGTGTAAATTTTAAAGGCTTTTTGTGTTTTAGAGCCTGATGTTAAGTAAATTCTACGTGGATAACATATTGAATGCTTGCAATTCGATTTTTGTAAACAAAATTGGTCTAGTAGTTCATCATTGAGTCAAACACCACTAATAAAAAAAAGTCTAGTTAACATACTTGCCTAATTGCTAACCTGTTCTGTACCAGGTGTTCTAGGAACTTTTATTATACAGATATTAGAATTATTTTGAAATTGCTAGGTTTACAGCTAATGATAAAATCAATTTTGACTACACACTCGTTTATCTGTTTATCATTGGTCATAAACATTACTCTATATAGTGGCGAAGTTAGAAATATGAAAATAATTCCCAGATATTTTTTTTAACCTCTTTTATCATGGGTTTTTCTTTTCAATATTTTGTACAGTTTCTGATATGTATACTGCATCCTATTTCCTTTCTTGTTGCGACACTCTGTATATACTAATACATAAATCAATGCTGCGCTTCCAATACTGAATAGTAAATTTAACTTTAGGTAGTTTAAACATGTCACTTTGAATTTCTACAATCATGGATGTGAGTTATATACAGTGGAGGCTCGTCACCACAAAATTGGGGCTTCACAATAACAAAATATAGTTCTTAGTACATATTTAGGTAAAAAACTTTCAGTGTTTTGGAAAGGTATATTTTAAACACTGAAAGTTTTCTACCTAAATCTGTATTGAGGAGATCCATATTCTGTCATTGTGAACCCCCAATTTTTTGGTCACCAACCGCCACTGGTTTTATAGTTCTCGTAACTTTTAATAGTTGATAGTATGTAACTGATCAAACAAAAAAAATGTCATTACAACCAACTGTTTGTCACAAAAATGTGTCTGAAAATAGGTTCTATTTGGCAAACATACGATGAATAAATTTGTATTAATGTCATTAATATGGAGTGATCCACAAAGAATGGTTCTAAAATAGGCCTTGGAAAAATTCAAGTATGTCAAAGCGTTCAATTCTTTTTATTTTAAGGAGCTACTCGTAGTTATCAAGAACGTGACTTGAATCTCTGTCTTTGTCGCCCATGGCCTACTTTTTTAGATCGCGCTTTTATTAGAACTTAATGCACCAGCACATTAATAAAACAACTACATTAATATTTGTTTTTTGACAAGTGATATATAAGCTGTTAAAGTTACGAGAGATATTTTACTTGCACCATTTCGTTATCTAACTAGTCAACGATTATAATGCATAGCCTCTAGGACTGCCCCTGTGTCTGGGTTTATTTTGGTAATCAAATTTTAAAATCAAAATATTCATGTCAGTATCAAGACCAATGATTGAATTAACCATTAATATTTAATAACCAAACAAATAAATCCTTTAGATAAAATCTTCTGATTGGTTATTCATTTATTAAAACTGATGATGGTTTTTGCTACTGACTGCTGTATGTGTTTGAAATATTCTTAAAAATTATTACGAATTGGATATTTGCTTATGTGAGTAAAATGTATGACGGCTTATTATATTTAACAGTTTTTTTTTGAGGTTGTGTCTGTAACTTATTCAGCTAAAGTGGCTAAATATGTTCCTGAAACACTGTTTTTCTGGATTTTATGATACCATTGAACCAAAAAATATTTTTAGGTTAAAATCAATTGATAACAGAATTAAAATTTGCATGACTACAACTAAATAATAAATACTCGTAGGTTATTAAAAAAGAAAATACGTAAAAATGTTAGTTTAATTTTTTAGGTGAAGAAACTTGGTTTATAATTTAGTAAAGTTTCTAATTGATAGTTTTGAAAACCATTCACAGGGTATAACATGTATACTATTTTTCTATAAAAAAAAACAAATAATATGCTAAAGAATGCGGATGTCAAAAAATTGGTAAAAATGGTTTGCAATATTATAGTAACTCTTTACGATTTCAAATGAAATTGAAATTTGCAAATCAAATGTTTTCCTATTTGGAAGCTTAAAATTGTATGAGTATATATTATCCCCTTGTAAAATTCTTATCCTATCTGGAAAAAATGTAATTTCTGTTCCCATCTGATCTGAGGCATAGTAGTCTTCACTCGCTACTTGGAAGGGACACTTGCTGGTAAAGAGTGGTTGTATGATGAACAGAGATAACAGGAGATATATGCATTAATAAAATTGACGCCAGTTCATGTCCAGTTGTAGATCAGGAATGATGAGACATGTAGTGTGAGGTATGGGAAGGGATAAAAGATTTGACAGCCGTACAAAATAATTTTTTCAATGAATATATGTGTAAGACGTTATACGCCCATAATAAACAACGTACAAAATGCAATACTGTTGCTACATCTAGCACAAAATACTTGATATCCAACTTAAAATTACTAGGTTTTGGAATTTATTGAAAATTATTACATCTAATTTAGTTAAATTTGATTCAAATTTTTTTGGGTTCAGTTGCAATAAAATTAGGCAATCCAATGTCCTGTCAGTATGGACAAAAATGGCCGATGCTTGGCGAAAACAACAAAGTTTCTTAGAATGACTTTTTCATTAGTATTTGACTGTTATTGTAAATCATGCAATTAATATTCCATATATTCAAAATAAATATTTATTTATGCTATTTTTCAACTAAACATACCGAAAACAACTCTAAATACAAAATAATACAAACTTAGACTAATAACCTCACTAGAAGTGTGTTTGTCAAGGGAAGCACGTACTTTTGTTGTTTTTGCCAAGGGTCCACCATTAAAGTCACGTGATTTGGATTGCCTAATAGGTTAAATTATTTTACTTTTTTAAGGGCCGATTCTACCGTTGTATTAAACGGAGATTAAAATGACGTTGTTAATGTAAAAATGTCATTTTAAACTTCGTTTAACACAACGGTGGAATCGCTCCTAAGATATATATAAATAATTTTTGTAAACAAAACCTGATATTATACTTTCCTGTGTCCCCTAGAATGTCTTATTCACGACAGCACGATATTTATTTGTAGTTACATCTCCTGTTATCTCTGACGACGAACGACTTCAGCAGGTTCATAGACATATTTCTCTCTGTCTTTTGCATGTGTATTAAGTGGGAGAACTGCAAAGGTGCCCTTCAAGTGGCGAGCCAAGTATACACAGTGTTCCAGATTAAAGCCTCTGGCTTATTTCTTTCTTGAAATTTCTTTTAATAAGGTGGATTTTTTCGCTATTGGATTGACTGACTAATATGGCCTAAATAAAATGTTAAATTTATTTTTATTTTTAATAATTCCTCATAAGCTTTTTCTTTAAGATAATCTTTGTTGTTTTGTTGCAAGTGCCTTAGCACTGCAACATCTTAATTAATTAATATATTTATTAGTTACATGAAAGTATCAAGACGGGTACAGTTGCATTTGACAATAATTCTCTATTGTATATCACAAATCCACCAGAAACTTGTTAAGAGTGTGATTCTATTATTTTTTGTCTTAGTATTTATTTTTATTAGAAAGTAATTGTAACTATGTTTTTGCACTATAACTGTTTTGGTCATGTAAATTATAATTCTTCTGACGCTATACAGCAGGTAGCTTTTTGTTCTAACACAATAGCAGTTGTTAAATATATGTTGTGTATCGATGTTTTTTATATCACTTGAGTATTTCAAATTTGGCGCCCAGGGATGGGCGGTTTATACAGTATGGTTCAAATGAAAGGAATAAATTCATTATAATGGAAGTAGCTGGTTTTTCGAAAAAATGCTCGGACAGGTCAATTTTGTTTACTTAAAGCGCAATTTTTTAAATAAAATTCAATTTTCCCCCACTTCCCATTTTTGGGCAGTGACGTCATTGACAATTTTTTTAAATAGCAACCCAAATTTTTTTTTTCTTGATTTTGATAGATCTTGTAATTTCCTACTCGGAAACATAATATTTGAAATATCTGACATAACAATTTTTTTTGAAAAAAAGTCATTTCAAGATCAGATACATAAATTTTATGTTATTTTGAAACACAATAAATTAATAACAGATAATTATTTGTAATTAAATGCTTAATCTAACAAAATAATAATAAAAAAAATAATAATAAAAAGAATTTGTGAAATTGTCATTAAATTCGTTTTATTATTATTATTTTTTTTTTTTTAAATTAAGCACTTAATTACAAATAATTATCTTTTATTAATTTATTGTGTTTCAAAATAACATAAAATTTATGTATCTGATCTTGAAATGACTTTTTTTCAAAAAAAATTGTTATATCAGATATTTCAAATATTACGTTTCCAAGTAGGAAATTGCAAGATCTATCAAAATAAAGAAAAAAAAATTGGGGTTTCTATTTAAAAAAATTGTCAATGACGTCACTGCCCAAAAATGGGAAGTGGGGGAAAATTGAATTGTATTTAAAAAATTGCGCTTTAAGTAAACAAAATTGACCTGTTCGAGCATTTTTTCGAAAAACCAACTACTTCCATTATAATGAATTTATTCCTTTCATTTGCACCATACTGTATAATTCCAAAGCTACAATTTTTAAAACATTTGAAATTCACCAGTGGTTCAATTTTGGAAATATTTTAAACAAGATTTTTCGATTTGTGGTTCATTTCTCATAAGTCCGTAAGAGATAGAGCTAACAACTGTTTTATGTATCAAGTTTTTTTTATAAAACAAAATAATACAAGAAGTATTTGACCTTTACAGTATTTGTTATATCTTTTACAAATCCCAACTTTTTGTTGCTCCAGCTCTTGGGACTATACAAACAAAAATTGATAAAATGCATTACATTTTGTGTGCACACAGTACTTGTTGCGCCAAGTTGCTTGCTGTAAAGCGGTTGTTCATTAATGTGTGATTTTACGTTAACTTTTTACCTAAAGTTTATTGTGATTTAATGTATGCACTATTTGGGTACTGAGTGTGTCAATATTTATTTTCTTGTATATTATTTATTATTGTCTTAATTGACATGGTTTATAGTTGTTGTCCCTATCTAAGGTGAAATAAATGGACGTTACAAACAAAATATTTGTTTTTATTTTATCGGTCATTAATGATGATATAACAATTAACATTGAATAGTTTTTGTATGTTTACACTTAAAAATCACACTAAGGACTATAAAATCTCTTGATACTACAGTGGACAATAACGCTGGCCCTTTAAAATACATTTTTCAGAGACCATAGTGTGATTTCAGAATAGAATAGTTTTATTAATAAATTAAAATTACAGAACAAATTGCATTATTGCCATGTTTAATAAATTTACTGACTTTTAAAAATATACTAGGTACCAAAAATATTTCAAATATACATTACTTTTCGGTAAATACAAATGCGAAAAAAATCAATTATTAATAAGCAAACATTTTTACCATACTGTTCATCTAAATTTTCTATTATACAAGGTCCTGAAAATATTGTATTCACGAAGAGATATAGTTTGATATATTTTGTAGTTGCAACAGCTGACAACGGCGTAGGTATTCATATCACATACAAAAATATTAATAAAAACACAATTTTAAGAAAAGTCAAAATTTGGAGAAAATATATAGTCAAAATTTTGAGAAAGATCTCCTGCCATTTAGCGCATTCCAAATAAAATGACTGCCGAAGGGAAGGTGGTTGGTATATCTAAGGGATTGTGACATAGACCCAACAAATTGATGAAGGAGTCACTGAGGTTAGTGGGGAAATAGTCTGTTTACATTGGCAACAACCATGAAAATGTCGTGTTTTTAAAAATCGCTCTATAAGTATTTCGAATAAAAATAACATCCAAGATGGAAGGCTTTTATGTTGCAACCCCCTTAGATATAGCAACCCTGCCCTATGCAGCTGTTTGACAGGTCGTTGGAATGCGTAATACATACAGTGCTTGTGTAAAGAGTGAATAGTAATAAAAATGGCCCAGAACTGTAGTATATAAAATAGTGTGTATTTGTTAGGCTTGTTCTGGTTTCTTCAAAATGTGCCGCAAACTGTCCGAGATCCAGTGGAACAGTTGAATATCAAATTATTCGGTCGCGTAAAACCTTTCAATTTTCCACTGGTCATCTGGTTACTCGGACAGTTTTCAACATATTTAAAAAAAAAAACAGACTTATTCCACTTCTAGCTGCAATATTTTCCTATTTATATTGTTTAAATTATTTTTTATTATTATTAGTTTCAGCTTCAGCTGTATTATTATTATTTTCGTTAGAAAAGGTCGTAGATAACCTTGCAATTGAGCCTACAGCTTTAAACCTCGTTTGAGCTTTCATTTTGTCCACCTTCTTCTTCCACTGAAATAGAAAAAAGTTATATTTTAATAAATCCTATATTTTTATGTCATTTTAGTTAGGACCGATATCACCGTTATGTTAAACAAAGTTTAAATTACTAAGTCAAGTTTAAAAATGACATTTTTGCATTAACAATCTTCGCTTAGGACCGATTCCACCGTTGTGTTAAACGAAGTTTAAAATGACATTTTTACATTAACAATGTCATTTTAATCTCCGTTTAACACAACGGTGGTGTTGAAATTACATCCAACATGTCCTATCTGCAGGGCAGATTAATCTAAATCAGCATTTAACAAACAAAAAAGAATAAAATACTAAATAGACACTCCCTGTATAAACCTCCGCACTTAACAAAAAAAAGAATAAAATACTAAATAGACACTCCCTGTATAAACCAATTATCCAAAGTTGTGCAATAACCACCCTTTTAACTTTCAAGTAACCTTCAAGACACCTGCTGCTTCGCGAACAGTTAAAGCTAGTCACGCGAGATTTTTCACCCAATCATACGACATCTTAAAAACAATAGTCTCGCGTGAAATCATACGAGACTAGAGAGCCAATTAGTAGAAACCTAAAAAGCCGGTGCGAGTTGACGAACAACGGCAGCACAAAACTAAAATCACTTTCGCTTTGTCAGTCGAACAAGCAACAAGTCGCAAAAACTATAACCTAAAAAGCCGGCATTCGCGGTAATCAATTCCAAGCACTGTGCGATTTGATTTATAAAAGTTAATATGTAACAAAGTTGTAAATGTGAACGTATCAAGCAGTGAATATATAAAATTCAAATGTAGGGTGATGGTTTTATTTTAATTCACCCAGTGCTTCAACTAGAACTTCAAGAATATCTTCCAGAGGCTACAGGATGGAGCATAAGGCCTCCACCCCAGGTAATCTAATTTGAATACAGTCCACCATGATCGAAGGCAGTATAAGGCTAGGGTTTACAGGTGTAATCGGCCCTTAGTAATTTAAACTTCGTTTAACACAACGGTGGAATCGGCTCTTAGATATTCAAATCGGAAAACTCTAAAATTAGAATACATGAAGAGCACACCGCACAAAACGATGAGTCACTTTTTTATAAAAATGAGTTGGAGCCGATTCCACCATTGTGTTAAACGAAGTTTAAATTACTAAACGAAGATTAAAATGACACTGTATGATACGTCATTTTAATCTTCCTTTAGTAATTTAAAATTCATTTAACACAACGGTAGAATCGGCCCTTATAAATATACGATATAAAAGCCGAGTCTTTAGTATTTGCTAAACTAGTTTACACAGCAATAAACCTCATGGCTCATACTTACTTTTTATAGAAAAAAAAAGGTGTACACAGCAAAAACGATTAATGTTAAGGGCAAACACGGTTGAGGTCAGTGTGCGACATGCGTGAAGAACAAAAACATGACGTTTTTCACATATTGAGCAGTAAATGTTGCACAAAATGGCCGCTAACTCATTTTCCTGCTCCAAGTGTATTTTGGTTTCAAAACTTAAAATTCAATTTACAAAGAATTCACTTTTAATGACCTTCATCATTTTTGCTGTGGACTGTGAACTCTATATTTTTCTCAGTGTAGAATATTTAATTTCATAATGGCCTTTGATGCAGCGCTGCATCCAATCCCTAGAATAGGCTCGAGATGCGACTGTATGGGCGAAGAGTCGCAGGCAGGTTATTTTTCATCTCACTCGGGAGTATTTATAATAACCATTTTCTATTTCACATTGTTATTGTCTGTTCCACCTTGTGGACTGGGACAATAACAATGTGAAACAGAAAATGGTTATAATAAATACTCCTGAGTGAGATGAGCAATAAAAATGGCAGCGCCCATAGAATCATCTTGTTCTATTCAACAATATGCACATTGGCTTTCCTTTCTACTCCAGTTCATTGGCTGCAGCCGACTAATTTTTAGTCCATGACATTGAAAAAAGAAGAAACGGTGGCTGATTAGCTTTTATAAACAGACCGAACATTCAGTGGCTGTTTATCTTCATAAGTTTTGTTTACTAAGAAGAATGACATTTATTCATTCTTCATTCAGTCAGTCACAGTCATTCATTATTCATTCACGGTTTTTATTAGTTTATTTTGGCAAAAGTTTATTATTATTACCAAAGAAAATGCGAAAAAAGTGTTAAATAAACTTAACTGTGTTTGTAAACAACATGAGTAGAAATAAACTGTAAGTACATCTCAAAATTATTAAGAATAATGTAATTTTATATTCATTTCATAGAGGTTCATATTAAACATATTTACGGTAAATTAAACATATCTATAATTGGAAAAATTTGAGTATATACAAAACTCACCGATTTTTACAAAAATTTGAGAAAATGTTGTATAGACTGTTTATAATTCGCTACCATACTTTTTTTTTAGCGGAACTACTATTGCACCTTATTTTTTTCGTTTTTTATTTTGAATTTTTACACCATTTTTTTGAGTGAAAAGTCATAAACCACTAATAATCCGATGACACGATGACAGAATTCTATTGTATATAATCGATATATTCTATAAATCGATATTTTTGTTTTGATGTATCTACTGTAAAATTATTAAAAAAATACAGAAATAATCATTAAAAAGCCATTTTAACTGTAAACTAAAATCAGCTGATGAACTAACGCAGTTAATATCATGTTTTAATTTGTTAATTTGTATTATGACATACTTTAGATTTTCTGAATGAAAATCGATTTTTTCTTTAAATTACAGTGTTGCCGGTTTTTATTCAGAGTTGACCCGACTAAAACAAAAAATACCTAATAATTACTTTGACATTTAAATTTTGTGCTCTTTTTAAAAAAGTCAAAATTATATCTTTTAAAATGTTAAATTTGGTAAAATTATTTAAAATTTGTGAAAATAAAGTAGCAATGATAGAATATGAAGACAGGAAAGAAGATGAAGAAGATTTGGAAATGTAAAAATTATTATGTTTGTATTTGGTTTAATTTTATATTTTTTGTTTGTTCCTTTTATGTTCTTTTGAGTTTTTTATTTAATAAAGTTTGTTTATTTCTTTTGTGTAAAACTTTGGCTGAAATTGTTGTTTCATATACCAAAATCACTAGTTTTTTCTAAATATATTTAACTTTAACTGTCCCAATGGACCAAAAAATTAAAAACGGCGTCTTAATTGATGCAAAAGAAGTTTAAGGAAGGAGGCTTTTTATGGAGCAAAATTATAGTACAATCTACAAAATATATTATTAGTTAAAACTAGAGCTACCATGCGAAACTTATTGCTAAAAATACCTTTCATATAGGGTTGATTGTTCTAACAGACAATCTATAAAAGCCATATTAACAGCTAGAGCGAGCGCGCCCGACCGACCGTTTCGAAATTCGCGCGAATTTCGAAACGTCGGCCGGGCGCGCTTTTTTTACCTCTACATCATAATAGCAAGGTACGTTCGTCCCATCCATCTCCTAACCTCTACAGAAGAGAGCAAGCGAAGCGAGCGCGCCCGGCCGACGTTTCGAAATTCGCGCGAATTTTTACACCTACATCATAATAGCAAGGCACGTTCGTCCCATCCATCTCCTAACCTCTATAGAAGAGAGCGAGCGAAGCGAGCGCGCCCGGCCGACGTTTCGAAATTCGCGCGAATTTCGAAACGTCGGCCGGGCGCGCATTTTTTACACCTACATCATAATAGCAAGGTACGTTTGTCCCTTATACCTCCAAACCTCTACAGAAGAGAGCGAGCGAAGCGAGCGCGCCCGGCCGACGTTTCGAAATTCGCGCGAATTTCGAAACGTCGGCCGGGCGCGCTTTTTTTACACCTACATCATAATATCAAGGTACGTTCGTCCCATCCATCTCCTAACCTCTACATAAGAGAGCGAGCGAAGCGAGCGCGCCTGGCCGACGTTTCGAAATTCGCGCGAATTTTTACACCTACATCATAATAGCAAGGTACGTTCGTCCCATCCATCTCCTAACCTCTACAGAAAAGAGCGAGCGAAGCGAGCGCGCCCGGCCGACGTTTCGAAATTCGCGCGAATTTCGAAACGTCGGCCGGGCGCGCCTTTATTACATCTACACCATAAGAGCAAGGTACGTTCGTCCCATCAACCTCCTAACCTCTACAGAAGAGAGCGAGCGAAGCGCAACGTCAGCAGGGAGCGCTCGCTTACTTCTGTAGTGATTAGGAGGTGGGTGAGAAGAGCGAAGTGTTTAATTATCTCTCTCTGGTTCAAAATGATTTTTTGAATATTTGAAATATTTTTATTTTAAAAATAAAGAAAAAAATGTTGAACGCCGTAAAAAGTATCCACCGAGTAACGTCACGGTTCACATAGCAGAAATTGAAATAATTCAGCTATCCTCTTTAGTTGATAAGAGTGTTTCAAAACTTTTGGATAACACAAAGTAATTATGTTTAAAAGTTTTCGAAAAGTACATTGTTTATTACTTTATAGATGATGTAATTAATATTTAATTATCGTTTACTACAACAATTCAATCAAAATGAATAAATAAATCGTCGGATATGACTGGAAATAAATTAATAAAAGTTAATAAAAGTGTTTGGAAATGTTATGTTAAGAATAAGGTAGTTTTTATATTTATTTTTAGTTGATTTTAATTGGCCACTTAGTACTTAGTAACACTGCGATTTGTAATGACAGATATAATTCATATGAACAAGTTAACATAAATAATCCTTTTAAGTAATTAATATGTAAATTAAAAAAAATAATTCATTTATGGGGTTACCGGTGGTATATTTAAAAAGTACTCTCCTTCCTAAAGCCAAAAATTTAATTTTTGTAAAAACAAATTGAACTTTTAGGAAATACCGTTTTCCCAATAGGTATTTACCCAGAATTGTTATGTGTATAATGTTTCAAAGTGTTTAAACTTTTAGTAAAATTGTAAAATTTCAATAGTAATATCCGCCGTTCGGATGTCGGCGTATATAAGCAAGGCTTAGGTATTGATAATTTTATTGAAATTCCAACTTATATTTAATTTGAATATATCCAAAACATAGTCCTTTTATTTAAGAAATAATACACAACTTGGCGACCATGTGCTTCTTATATTGCATCCTTCAATGTCAAATGACAACCAAAATAAATTTATTGAATTAATAAAATAGCCTAAAATATCATTATTAAAATTTAAAAAAATAGGATTTCTTTAGGTTTCCGCCAACAAATTTCGATAAGTATATGTTATTCTTGGTGTCTAAAAGTGTAAAAATACATTTTTGTGAAAATATAAAAGTTTTGTGTATATTCAAATTTTACCTCTATAATTTAATAACATTATTTTTTCCTACCGGCTAGTTCAGCTAACAAGCCTACATATTGTGAACATTTCGATAATAAATTTATATTACAAACTAAAAAACTCTAATAAATATAGGTTAAGTTGATCATAATATGTTGTATTTACTTACTTCTTGATCTCTTGATGGCATTTCAGCTAAATATTGATTCATTTCGCCTTTATTTGTATCTACAATTGCTAACACAGACACACAACCGTCCACTGTACCTAAAACAAGAGCTTTACCATCAGGAGTGCTTTCTACAGCCGTAAGTTCAGCCTGAACTCTGTAATTAGCTACCATTTCAGCATCTGAGGTACTGAAAATGATTAATCAGTATGCGAGGAAATATTTTATACAAACATCTTTATGTTCACCGAGTAATAATATGTATATTTACTAAAAAGGCTATTTATACATTGTATAGGTTATAGGTATAATATAAATATCAAAGTAAATAAATGTGACTTAATGTATAAAAACCAAAGTAGTTGTACATGAGATATTATTACTGAATAAACTCTGTCCTTTTGAAACTTACCGAAATACTCTTAATGTTTTTCTTCCACTGTGGTAATATAAAACATATTCATCAGTACTGTTAAATAAACATATAATTGAAAAAACACCTTCGGCTACTTTAGGAATGTATGTTCTTACTGTGGTTCCTTTTTTAAGCTCTATTAATTCTAGACCCCCTCTGTAAATATAAGTAGGTGTAAAAAAATGAATATGCCCTCAATGCAACTGATAAATTTAATATATTTGAGGAAACTATTTCGTAAATACAAATAATGATAAGAATGGTAATAAAGGAATACCTAGAAGGAGCATATAAGCCATACTTTCCATCTTTAGTGAGACTACCTCCCCATTTTGGTACTGTTCTCAAGTGTTTTTTTGTTCTAATGTCAATTATAGACCCTTTATCTGCAGCTAAAACTGCAATAAGATGTCCTTTATGAGGCATTGCCACTAAACCTGCAACATCCTGTAAAGAAAATTACTCTTATGAGTTTCTTCAGGTGTAAGGTGAACCATCCCAATAAATGACCAATATTTACTGATTTATGATTTATTAAGAATTTTTAATAACCTAAGGCATCATATTATACAACAAATTGATCCTCATCTAATTTTCAATTTTTTTTTATACATTTGACAACACTGCTCATAATCGGCAGTTTACAAATGTCAGTTAAAAGTGCATGTGTTTTTGTTTCCTTCTCAAGTAACCACAAGTAATTAAGGTAAGTAGAGCTAAGTGTTTTTTATTTTGTAAAAAATATGTATTGGAGTTGTAAAACTGTTATGTTATTTGGACTAAACTGCATGAAACAAGATCAAATTTAGTATTTTTTAGGCTGTAATACTAATATAATCTCAAAAAGCATTTATTTTTTAAATGGTCAATAATAGGTAATGCTAGAGCTGAAAAATTCAGTGAATGACCGAATGTGGTCATTTACTGGGTTGGCAGGAACTTTAAAATAATTTGTTTTGATAATGTACTTTAATCACTATATGGATGCTTCTTTTATGCAAGCATTGTAAATAATAAGGGAATCGACTGCCTATAGATGACCACTCTTATTATCTAAATGCTCTTCTGGTCATTCACTGGATATTTAGCATAGTCAATGACTTTTTGCTGTTTATGTATTAAAATATTATTTGTGCAATAAAGCTATTGTGTAACATTTATTTTCAGATGACAGAAGCACCCAAAAGAGCATATACAAGGTTTAAGTATTCTATTGAAGATCTAAAAGCTGCAGTGACAGAAGTCCAAGAAGGAAGTATTAGTGCTACTAAAGCCAGTAAACAATTTAAAATTCCAAAAGGCACTTTAATTAATAAACTGCATGGAAAATCAGATTTTTCAGTAAGAAAGATGGGCCGACCAAGAATCTTGACTGCTCAGGAAGAAGATATGTTGGAGAATTGGATAATCCAAAAAGCAAAAATTGGGTTTCCTATGCATCCAGATGAAGTGAAAGATGACGTACAGAAGGTAATGGAAGAAACATGTTTACATTTTTATGTTAAAAAAGTTAAATTAGTAAACAAATTCATCCAGCTATTCCTTGCTTTTTCTTTTAAAAACAAACCGAACATTTTTACAAATATGTATATATCACTGTTGCCTAAAGTGGTCATTAACTGGACGGTTCATCCTACATTCATTTTTATTCTAATTCAAGGTAAAGGGTTAATTAATTGTTAAATGGCATATCTACTTAAGTTGCTGACATGGAAAACTTTAATTTTTTTTAGGAAAAAGATTATAATTTTTTATTAAAACAGTACTTTTTATAAAAAATAATATATTTTCCATGAAATTAAAAATACATTTTTTTCCATACATGTATATGTTGCTAACTTAAGTATACACCCTGTATACATGATACATGTGTGAGTCTGAAATATGTCTTGAATGTTGTTTAATTTTAGTGCAGCTGTGTAACTTTGTTCAGCTATGAAGGTGCATAAAACTATTTGTCAAATAATAAAGGTAATAATTAGTCAATTATTAATTATAATCACCTTAATTGCACACATTCTAAGAGGTATCCGATGGACCAAAGTACCATTTTGAGCATTATACACAATAACACAATCTCTATTAGTTTTATCTGCTCCTGATAACACCAAATGTTGATTATCGGAGGTAATAACTGCTGGCCTAAATGGAACACCTGTAATACTTCGAACTGAATATTCAAAAGTGTATACCATCTCACCACCTGTGTAGTAGGAACAGTTAAAATATAAATCAAATTTATATTTTGAATATTATATAAAAAAATATTTACTTTAAACAGTTAAAAGATTCCGATTTCAAATATAAAGGAAGAACAGCCAACTAAGTCTGTAAAATGTAATATTTTTTTTCATGTAGAGTTGGTTACTTGAAAGTTCTCCACTTAATACACATGAGAGAGAAAGAGAGATTAATTATATGTATTCGTATTTTTGGTCTTAAATTTTAACTGTTTAAAAGATAATTTGAATTAAATTCGCTTTATGTACTTGGTATTTCTCGAACACAGGCTGTTGCCATTGTTCTCACACAATCAGTTCCTGGAGCGTTGGTTGGTTTTGAAATAGACAGAATTTTTGTGCCATTGTCCATGAGGGTTAGCTGTTTTACACCAGGTTGTTCTTCTTTAAAGATAACTTGTTGTGTCAATCTTAACCATATTAATATGTTACCAGTTTCTGCAGATATTATATACCTAACAATAAATACATTATTATTACTTAATAGGTAAGTAACTGTAAAAAAATTGGATATTTTTGTCTTTTTGATTTGTTTACATTTTTCATTTCCGTTAGAAAAGGGAAAATAAGAGAAAAACAAATCCCGATTCTGAACACTATATTTGAAAAGTTTAGTAAAAAGTAGTAGTTTTAAATTACCTAAATTTCCACCTTTAAAAGTTGCAAATATTTCGAAAATTAATGAGTTCGTAACAAGAGTATCTACAAAATATATTAAATTTTTTAAAAATTTAGTCAAAATTAATACGAGGCATGTTCAGAAAGTAAAATATACTGTGACCATAACAGATTTTGTTTTTTGAGGGTTGGCAACACTGAGTGGTAGAGAAGGATCTCCTGACCAGACCGAGCTTGGGGGAAAGAGCTAGTGGGACAGTTCTTGGAGAAGGGCATAAAGAAGCTTGTGCCAAGGCTCACCAAATGCATGAATTAAATGTGGAAAAATAGTCAACAAGTGTATCAAAAATATCCTGATTTTTTTTTCAAATATACTTTCTAAAAAAATTAAAAAAAAAAACAGTATACTTTACTTAGGAGACAAGGGTGTTTCTTATCCATGTTATAAGTCATTGGCAAAAGTAAATTAACTAGTTTTTTTAAGGTGCCCCTTAGGATAATATTTCATTCAAGGGGGAAATCACTGAGGTCAATAGTACCCGTATTCCAGAAATCTCATAAAACATTTTTAGGGGAATTCAGTGATTTTGCTGAATATTAACCTTAATTTTATACGACGACTTTTTTTGGATTCTTTTCTTGACTTTTGATCCACAAACTGCTGCATTTATGTTTTTGAGTGAAGAATTGATTTCGAACTGATTTTGACCATGATTTTTGATGATGGTTTCAGAATTTTCGAGAAAATTTATAGTGATTTCAGTGATTTCGAGTGAAAATGTACCAGTAATTTGGGAGTGGTTTACCTCTCGACTTAATTGTGTTTAATAAAATAAAATAATACAGTGTAAGATGAGTGGATATAATGACTCAGGCGATGAAGCATTCCTCCTATGACTATGGGCTCAAACTTCGTTTAGTGTGATATGGACAATCCTTTCGAGTTCTACATTATGTGTTTTCAACAACCCACTAGATAAGAATACAAAATTTTTAAAAATGTTTTAACTAATATTAAAATAGGTATATACAGTACACGCCAAATCTAAAGAACCAAGGACGCGCATTTACAATGCTACGAACACGCCTACCGATGAATAGAATTGGTAGCTTACCTAGAAAGTTGTAAACCAGGGGCGGGTATATTTTAAGACATAAAATAAATGGAAAATAGTGAATGATACTTGTTCATACATATTGCTTAGTGTTATTAGTACATAATTCTATAGTCAATTAAAAAATCATTATTTTTAACTAAGCCGACTTTAGGTTAAGGCTGTTCTATCGCTTTCCGTTCGGTATTTATATAAAATTCTGTTACGGGCCGTACTTTAAAAAAAAGCTATTTAAAACATTACAATAGTTATACTAAAAACAAAAATAATTCTACAAAACATATTTTTATCTGAAAATCAAATCGTTTATGCAAAAATTGTTTCACATTTTGATAATAAAACCATTTAGAAACACTTGAAATAAATAGATTTAAAAATTCAAATATCCTCTTAAATGATCAATTAGATATTAGTAACTGAGCTTAATTAAATCTTTTTACCTGTTCTTAGTTTTCTGTGAGATAATCCCGGTTATGATATCTTATTGGAATTTTATTAATATATTTTTTTAAGTACCTACTTTAACTAATTAGTTTATTTTGTATATATATTAGAAATGTAAATGAGTCACATTTGAAGAAGCAGTTGTACTTAGAAACAATTGTCCTGCAATTTTTAATTTTTGTTTCCTAGGTGTTGAAAATGTAATTTTTCCAGTTGTTTCTATTGATTGTTTACCTTCCTTCAAAATTCTTTTAACGGTAGTATAAGAAGCACCTGTAAAAACGTAATATTATATTAATGTTAAATTTAGTATATTTTTTTACATTTATTAGGAAACAAAAACTTAGACACGGAAGATAAATTTAAATAATTCAAATATAAAATATTAATCAAAAATAAAATGCATAGATATGTGTGTAAAATACAAAAAATATGAAAAACTACACAAGTTTAATTGCAAATAAACTACAGAGTATGTTTGTGCAGTTTGAAGTTTGATATCATCTAAAGTAACTCCTTCCTTTTTTGTTGCGTCAAAATATTTAAAAACATTGAATATTACTTCACGACTTTGTCCGTTAATAACAGATCTGCGCTTTTTTTCACCCACAATAGAAGACATTATCAAAAATAAAACCAGTCACTTTAACCAAAACACAGAAACAAGAAACAAACAATGATCTAGTCGTTACTCTACTGACCGTAAGCAAGGACAAGGTTCAAATTGTGAATGGGCGTGGCGATTTTTAAATAAACGAAATTGAGCATTTGCGTTGGTTCTTTAGATTTGCCGTTTACTGTACCTATCTTGGTTGATTTAATATTTATTATAGAATGGTTATAAAATGATATCTGTTCAGTAGACTAATATGGGGTATACATTAATTCTGTAGATAAAGGTACATCATTTTTCAATTTTCAACTATGACATTCTTTATTGCAGAAACAATAACATTTTACCTAATACCAAATTTTAAGTCAGAGAAAATAGAATATCAGTTGCTCTATGTATGATTGCTCTATGTATGATTGCTCTATTAATTGTATATACATAGTTCCTCTATGAAGTACCTACTTTAGACTGTAAGTTTGTTAAGTAATAATTTGTTACATTTTATTTGACTTACTTCCCATCCGGAGTTATTATGGCATGAGTTACAATTGCTCCTAATGGACTGTCTGCTAGTTTTGCTGTAAGTTTTCCAATTCTGAGATCCCAAACTCCTACGCAATTTCTGGTCGCAGTCACAGCCAAACTTAAATTATCTGATAAACTAAAAAAGAAAATAATTGCAGTTGTACTTAAGTGATTGGCACACCTCAACAGTTATTTTCCTTTTACCTAATAGAATCAACTTGAAGTTCATGCCTATCTATTACATGAACAGTTTCAAAGATATTGTTGACATTCCACACTTTAGCTGTTCTATCAATCGACGACGTTACAATGCTATTCCAGTTGCCAACAGTCAAAGGTTCTAATTGTATTATACGTCCGAAATGTGCATCTAGGACTTTGACGACTTTTTTAGTTTGCATGCTCCACACGTAAAGGTTCTTTCTACAATTGTAGACGGGAAGTAAATATTATATTATTAAGAGGGAAAGCCCACTCACGCGACATGTCGCTCGCGACCTGCCGCATGCGATTTTTTAGGTGCGATTTTTAACAGATGACAAGCAGCGACACAGACGTTCAGTATCAAAATAGAGGTGGAAGAAGTAGTAACGGTGTTGTTTTATTCTGTTCGTCGGCGGAAAAAATTGAAACGACGTAGGTACTGGGTTCATCCATTATTTATAGATCCTTATGTAAAAGGCGCATTTAATTTATTACATAAGGATTTACGTCAACACGAAGATAAGTTCTTCAAATATTTCAGAATGAGAGTAGTGTCATTTGACGAACTGCTAGCGCAGATTCCCGAACAAATATTTTTTTCGCTATTTTATTTCAATTAACTGTTCGATATTTGAGGTCGGTCTTGAATATCGGATATAAATTCATCTATATCAATACAACTGTCGGAAATTTTTTCACTGGAACTGTCGAAAAGTTAACAGGAAACTACAACTCTCAACTGGCGTTTCCCACGCGACTTGACGTTTGTATGAGTGATGCTCCATATGACTCCATGATAACGCTGTCTCTTCTAATTTTCAGCCGCGTGCGACCACGCGACAGAACCGCGTTAATGAGTCATTTAAAAACATCTAAAGTATTGCGGCGCGCGATGCCTCGCGATCAGTCGCGCGCGACGTGTCGCATGAGTGGGCTTTCCCTCTTAAGGTTATTTCTGACGAGTGGAAATAGTTTTAGTTTTACCTGACGCCGGCAATGGCGTAGTTTTTGTGAGCACTTAGAGTGATAGAATTTGATTGCAACATTTTCGTTGTTATATTTCTTGTACCATATGGCAGCATTAAACATACAGCCTTCCACTCGGCTCTTTCATCGTTGAAATCCCATAAAACAAATCCATTACTTGTTGTTCCTAAATACAAAATGTAATAAATCAAAATAAATTGTTACAGTAAATGGTAAAGAATTTTAATATCAAACTACAGAAAATAAAAGGTATCCAGTGAGCAAAATTACTTGAAATATTAATTTAATTTTGCTTATTACATATTTCTTTATTATGTTGTGTATAAGGTTGCCATAAACATACTTATAATGCCATAGAGTCGATATGTACAGGACATATAACGATTCTAACTAGCACTAATTTATTTAGATGCTTTACTGTAAATTGTATTAAACCACCAAAATTATTAATTTATAACAATTTTTAAAGCTAGCAGCAATAAAAGAGGTTATTAATATGAAAGATCCAAAAAAGTAGAGAGGGTAGAATGATAAGGTACCGTCTGCGCATCCATCACGAGTGTAGAAATTATGCATGATTCAACCTTTCACACGTAAATGACAAGGAGAGGCTGCCCTAAAGCACTGTAAACAAATTCCAGGCTTGGCTTTGTTCAGTTATTATATTTATGCACTATTTTATAATTGTTGCACAAAATGTTAAACCGTTCCTGAATCTTGTTTACAAAATGTGTAAAACGAAATTGTGCATAGTGTCTATACTTTTTTATTAACAGTTATCATTCTACCCCTCTCCACTTCATTGGAAAGATCACATTCTGACAAATTCAATCAATAAATGTCAGAGTATCAATAACTACCATTGACTACTTACTAAAAATAGTTAATGTATTACAAAATGTACTAAGAGCGTTGTAAAGATTATAAAGCATAGCACTGGCATAGCCAAGTGTTTTACTTTCTATTTTATAAAAATAAATAGGTTTTTTAAAGATTTTTTAAGTATGGAGCACTGAGAATACAGAGCATAAAGGGCCAGGAGAAATTTCCTTGCATATAAAAACGATCGTTGCACAGCACAACCAGTGGGTGAGAATACAATAGAAAATGTTCCAACAGTAATTGCAAGATATCTAAAATTAGACAGTCCAAAAGATTATACTTAGAGTATCCTATAGAATAGAAGTAAAATCAAATATTAAATATATAGAGTTCAAAGGAAAAGGCAATTAATCCTATTTGATAGGCCCACTTTTATTTTTTACTTCTTTTATCACATGTTTTAAATATCTGTATAAAAACATGATATTTTAATGTAACATTGAGTTCTAGATTTAGCATAAAATGATAATTGTTATGTAATAATCTTACCAAATAAAATTTTGTCATGTTTATCCAGCTTAAGTTGCAATATTTCTTCTTTGCCATCATTTTCCGCCTTAGGTAAATCTTCAATTTTTTCCCATTCTTTCGATTCCTTGTTTTTCATATACTTGGAAATTATATATGAATCTGTAGCGGAACAACCATATAGGGTGTTTTTATCTTTTGTTAAAACCATTGCACTATAAAAAATATATATAAAGAAGAGCAGAGAAATAACAGTAAAATCTATAGAACTAATTTTTTTGTGTCTGGTATAGTAGTCACATATTGAGAGGCACATAACGGCAACGGCGCTGTGCAGTCTCTCCTACCTCTAAGTTGTAAACAAAGCACAACCGAGCAGATGCGCTGTTGCTCATTATAACTGCATGCCAGACAGGAGGAAATAAGTACTGCGTTGGGACCTATAAAGAAATGATACGCCCTCTACTGTGAATACAAGATACTACTCATTGGTATATAAATTATTTCACTTCTTTGACGGACGTATTGTTTTCTATGTGATTAAACGGTGTTTTAGGTAACAAGTGTTTCCCTTTGGAATAATATATTTAATAATAAGGGCCAGTCTTTTCACCTCTGATTAAAGTTGAAAGTAACTACTTGCTGATTAAACTATAGGGCTATTGTTTGTTAATCTGTCAAGTAAACCTACATGTAACTTTACTCAGAGGTGAAAAGAACAACCCTAAATCTAATAAATAACATTTTTATCATCTCTACTCAAACACACATTTACAATATACAGATACAGAAAGTTAAACTCATACCCTCTGTTTTGAGTTGGACAAAGTAGTTTAGTACGAATATAATATGTGAAACAAAGACCACTGATAAGCGAGGAACGCCCGTTATAGAATACGTATGCCTCGCACAACTCCCTCTTGACCCATTTGTCGTATGCGCGATTTTCAATTTTAAAGTCTGTAATATGTTCAAATTTGACACATCTATTGTAAAAATGTAGGAATAGACTTTTTAAAAATATTTCTACGGTATATAATAATGTATTCATATTTCACGTTCTGATTTTATTTTGTTTGATGATTCAGTCAGGACACTATTTTTATATAGGATGAGAAAATGAAAAAGACTGAATACCCTGAATTAGTGGTGACTTAATTTGTGTACAGTGATAGTTGACAGTGATTACATTACATTAATTATAGACAGTGGACAAATTTCAGGAGTGTCTAAAAATTTATTTTTCATAAAAATTATGCAATTAAAATGTAATACAAAATACATAATTATTTTTACTAAAATACTAGATAATAGCATATCATACTTAAGATCATTTGTCTTCGATGTAAATTATTATATTTAAATGTAAGGCAAGGTAACTATTTAAACCTTTTTTAATCAAATGAGACCTGATATGTACATGCCTGGTTCAATTTATATTGCATTGTAATAGATTCTCTCTTAATTAATAAAAAGTGTATACAATGGTATACGTAGAAGATAGCACCATATCCAGATGGATGGCTCAGCTGCTATCTATAAGAACTGCAGAGATACAGATAGGGCAGGACACTATCTCAATCTACACAACCATAGGATGTCCACTAATGTGGATCCTAACTGTAGACGAACTTCTATACAGATTAACTGAACTAGGCACACCCTGTCAAGGTTATGCCGACGACAGTCATATTTGCTAGAGGCAAGTTTGTTAGAATATTTCCTGTATAAGTCCAAAGAACACATCAAAAGATGATGCGTCGAGGTGAGACTTAGTATAACCTCGCCAAAACAACACTAGTAGCTTTTTCAAGGATAAGTAAACCCTGGACAACAAACTTATCTGGAACATACATGAGAAGGAAGTAGTAAATAAGGCTACAAAAGCCCTAATGTTATGCAGCTCCGGGACATAACGGGGTAAAGGGTAACGAGATTGCAGATAGTCTAGCAAGTAAAGGGACTCAAACAGCCTTTGTGGGACCTGATAATAAGAGAGTCCACTGCAAATTTCGACCGTCATCTGATAAGAAAATGAAATATGCTCCAAAGGCATTTAACAACATTATACTTTATCAAATTGCACCTGTGCCAATCCCTATCCTGAGCAAAGTGTTTTTTTTACACCCTTTGGAGACCTCCCGTGCTACACCCTAATCCGTCTGTAGTCTGGCAGCACTGCAGCCTCCGGCTTATTGTACCACCATTTGAAGGTCTTACTACTTTCCCATTCACACCCTCATTCATTCCACGTCGTCGATGGTTAAAAGCTAGTCCGATGAATCTCATGGTGGAACCTCCCAGCGGTCACACATCCACGACGTGACCGGAGAGATCACTACTTAACTGTTACGAGTAAGTGGATGCACACTAAGCTTGCGGCTAGCCTCTCCGGCGAGCAAAGTGGTTGAAAAAATATATTTTATATTCAAAAAATCACCTAAGACACGACAGCGACAATTGTGTTTTCCCTGAAAATTACAATCCTAATTCATTGTGAACCTAACTTTTAAACCTGAATTATTAATATTTTTACCTACCTTTTAAACCATGTGTATGTGTGAAAGGAAGAAGGATGGCATTGTATAAACCATTTGCAGAGCTAGTCAAAAACTCTTGTTAAACAATTATTTTAAACCATAATCATAGTAGTTTTTTTGTCGTTTCTATGGCAACCTGTAAAAATGAATTACAACAATAGGCATACAAATAAATTTTTAAATCAGCAAAAATTGATTCATATTTGATGATTTTTACCTGCTAATCGTGGATAGATGTTTCATATATCAAGATATATTTAAATGTTATTTTCTGGAAAACTTTAAGGGCAAACAAAATTAGCGCTGTCATACCTTATTTAATTTTTTTGATATAAAATATTTTTTTTTAACCACTTTGCTCGGGATTGGGATTGGCCCAGGTGCCATTTGGTAAAGTACAATGTTTTTACATGCTTTTGGGGTATATCTCATTTCGTTATCAGATAAAAATTTGCAGTGGGCTCTTGTGCTATGAGTTCCGCGGTATCAGCAGTAACACAATGTTAGTAGATATTAAAAGAGAATTAGGCACTAAAACAACCGGTAATTGGAACAATATCTTGGGGCTAAGACAGGCTAAGATATTTCTGGTCTAGGTGAATATAACCAGAAAAGATCTGAAGCCTGTATCTGCTTGAGCAAGAACAGACTACTCATTGTAACAGGGATCCTTACTGACCTGAAGGATACCTTAGTAAACTGAGAGTAGTACAAGCAAGAGACTTTGCTCACTACATACACACAATCGATTTTAAACAACTTACTAACTTTCCAACACAAATACGCAATGAACAGAGCTCTTTGATTGAGATAAAAAGCTAGTCACCTCAATAAAATCCGAACCTCCAATAGGCTTGAGCGACTATGTAGTCATTACAGCAATCATTGTGTTAAATTTCAGAACTGGCAGTACTCACAAAGTGCAAAAACGAAATTTTTGGAAAGCGAATTATGAAGCGATCAACAAAGAAATTTTTCCAAAAGAGTACCCATTTACAAGTAGCAGAGGAAACAACACATGCTGCTAACAGTTCTTACGAAACTTTAAAAACATACTGCACAAAGTAATAAATGACAATATTCCACAAGTAATAAATAAAAACCCTGAAAAACCCTGGATCAATCGAACCCACTTCAAAGAAATTAATAAAAGAAACGGAACCTATAGCATAGGTACAGGACAACAAGAGTTGAAGAAGATAATGATGCATACAGAAATCAGTATAACGAACTTAAAAATTCATTGGCTGTATCTATAGAAGATTATGAACATAACCACTCAAAAAAGCGGCGATAAGAAATTCTACTCCTATGTGAGAAGAGTACTGAATACAAACAGCACTCAGATCACGTTAAGACACCCAACAACAAATTTAGCAATCACAGAACCATTTGAGACAGCAGAAGGATTTGCAGTACAGTTCAGTGCAACTTACACAACAGAAACTGATACAGAATCACTGCAAATAACTACAACAGAATGGGTTGAAAATAGCATAGTAAATATAGAATTTACCCCAGAAAAGTGAAGTTTGCAATAGATGGTCTTAAACAAGATTCAAGTTCTGGATTAGATGAAATTCCCACCCTTTTTTCTTAGGAAATGTTCTAGTAGCCTTCTTAACCTCCTCGTGACAGTTATGAATGACAAAATGCAAAGACAGGATCTGCTAATGGACTGGAAACTCCTATATATAAGAAACGTGACAAAAAGAATTCCATAAACTACCGTCTAGTCAGTCTTACAAGCTGTATCGGTAAAGCAGTGCAAAAGATTATTACAGAAGAATAAACCGAGTTCATGATGGAACACAGAGTTTTACCAAGCATTCAGCATGAATGTATGTCCAAAAGATCTGCTGTTACAAATCTTCTAAGTGCAGTTAGCCAGTGAACAGCTTGGAATGACAATAACCAGCCAATTGATGTGATATATTCTTGATTATGAGAAAGCTTTTGATAAAGTTTCACACAGACGGCAACTTAGCAAACTGGAACACTTTGGAATAAGAGACAATCTATTATTGTGGATCAATAATTTCTTATTCAACCGGCAGTAAGAATAAATGGACATCTGTCAAAAAACCATCCAGTTCAAAGTGGAGTACTACAAGGCTCGGTCTTCGGTCCCCTGTTATTTATTTTATACACCAGCGATTTATGCAAAATCATCGAGTCCGTAGCCAACTTTTATGCAGACGATGGAAAGATCTACTGCAAGCCACTGGAAAGCTCTCACAAAATGAAAGAAGACTTGAATAAAATAGGAATCTGGTCCCAGCAATGGCTACTAACTCTCAACATAAACGAGTGTACAGTATTGCACATAGGCCTAAATAATCCCCACACACAGTATACCTAACTTGAAGCCACACCAAATTCTACATTTCCTTGTGAACATAGCATTAGAGACAGAAGGGGACACAATAGATTTTTTAGGGCACAGTGCATTAATACCCCATGCCCAACGCAACATAACATGGTATACGCGAACATTTTGCAGGTTATATAGTAGATGAGGTGGCACAATGTTCGTTATTTAAGAAAAAGAGGAAATCGTTGTTTGGCGTAGAAAATATGTAATGGAAATTCAAAGATATCACAGTGAGGGGAAAACGTTTATTATGTGGATGAAATCTGGGTTAATCAAGGGTACACTGTTACAAAAACTTGCCACGATTTAGAATTTAAAAATCATAGAGATACTCTCTTACAAGGCTCTCTACTGAACTGAAATCATCTTCGAGTAACTGCCAATCATTACGCTTTTTGGCAGTGATACCGGATTTGTTGAAGGAGGGCTTAATGTTAAATTACGAAAAACCTGGGATTTTCACAAAGACGGATGCAAATGAAGCAAGCATGGTTTCTGTCTACATTTTCGCGTTTTGAACCTGGTTCAGTCATTGTATTAGATAACTTGTCGCTTAGAAAAACTTGCCACGACAGCGTGGAAAAAGATAAAATATTCGATTGCTTAAAAACGAAAAATATACAAAGTGTTAGTATATTCGACCGAGAATTTTGAAAGAAGAACATGAACTCTTAAAGGGCTTAGTTACCGAGATACAGGGTGTTAAAAGTTTCAAATCAAAATACAAAATTCGCCATAAATCATAAACTTTAAATATTTTTTCAAATTTGATGACAAATATGCTTAAAAAAATTAGCCAGTGGCGTGCTATCAGGGAACAAATATTTTTTGATTTATTTTTTAATTTTCTTTTCGTTTTTAGTTTAAAAAAAAAGTAATAACCTTTTATGGAACTAAACTGAACGGTGTGGTAGAAACAAAAGTCTGCATCTACTTAGATATTTATAATGACTCAATATTTCTAAATTCTAATCTAGTAGACACGTGTAAAATTTTTATTAATTTGTGTAGTTGACAAAATCTTGGTTGATCAAATTTGAAAAAAAAAACATTTAAGTACTTTTAACACCCTGTATCTCGGTAACTAAGCCCTCTAATGATTCATGTTTTTATATCAAAAATTCATCAAGCTCACGACGTCGTCCAACTTTACTTTCTCCCTAAATTGACGTTGACATTTCTATCTCTAAAGAATTATACGTAGGTAAATATTTAAAGATGCTATAATACCGACCTTGTCCCTTTTGTATTAAAATCACTTTTGAGAAATTACCTATTATTTACTAGCTTAATTATTTCTAAAACGTTGAATAAAAATAAAATGATTGGTTAGGTTAATTAAGTTAAATTTATTTCTATTATTTTTAAGGTTGTATTTATTTAGCACCTTGCGATAGTAGTTTGTGCAACAACGGCCATGGCATATCCCACGAAGATTAAGTTTAAGCACGGCGCGTCGTAGGCGAAATGCTCAAACTCGATTTGTATAGTAATTTTTTGTACGACCCACTAATGAAAATCTACACATTTAAAAAATTATTTTGAGTTTATTAAGATAAAATTACTATTTTAAAAATAATTTACAAAATTAAATAAACTTTGAAAAAAGTGTTTTTAATTAGTCTTCATTATCTTGAATTTGAACCCCGGACCTTTCTCATGGCAACTCAGTACTTTTTACTTTTGAAAAATATACTGTACAACTCGAGTGGATTGTCATTCTTGTTGCACAAACTACTAATAATCTTTTTTCGACATATCAGTTCGCCTCTAACCATTTACGAGTTCAGAGAAGCTGGTCCTCATAAAATAATTTGTGTGCAATTTAATCTTATCAGTTATAGAACAGATTGGCAATGATATCTATCATGTTTGATGAAAATTGATTTGATAACGAATATAAAATGGTACCTTAACTTTGTCTCATACGAACAACCAAATCCATCTTTCGATATATTTGTTGTTAAAATAGGTTACCTATAAGTTTGGTTTAACATGCAACATATCGATTTTGAAGAGGTTTTTGCTTTTACTGGAGAGGCAAAAATAGAGTGAATGGATACACTTAAAAGGTAAATAAATTTAATATCCGTATATACGAGTATTTTGGGCTACTGCTCGGACGAAAATAAATAGAAAATGGTTTAAAACAATTTAGTGTACAAAATGGTTCAAAAAGGCTCTTTCTTACTAACAAATTTAAAGACTTACGAGCTTGTAAAAAGTAAGAATGTTTTATTTTTTAATTTTAACCAATTAACCACTTAAAAGTTTAGTAGTGAAAATGCTAAATGAAATAATATGGAGATATAAGAAGTAGAGACGAATAAATAACAATATATAGGACAAAGATAACAAGACGGTGACTTTTACAGTAGTTTTAGAACGTATTGTTTATGGGGTGTTATTTGAACTCGGGGGTTACTGTTTCAAGATAAAGAATTTATTAAGAAAAAATCATGATATATCAAAAAATGCAGTTTTTGGTCACGTAAATCTACGAATTTTCGGAGTAGTAATAGTAGTAGCCCAAATTTTTTTTTTAGCAAAACAAACATCTACAAAGCTCGTATTAGAACATGGTTATGCAAATAAAGGATACCTGTGAAATTCTAAATATTTGTAATCCCCATCTACAGTACGTGCAAATAATGACATTCTTGTATCTTCTAGATTTCCTTTCCAAAAAATTATTCTGTATTCGTCTTTATTATCGAATTCCATATCTGGAAAGTAATAAAGGTAAAAAACTGAAGTATCTAATCTTAATAATAAAGATAAATAACATTTACATTTATCATTTAAGGAAATAAAACAATTAAGTGATTATAAATGTAATAAAAAAAATGTGTAATGGATTATATCATGTAAATTTCAAATTAATTGTGTTTTTTACGAAATTTCACATTCAGTCATTTATTTTTGTTTAATAAAAAAAATTGTTAAAGTTACTATTCTCCACTGATTAAACGTTTTTTGAAAAACCGATATTTTTTAACAATCGTTTTGAAGTCTATATTATTATAAAAAAAAAGTGTTATAATTTGAAAAATACCCCATAATTTGATTTTGAAGTTTTACAATTTGATAGAGACAATTTGTGAATCATTTTTTAACTTTGATGATGTAGATCACAATACAATCATGTGGAGTTGAAATAAAATAAATGAAAATTTTGTAAAAAAAAACATTAATTTAATTAAATATAAAAATTTAGTCATTTTAACTAATATTCCGTATAAAAATATATGGTCCGTATTTAAAATATATGGTCGCTTATTTAAAATGTATTTATTATCTATTGTTACACATAAATATAGGTTTCATTTATATTTTTTTTAAGTCAGCAGATTCCAAAATATCTTGAATTTTAGTTTTTTTGGGTTTTTATTTATCGGCATATCACAAAAAAGGAAGAATTTCTTTTGGGTTTCGTTAGTACTTCAAAATTAGTTGTTCCAATTTTTAACACGTTTCACTTTTGTGGAATCACCCTCAGGTCAAATATTTAAAATACGGGACCTAGATTTTTATACTAAAATCTGTTCGCTAGCAAAGCCAATTTCGTGTTTTAAACAATGGACATTCAGTTAAACTAAACTTAATTGATTAATTTCAGTGAATTATCGTCGAATTAAAACTAAAAAACATTAATGTAATCTTTTAGATGCGAAAAAGTGGACCAACTGTAGGAGAACTTAATATTAAGTTCCATAAAGATGCATTAATGAGCTGGTCGAATAAAAAACTCTTATCAGTAGGTAATTAAGTGTTCATTACTGTTTATCGAACATTTTTATGGGCGGAGATCAGAGGAAAAAGCCTTAAGTGAATACAGCACCCCCTTATAATTTTTGGACAAGCATATTTCAAAAAGTAATTAAGTAAAAATAAAAATTTTGGCAAAATAAATTAGGTAGTATTATCTAGATTTGCATATATTTTAAAGTTTTAAATTCTTTATATAAATCGTTTATTTAGTCAAAAAAACTATTTTTTTTTATATTGTCAATACATCTTCACATTTAAAATATAAAAAATACATAAGTATAGAATCAACATACATTTAAACATACAATAAAAAATATATAAGATACAGTTACACCTACATGTCAACTAAACAAAATATAATAAAAAGAACAAGAAAGAGAAGAAAAAAAAACGTCAATTGGGCAACAAGAAATATTGCCACGTTTGAAGAACATTTAATATCTTCAGGCAAATTATTAAAAGCCTGTACACCTTTAATAAACACTGAATTTTGTGTACATTTTTTCGTAGCCTTATAAACTCTTAACATTTTTCTTATTACGTGTATTGTGTTCATGAATATCCTGATTATAACTTAAAATATTTTGTAAATATACTGGGGAGATTCCTGATTTAATTTTAAATACAAAAGGCAGGGAATAGAATAGGAAATATTTTTTAACAGGCAACCACTGAAGCACATTCAACATGGAATTGATTGGTTCCAATCTCGAACAGCTCAGTATTATCCTCATACCTCTATTCTGCAACTTTTGCAATCGTTGCAACTCATTCTGGTTGAGCAAATATAATATAGTGGCACAATAATTAAAATGAGGTAATATTAGAGTATTGTAAATTATTATTTTAGCCCATTTGCTGAGATGTGGAGAACAGCGCCTCAAATAGTATATTTAAAAGATATACTTTTCATCACGTTATTAGCATGTTCCTGAAATTGTAAATTTATATCAACCATAATCCCTAGATATTTAAATTTTTCAACTCTCTGAAACATCAACAGAAGCACGCTGCGATGATACATTTATTTTTTTAAATTTCCAGTACCCCCAATTAACATCCACTTTGTCTTTTCGTAATTTATTTCCGTTACAATAATCATATATTTTACTTATAGAACTATTCATTTTTTTAAAACAAGTTTCAGTGTTTTCATGGGTAAAATATCAGTGTATCATCTGCAAATAAGTGTATTGAGCATCTTTCAACTACACCAGCATTAATGTCATTAATATAAATTAAAAACAGTAGCGGACCTAGAACACTACTATTATTCTCTATAGTATCTGAAACACAATTACTTACCTTAACCTTCTCTTTCCTATTTTCCATATAATGACCCAACCAGTTCAGTGCACAACCCCCCAAACCAATAGCTCTTAATTTCATTAATAATCTACCCCTATTAATAGTCTTAAATGCCCTCTGTAAATCTAAAAATACCGCCAGTCTAACCAAATTATTTTCAATTGATAACTTCCAGTCATGCAACACCAACTGTAAATCAGTTTCCGAAAAAAAAAAAAAAAAAAATTTAAGGAGCTTTAACTTTTGAAATCTCATAATGAGAATAAATGCATTCCTCAACAGCACTATTCTTAATATAATCCTCAAATTTGAGCTCTTAATGTCGTGTTAATGATTTTTTAAAATTCGCCAAAATTAGTGGCTAAAACGCCTTCTGGTGTAACTATCGTATTGTACACTCTTAGTCATTATTCGTTTCCTGCAACAATTTACACCAGTTTACATCAGAAGATAGCACTTAACGAGGCGTTTTAGCCACTAATTTTGGCGAATTTAAAAAATCATTACAAGACATTAAGAACTTAAATTTGGGGATTATATTAAGAATAGTGCTCTTGAGGAATGCATTTATTTTAATTATGATATTTCAAAATTTAAAGCCCTTTAATTTTTTTCTCGGAAACTGAAAGGAATTAAAACTTTAAAATATATGCATGTTCTAGATATTATTGCCTAATTTATTTTGCCAAAATTTAAATTTTTTTAATTTTTTTTTAATTTTTTTTTAATTTTTAAGGGGTGCTGTCATCACCTTAATGCATATTAGAGAGTTGAAGTGATGCTATGAAGGTAAACGTATACGTGAAAACTGACATCTGCGCATGCATATTCAAATATACGTGTATAGCTTCACTTCAACTCTCTATTATTTTTTCAATCACATGACATAATACGTATACATTTTCATCCGAATTACTGTCACTATTTGTTTCTTTCAACTTTATGCTTATGTGATTGATGTTAATACATTTTAGATTCTACTTTTATCCATTTTGTAGCGTCTATTCCACCAATAGTTTCTTAAAGGTGCTAGTTGACGTCTGCCAATTTAGTTCACAATTATTCTAAGTAATTCCCCATTTCGAATTCGTATTATTTCATCACTTTTGTTGTGCTGGGAAGTGTTGATTTGTCAGTAATAGTAATTCAGGTTTAATGAAATCCTCAAGAAACTCCTTTTTTTTATTACGCCAAGTATTTGTGGGAAACCGTTCCAGTTTTCGGCTATGATATGATGCGTTGTCCATTACTATTACTCACGAAGGTAGTATCCTATGAAGAATTTGGATGAAACAATTCTCGAAAATAGAATTCATCTTCTCGTGGTAATCGCCTGGCTTTTTGGATTCAAATAGCCGAAATTCAACAGTTACAAGTTCACTTCTAGTTCCTATATTATGTAATATGATTTAATTGACGTCCTCTTCCTGTCGTTATTTTCATTCCTGAAGACAATTCTTCCATTAATGCTTGACGTTTTTATCTTTCCAAACTTTATAGACCGTCATATGGCGACAGGTTTAAGTTCCCCATTTTCGCATACAAGCCTCGAAGACGGTTGAAAAGTACATCGACTTTTGAGTAGAATGAAAGGAAATTAACAAAAATTAAAGGTATTTTGTTGCCCATATTTTCACGCAAGCCGTGTTTACTAAATGATTAAACTAATAGAACTAGGCTTCGGAAAACCAAAGCCTTTAATGTTGCAATTGGCTAAAGGGTTGAAATAAGGGCGTAATCTTGTAAGAAAAAAAATAGAGATTTTACACAAGCCCATCGAATGTATGAAAACTTATATCGTCACTAGACCAAAAAATATTGGCTTGAATGACCCGAATGGATAAGTGCATTTTGGGTCAGAATTTTCCATGTCTTATCCTCGTAATTTTCCTTTCATTCTACTCAAAATCGATGTACGTTTCAACCCTCTTCGAGGCTTGTATGCGAAAATGGGGTACCTAAATCGGTCACTATCTGACGGTCTATAAGACACTCTGTGGCCTTCATTTTAGGTATCGTCTATATATTTCCCTTCCATGTTCGCGTGCTTTTCTAATTGCTCGTATGTAATTCCTACGCCAGCATATTATCTCATCCTGTTCTATTGACATGCTGTATCGCAATCTTTGTTCTTTTTGTCAGCGTTTCTTAACGTAAAATATGCAATTTTTACTGGCATTTAATTCAAGCAGCAACTTCACTTAAATACCAATTTTCTTCCAACTTTGCTAGAGCCCTCGACTTTTGAGCGTCGTTTAAATGCTGCGGCATTTTTGAAAATTTATTTGAAAAATCATATTCAAGAGCTGTCAAAATTGAATACCATTACACACAATTTTATAACTTTTAGGCGTTCACATTTCGGCTTCGTCAACTGTACTTCCTACTCCTATATTATCTACAGCAAACACATTTCCATTAGTTCGTCTTAATTTTTCCTTGGATAGTCTTCGGCCAAAGCGGAAAAAACATTTCTCACCATTGTTTTTTTCTTCCAGTTTTTTTTTTTTAGATTTATCAACCTTTGAAAATACAAGGCACATTCATTTTCATTTAAATAAGTCACTGTAAAACTTCAAAATTGAGAATCGGTAATATCAAATCAACAAAATCTATTTGAATACCTAATAAATAAGTTCGAAAATAATGACCCAGAAAAATTAACAGTTCTATACCAATAAAAAATATTTTAAATAAATTATGTCCATTATTAATTTAATGGTGTGTGTCTACGCCATTGACCCTTGGGTTTTTTTCAGTCCGCATTGCTAGCAAACAGAATTTATATTCGTAATAAAATTAAATATTCATACGTAGAATCATCCAATCTGACATGTCCAACGGCGCGACATAATCTTCTTGTCGATTGCCTCTCATGTCAAATTTAATCCAGTTTTCACTTCCGTAAATATAGAGGTTGTGGTTTAGTAGGTAAATTCCTGTTACGCTATTGCCCCCCGGTAAAGGGTTGTCAATGATTACAAATTCGCTGGATAGCATATTAAGTAAAACCGTCTGAAAAATGCAAAAAAAATAATTCATAAACCTATTAATAGATTAACAGCTAGTTGCAAGAACGTTCATTAAAATTTACGAGCCTGATCTTCCGATCTGTCATATTCACTGGATGGATATCAGGGGCGCATATACGGGGGGTAATGCGGGTAACTACCCCCTCCAAGAATTCTTAAATCTAACTGGGTACTAAAATGTATTATTATCAAAAATAAAGTATTAAATATTACAACTAGACTTATACTCTGGATGCGCCACTGATGGATATAGCATATATGTAGATATTTGAAAATGTGTGCCAACAAGGGCACCGTAAGTGCCCTGAATGGGAGTTTTTTTGGCAAATTATGGCGAGAAAATTTAAAATTAATAAAGAGCTAAAATAGATTTATGATTTGTAAGAACATTACTATTAAACTGTCAATAAATGTTTTCTACGTTCATAAGACTAACTATCAGTTCGACATACCTAATCTATAATTTGCTTTTTTGTGATAGAAAATGTTAGAAACATGAAGCATGTTGGGTTACATTTTTCACGAATAAACGTTTAAATCATTGTACCAAGTTTAAGTAGAAGAGTTCATATAAACAATTTCCCTAAAAAATCTGGTTGTCAAAGTTTTAAAGAAACAGGATTTCTATTAATATTTCAAACGTCCTCTTGTCGATTTTTTTGAAATTAGGCAGTGTTATTCAAGCATTCTAGTATTTTAAAATACATTAAGTACCAAAAAATGGGCAAATGTAGCTTTGACCTAACTCTGCATGCAAATCTCCATCCCCAAACTACTGTATCTGTAACGTGTTGAGGGTGTGTCAAATAATTTAACAATGAGTTTATAATGTTTAAATTTATTAACAGTTAACAGTTATGACCCATCTGTATCTATAACGTGAGAAGGGTGGGTTAGCTTACGACACTTAGGCCTCACTATGCCCATTGTGCATCCTCCTAAGTAGATAGGCACCTCCTAGCTCGTGATCCAGCCTACAGATTTAATATAGTTGACAACTTCGCCAAGAGGTGCTTCTCTTATGTCTACCGGTGTTAGCTGATACTCGCCGAACACACATTTTCTAATAAATAAGTGCGTCGGGCAATCGTAGAGAATATGCTTGATGGTCTCATCTTCTTGTTCGTACCCCCTGCAGAGTGCGGACTCTGACAACCCCATGATATGGAGATACGTACTTGGCAATGACCAGTCAGAATACTTGTGATCAGGCGCAGATTCTGTCTAGTCATAGTCAAGTATTTGTTTGCTGTTGTATTGTGCTATACAAAACTATTCTTAAACCAGTGTGGACTTATGGAATCCAACTTTGGGGCACTGCCAGCAACAGCAATATATAAATTTTACAAAGATTCCAGAATAAGGTTATCCGTTGCTTCGTCAATGCATCCTATTATGTTCCAAATAGGGTTCTCTAACAAGCATCCCTCTAGCATCAATGAAAGAAGTGATAATTATCGTCAAAGAGTGTTAGTGCATCCCAACGTTCTAGCCAACAGAGTTTTTGAATAGACAGGCGAACCAAGACGGCTCAAGAGGTTTACACCATCTGAACAGACAGATTTAGAAAGTGTTTTAGTATTCTAGTAATTAAGTACTTAGCTTAAGATTATTTTAGGTAGAAGGTTTAATGGAGCCGCCAATCTACACGAGTCATTCACTTTCAAAACAGCTTAATGTCTTAGGACAGATAGCTACAAAAGGGGACTGAAAAAAAAATTGGCTAGTGAATCGGCAAGACCTTCCGATGTGACGTGACTTTAATCAGTTTGATACATCTTAAGTTGACCACATTATTTGATGGATACTTCGGCCAAAGCTTCGTCACATTCTAGTACTAACCTCAGTAAATTCGTGGCCTGCCTATGGTAAGTACTAGTGAGTAGTGCTAGTCTACTATCTGTATAGATGAGGATGTTCCTTCCAATGATATTATTTCTGGTGATTTATTTTGCTGCTATGAGAATCCTCGTGAGCTCTGTTTGAACTACACTGGCACTACTGCTCACGGCCCATTTTTTGTTTAGGTTTAAGGATTGGAATATATTCCACATCCTGAGACTTATTTTGATTTAGAACCTTCGGTGTAGGTATGAACCGTACCTGCCACTTCCGATTCTTCTATTCGTTCTGTTATAACTTTATATGGCTTATGGAATATATTTCGATGAGATAGATTCCATGTTCGCTTGAAGCAGTGGGCGACGTCTCGCCTCACAGATCCTTCATCAGGTTCTATTCCAACCGTGCGGACGCGTGTCATTGTCATCAGAGCAACCTCGTTGATGTAAATATCAAGGGGAGTGAGTCTAAGAATGACTTCCATGACTCTGGTCGGTGTGGTTTTCATGGTTCCTGTTATGTTGAGTCATGCTGTTATTTGAATTTGTTCTAGTTTGCGAATTTCTGTCAATTTTTAGGTTGTCGAAGGCCAGACAAGTGTATGTTAGCATAGGTCTTATGATGGCCATGCGACGACACTGGGGAAGACCCCAGGTACGCCTGTCCCACGGTTCGACGGCATTTTTCATAAGCAATGTATGCTTTTTTTATTTTTCTAGGTGAGTTCCATGTTAACTTGCTGTCAAAGGTAAGACTTAGGTACTTTACTTATGTTGCATAAGTTTAGTTTTGTGTTTAGGAGCTCTGCAGGTTTTAATTCCATTTTATCATTTTTCTTGTGAAAAGGACCATTTCTGTCTTCTTGGGATTGATAGACAGTGGATAGTCCTTGCACCACTGTTTCATATTTTCGAGAGCTACTTGCATTCTTTCGCAGTGTATGTTCTCAAAATTCCCTGTTTGCAAAATGACTAACTCATCTGCATACGCTATTGTGTAGTGACTGTCATTATTGAAGCGGCTGATGAGGGTGTCACGGACTATGTTCTACATTAGAGGTGATAGCACCCTTCCCTGTGGATATCCCCTCGCAACCAAGCCTCTTATATTCACATCTTTCTACTTATGTTTAGAGCTCGCTTTAAGAGCATGTTATGTATCCACCCACTAACCATCTGTGGAACATTCCTGTTGGATAGTGAGTGTATTATCTTGGGAAAGGTTGTCTTATCAAAAGCAACTTCTATGTCTATGGTAACACCCAAGGCGGGCTCTTTATTGTCCAGGGAAAGGACTGAATCAGTAGATCTGCCTGGGGTGTATGCATGTCGATTTGGGTGTAGTGGTGTTGTTCTAATCACCACATCCCTTATGTACCTTTCTCATAGCCTTTTCAATGTCTTCATGGAAAACGATGTCAGGCTAATTGGTTGGTATGTTTTTGGGACAGACACTAAACTAATATTTTTCTCCTCATTCAACCTTATGATACTAGAAAATATTAAAATAAAGGTGCATTCGTGCAGTGAGAAGGCACTGCACGAATAACACTTTCCATTATTAATACCATTCAAGGACAACGATCTAACTAATTAAATATTCAAAGACAGTCTCCCAGACTAAAACTTAATAAAAACTTGCTACTCGGATATTGATTAATACTTCAGAGAATTCTTGCCCTCTAAACTTAACGCCATTTTTGCATCTATCCAGATGACTATTAGTCCTGTAACTCATATAGATAAGTAAGTTCTGACTTCACATATGAACATCTAGAATCGGCCATACAATCATTCCTAGAGTAGATTTGCAAGTTTTTCTTGAACATTTAAACCTTCAAAAAACACTAGACTAATCCATTTATTCACAATTAAGCCTGTATTTGCATCGGCTGTCGCATTAGAAAGAGCGAGATGAGTACTAAATTGGTTAGGGTTGGATAGTGAGAGCACGCGTTTTAAAATGAACCAGCTCGTACAACTACGATTCCTGCTTTACACCATTGCTACACCGCAAAATACATGGTGTATTTCAGCTACAATAATAGTTCAACCAGAAAAATACATTAAACAAATAAAAACTGGCATTAAAAATGCAGATGAATCGCTTATTTCAGAAACAACCTAAGTCACTTTTTGTCCTTATTGGGTTTACCACATTAACTTTGTATTTGGATTAACACAAGTTTAGCGTAGAAAAAACCTAATTCCCATAAACATTCTTAGTTATAATGGGCCCGTTCACTTTTATTTTTGAATGTGAATTATTTATATATTTATAAAGATATTAAACTCTTTTGTCTGGTGGTACTTTTCCCGTTAAAATATTTTTGCTAGAAGTAAGAGAATTCCCATAAAATTCTTTCAGTGACTCATTGCGTCAGAAAACCCCTAATTCCCTTCAGGTCTCGTATCGGTTAATAGTTAAAAGGGCGCGGTTGTCGGATGTATCATTGCACCACCATTCCTCTTCTGCATTTATTAAAAAAATTTACATGATAAAAATATATTATTTTTTAAAAATAATGTGTTTATATTTTCAGATAAAGCTGGAAGCCTTACCTTTTTTAAATTTTAATAAAACCAATTAGTATTACTCAAGCTGAATATTACCAGATCGAAATTTTATATTTGAGAAAATGTATCTGGTAAACGTGACAACGTTGTAAGTACTTCTAAATAGTGTTGTCTACACACACTTCTAGAAATAAATGCAACGTTGCCACGTTAACCAGATAAATATTGCAAATCAAATTTCTACTTTTTGATTATGGTCTGGTTAATTTTCAGCCTGAGTAATAATAATTGTTTTAATTAAAAAGTAAAAAATAAGCTCCCAGCTTTAAATCTGAAAATATAAGTTCATGATTTTTAGAAAAATAATGGAATTTTACTATTTAAATTACATATATAAATGCAGAAATGCTATATGAGGGATACTTCCGACAACCCCGCCGTCTTTAAGCATAACCGATAGGAGACGTGAACGGAATTAGGGATTTTCTGACGCAATGAGTCACTGAAAGAATTTTATGGGAATTCCCTTACTTCTAGCAAAAATATCTTAACGGGAAAAGTACCACCAGACAAAAGAGTTTAATATCTTTATAAATATATAATTAATTTACATTCAAAAATGAAAGTGAACGGGCCCATTGTGACAATTTAAAATATTTGTTTATTTCAAGTTGGAAACTTTAAGTACAAGAAAAAATTATACTTAATTTAGTAATAATCGTTATAGATCAGTGGCCTATTATCTAGTTTGCCAGAGTTTCTCAGCTCATAAATAAATAATGAACGTTTTAGCAACGCCTGAAAATTTGTTGGAATTGAAGATATCTAAATCAATATGTACATCCTGTATATTACTTTTTTGACTCTGTAAATTAAAGTGACATATAATGATAAAAGTCAATTAGATAATTCCAATTTAAAAAGTTCACCCGAATTCTTTATATGCTATGTAACCTTTTTAAAACAAGCTTTGTAGTTGTTACATAACAGAGTCAAATTTATTACACTTCTAGGTAAAACAAGATGTCTACCACGACTCTACACAACCTTGAGGCGGTCCTATCAAGACATGAGCTCGTTGGTAAAGGATCTTTTGGAGAAGTTTTCAAAGGTATTGATCAACGTACTAATCGGATTGTTGCTATAAAAATAATCGATCTAGAAAAAGCGGAAGATGAGATAGACGACATCCAACAAGAAATTATGATTTTATCCCAATGTGACAGTCCTTTTATTACGAAATATTTTGGGTCTTACTTGAGAAATTCGAAATTGTGGATAATCATGGAATATTTAGGAGGTGGATCCGCATCGGATCTAATGAAAGCTGGGCCACTTGAAGAGATGCACATCGCTATTATTTTACGTGAAGTACTTCGAGGCTTAGATTATCTACACGGTGAATTGAAACTACATAGGGATGTTAAAGCTGCAAATATTCTGCTTAGCGAACATGGTGACGTTAAACTAGCAGACTTCGGCGTTGCGGGTCAGTTGACAGCTACCATCAGCAAGAGAAATACATTTACGGGAACTCCGTTTTGGATGGCCCCAGAAGTGATCAAACAAAGTTCTTATGACTTCAAAGCAGATATTTGGAGTCTAGGAATAACGGCTATAGAATTGGCTAAAGGTGAACCGCCAAATTCGAAAATTCATCCGATGAAAGTACTTGTTTTGATAGTTCAAAGCAACGCTCCTCAGCTCGATGGTGAGTTTACTAAACCTTTTAAGGAGTTTGTAGATATTTGTTTAAATAAAGATCCCCAACATAGACTTCCAGCAAAAGAATTGTTGAAGCATCCGTTTATTAAAAAAGCGAAAAGAAATTATCTCTTGGTAGACTTGATTGATAGGTACCTGAATTGGAAGTTGGAGAAGGTTGAAGTCGAGAATTCCAATTATGACGAAGCAACATTGAGTTCAATGTCAACAATACCTGATTGGAACTTAACCATTAAAGAAGAAACGCGCGAGAACAGCGATACCATCATAACAAATAACGAAGAAATTTCAAATGGAGTTTTAAATTCTTTATGCGACATATTGGACAATTTAAATAAAACCGATACGGATTTAAAAAACGCTTTTAAAGCTTCAGAATCTTCGTGTCCCGGTATTTGTGACAACTTTGTTCATAAATTGGTTAAAACATTACAACCATCCATATCGGATCGGCGAATGGAAGAAGTCATGGAGAAAATTAGAACTGAGAGGTGAAAATTTACTATTTATTAAAACTTGTTAAATAGGCATGTAAATATATAATTATAATTAAATTCATCTCAATTATACAAACTTCTAATTCAATAACATGATTCGTTATAATGGTAATTTTGGTGCACCTAGGTATGAAGAAAACATTTCTACGGCTATATATAATACAAAACTAATATTGGTTAAAAAATGAGGTACATTTCATTAGTTGATAATGGAATATAACATCGTATCTCTGAATTTTTAACTCTATGTAGAAACAATAAATATCTCATTTACCCGTTTATTTAAGCATTTTAGAAGAAAACTTGCGTTATAAACTATTATAGATTATTATTCGCGCTCAAAAGCGACTAGTTTCCAAATATACCCGGAAAGCGATAGGTTGAATTTTCTTCTACTAATGGGTAGTTAGTTTTAGTGGTTATTTTATTTTTGTACCATTCTTTTCTTATCCGACTGGTGGTAGTTTTTAATTTCAGTTTCAAACGTGATAGAGCGAGATCCAAAAATCGGATTAAAGCGCACGACCGTTCCTAGGTGTAGTAATGAATTCTCCCGCTAGGTGAACGTTTGATCGATTGTGTTCGACTGTTCTTGATATATAAGACATACATTTTGAATCTTTAATAATTATTTCTTTGGAAAAATTCACCAACAGTCGAACGGGTTATTTTTTTTAAAGACCATTTTAGACCCTTTGAAACACATTTCAAATTATTTTTTTTTGTCCTGCAGACGCTTTAAAATATTTTTTCTTACCTAAAAACTTTAAAATGTGTCCTCTAATTTCGATATTGAAAAAATTTGAACTACATCATTTTAATTAATTTCTTGTTATAGAAACTGCTAAATAATAATACTAGACCATCCATCCATGAAGCAATAAACCATTCCAAATTTTTTCATAAACAGTTTATTTTCTTAATTTACGACCAGGTTAAAGTTCGTCAAAATGATCTAATTTTCATGAACCCAATGACAATTGACATTGCAATGTGACATGTGTCTAAAAGAAATACAATGTTGCCATATCAATTATTACATAGCACTGGTCATTTTTACCTATGCACTGTGTTGTACCAGGCCAATCAATTGACTTCAGTATATAAAACTAACGATTTAAAAAATTCCCATATCAAGATCTTCCTCACCCTCATCGACAGAGTACTCTTCGACGTCAGTATTGATATACAATAAGAAGACGAAGCAACGACTTCTTATTAGATATTAGATAAGTACCGACATGCCGTAATTAACGCACAATCATCAGGAAATAACCTAACCCAACCTAACCAACCCTCACTAGCATCTGGCAAGTGAACCTCGATCCCAACTTTTAACGAACGTGTCTTTCTCGTGGGCATCTAATAATAAGAAAATATACAATAAGACAAAGCAACGACTTCTTGTAAGGTTGCGGCCTCTATGGCTGTAGTACCTGTTATAGCTTACTCATCAGTCATATGGTGGCACAAGACTAAAAGCATAACAGCTAACAGAAAATTAGACAAGGTACAAAGACTAGCCTGTCTAATAATAACAGGGGCATTTAGAACTACGCCCACAGCAGCAATGGAGCTACTGCTAGGTCTTCCTCCACTACACCTTGTAGTGGAGAAGGAGGCTATAGCGGCGGCATACAGGTTGTTTACTAATGGATTTGGATGGGAACTTTCGAAAAAAGGACACCACACAATGATAGAGAAATTAAAACAAAGTCCGGTACTGAGAATGCCATGGGATAGAACGCCCATTATTCACGACTTCAGGAAACCTTTTGATATTCAAGTACCAGAAAGGGCCAAAAGCCGGGAAAATGGGGAAAAACAAAACGAATCAATCTGGTATACAGACGGTTCGAAAATGAAAAACAGCACAGGAGCTGGGATCTACCATGTGAACTCGGAGAGGACAATTAGTTTGAACCTGGGGTCACTGACAACAGTCTTCCAGGCTGAAGTAACAGCAATAAATGCCTGCGCCAAAGTCATGCTAAATGACTCTCTTAGAGATAAGAGGATCATTATCATGACAGACAGTCAGGCAGCCCAGCCCTTAAAGCACTAAAAAGGGTAGAAGTACAATCTAAATCAATATTTGATTGCCAACAGTCCCTCCAGGCTCTGGCAGAACATAACAAGGTCACCCTTGAATGGGTGCCAGGACATGAGGGAGTGTTTGGAAACGAGAAAGCAGACCACAAGGAAGGGAGCGGAAAAAACTCTTGTTGGACCAGAACCCACAACATGTTAAATGGGTGTTAAAGGAACAAATAAAAAGAGAACTCCATAGGCTCTGGATGGAACTTCCTGGACTTAGAGAGTCCAAAAGATTCATAGAGGGGCCATCCACGAGCAGACAGCATCAACTGCTAAACCTTAGCAGAAGCGAACTCAAGGCCGTAATAGGACTCCTTACGGGACACTGCGGCCTTGGAAGACACCTAAATCTCTTAGGGATATCTGATGACTCCCTATGTAGAATATGTGAAGAGGAGGACGAAACTCCTATTCACATACTATGCCACTGCCGGAACCTTAAATGGGAACGGGAATGGTACTTCGGGGTACAATATGCGGAACCTGAAGAAATCGCGAAAGCGCCCATCAGACATATTCTTGAATTCATCAAGAAAATCAATCTGATGGGATAGAAACTGTGAGGGGTACAATAAGCCTAGAGCTTCAGTACAAGTGGGCTTTGAACCACGCCCTAATTCAGATAGATAGATAGAAGGTTGCGGCCTCGCCGCCACCAGAAAATTTTAACTCATACCCGGCTACGCTGACCGGCATAGACTCCAACGGCCTGGCCACAGCTCAAATTAAAAAAAAAAGTATTTTTTACAAATATTAGATAAGTACCGACATGCCGACGCACTATCATCATGAAATGAAATGAAAAGACGGATGTCTGTGATTACTACAAATGTTTTCACTTCGGGATCCAAATTCATCTGCTGGCCAGACACTAATGTAATTTTTCAGCCAACTTTCATTAACCGAATTATTTCCTGACTTATTATATGTTTTCTTACTCGATTTGGCAACACCGTAATTATTAAAATTGTTATGTATAGTGTGTTTCAAAGTGTCTAGAAACTTTCTATAATATTTCAATAGTTATATCCGCCGTTCGAGAGTCGGCGTATAATAGCATGTATTGTTAAAAAGAGAGCAATAAGGATTACACCGAGTACAAAATTGTATTATTCGTCTTATTTATGGTTTAAAAAGAGACACGCCAACATCAAAACATTTGAAGTAATTAAGGTGGCCAAGTTTATCAGAACCGCGTGTAATAACATCAATGCTTACTTTATCTTAAAATTATAGCAGACGTTCAATTGAAATTGAGAGAAAAGAGGTTTGTGAAAGTGTAACAGGGAATTCGAAGGCGTCAACTAACTAGTTAATTAGCCAATGAATAACATGCTACAAGGTGGTTCCACAATTTGTCCTAGCTGGTAAAAGATTAGTAAAATATCACACACCTCTCTCTTTTTTCTCAGATTTTTGGCAAACTCCCGACAATGACTATTGACATTATTGACAAGGTCAACACTCCGAACCGCGTTCGGAAACTAAAGTTCGATAAAATACAGAAATAGTTTTCGTGAGGACAGCAATACAAAATACACCTTACTGTATACCGTGTTGCCTAAGGACGAAATGAAATGTTACAAAAGTAATGCCAAATCACAACAGTTTTGTTTGAAGGTGGTTTTTTTTTATGTTTTTTTTTATTGATGCACGGTTTTAACAAGGGGTTTTTGTGCTCTTTGCTACATATAATCCTCAATTTAGAGTGTAAATTATTTCTTTAAACCCTAAAATAAATACGTCCATATATAAAAAGTGAATTAGGTACTACAATAATTAAAAATGTAGAAGGTAATTTTTACTTTCTAGTAACCCGTAAGGAAAGTATAGGAATCATGATTTTTTCGACCTCGATTTTTATGATTTGGAATCATCTCAATTCGTTTTGACGATTGTCGCGATGATGTATGCCTATCTGTACCCACGATAACTCAAAAACGGATAAAGAGAAAGACACCAAATAAACTTAAACTTTAATCCATCCTGCAGTGAGCTGATTTTGGGCATAGTCGGAGCATAGGGGCGTTTTTCTACTTTAAAATATATTTCTGTTATAGAAGAAAATTCTTCGAATAGAAGTTGTTCGTGAGAAATTTAGGGAAATGTGCAAAATTTTAATTTTTTGCGAAATTTCGTTGGAAATGAAGATATGAAAAAAATGTTTCGAATAAAATGTGTGTGAAAATTTTCAATTAGAGAGAGACTCAATATATTTGATGACTTTACAGGAAAGTCATGGGTTGGACACATCATACAGTATATATTAAGTGCTCTACAATTACGCCAGAAGAATGGTATAGAATAAGCGATAGTATTGATTAGAAAGAGGTAGAAGTCCACTAGCGGTAGAAGTATAGCCATCTATCCAATCACGGCAGACAGTCACCCGATTCACAAAAGTCTCTTTTTATTTAACTCACGTTCATATATAATTAGGCGTCTCATCTTTATTTCGAAAGGTCCATGGGTTAAGATATTGTATATTTATATCTGGACAACCAACATTACAGACGTTATTGTTCATTTATAGGTACTAACATTTTTTTTGGCCAAATTTTCAGTTTCTTTGGTGTTAATATTTTTGTTGTAATATTTATATTGTTTTTTTTAGTAATCTAAGCCGAATCTGTAATGTACCCTTCTGCTATTCCCAACACCCTATCAATCTCACAAAAAAGCGTTGATGCGAGCTTAAAAGTTAAATTTTACGCCCTTGTTGCAAAAATAGCCATTACAGATTTAGGAACTTTTTCTAGTGTCTAATAAAAATTGTCTTACCTGATTATTGTTGGTAAAAGCGGCTGCCCATTTATTGTCTGGGCTAAGTACTAAATATACCATAATTCCTTCTATATTGGGATTGACGTCTCGTGTTAGATCGCTTGTTGACAGATCCCATGTTATAAATCTATTTGAAATAGAAACCACATACCGGTAATCAGATGTTATACAAATACAAAATACTGCAAATTGGTGACCTTCCAATGAATACTAGAATAATAATTTAAATTACTGTCTATAAATATTTCATCCATCTTAATACTTCATGATTATTATTAAACATTAGACCAAAAATTTTACCTTAAGAGGACCTCCAGGCGTATGCAAGCAATGGTACAACGGTAACAAAGCACAATGCAAAGGGCCTTTAATATCGCAATCATTCAACAGCATTTTTATATTAGAATTTTGAGCAACCTCTGGTAGAAGCCGTCCGATTAATTGTGGGGCTAACATATTGGGATACTGTCCCAGTACGGCACCACCTAATCTCAGAGCATCAGCAACCAACATAAGTTCTCTAAAAATAAAAAAAAATAGACGGGACTTAGACAAAGATTACTTTAATTCTGTAGTACAGCAATATCAATTTATTTCTGATGAACATAAGGCGTTTTCGGAATCCTACTACAGATAACAAATCCAGTTTACTGGGTTTACCCGATGGATCACGTGGATCACTGAACTTAGTGCCGACAGTTTACAAACGAGTTGGTTATTGTTCCTGTTTATTTACGTCTGTCAATCTTTGACTTTTCCCGTGTAACTGTCAATATTATAAACCCTTGTTTAATAAAGAACCATTTTAATTAAACATATTTGTAGTCTTACTAATAAAGTTGCAATATGGCATATAGGCATAAGTTGTTACTAATAGAATGTAGAAAAAACTTCAAAGCTACTACTGGCAGACACTAGACACCAAAAAATTACGTTATTCCTTTATAAAAATCCTGCGGTGCGCATGTGGATCTATTACTAATCTACTCGCAGAGTGGATCACAAAATATTGATCTCGATCACAAAGCTGAATCAGTAATCTACTAGTTTCTGAACACGGATAGGGTTAGCAACCATAGGTAAACGAACAATAGGATCCATCATCTTTCTGATCCGACTAAGTTTCCGAAAAGGCCTATAGGCTAATTTTAGTTCGTCCTATTAATTCTCCAATTTTTCGATACCGTTCAAATAATACTATTTATCGAAGCTCTCAAAATAGGCCTCTGTTGCAGCGGAGATAATCGCCCCCGAGCCATTTCTTCAAGTTTGAAAATAGTAAATAGTCGCAGGGGACAAATCTGGATAATGTGGTGGATGCAGTTCATACAACTTTGGATCTTTTCGGCTTGGACTTGTCCGGAAAAACCTATTGCTTCAACTGTTCCTTGGTATCTGCACAGAGATTCTTATGTGCGAACTCGACACGTTACGTCATATAAGAATCCGCAGTCGAACGAAGATAGGCATCTCGACATTTAAAGATGAGATTCCCACTGCTGGCGTGTTTCGTCCACGATTATGAAATAGTGCAAAAATTCTTTCTGATCATGATTGAACGTCACCAAACACCCAGCCCAGAGCTTCAGCTATCTCGTATGACTCATCGTGGATCGTCAGTCACCATACCATTTAGGCATTCCAACGACCTGTCAAAATGCTGCCAGTGGCAACTGACAGTTTAGATATGACAACCCTGTGGGCCTGTTATTGACACGGTCAATGATACATATATAGTTATATAGATTGCTCAAAGCGGGGCGTTTGCGAGCGGCCATATTGCCTGGAAAGTGTTCATTAATTTGAATCTGTTTAGCAAAAATGTGTTCTAAAACCTTTTGCTAGCCTTTGAATGTATTAAAAAAAATAATTACCCACATTTTTACTTCAAGGCATAAGACTATGTTTATTTTTTAAAACATGGATGATCAATCTATATAACTATCTATATCAGTGACGCTCAACATTAAATATTGAAACTGGTAACTACTCCAAAACAATGCACTATTTAATATTATTTTACCTTTTCGATTCATTATCTTCAATAAACGCACAACCATCCTCATAATCTACAAGAACTGCTTGAAGAGGACAGCTTGACAATTTAGCATGCAACCATTCATAATTAAATAGAACGTTGTCGTATAAATCTTTAAAGCGTCTTGATCTGACCAAATGATATGGCATTTCTCCAAACTAAAAAAGAAAATAATGTTTAATTTGTAAATAGGTATAAATATTGCAGATGTGATTAATATCGAAAAAAATATATATACAGGGTGGGGCAAAGAATTATCCCGAATTTCTCCAGGGCATTGTGAAAATAGTAAATGTTATAGGCGAGTGGAAATGGACCCAAATGACAGAGTTATTTGGGAAGTTTCAACTAAGCATGTTGCGATACCAGTAAAGAATCGATACCGGTATCGAAAAGAGTATCGGAACCAAAATATCGATACCGCTATCGGGGAGAGTGCAAAACAACCAAAATTCGAGTGGCACTCCGGAACTGCCGCGGTAAAGCTATTGCATAGCATTTTTTATCAACTTATGCAATTATAATTTATTTATTTTATTTATGCAGTATTTTTTTGCTTTGATATTAATTCGTTTTTTCTTTGATATTAATTCAAGTTACGTTTTTTGAGCGTGGTGACCGATAAGAAAACAATTTTTTTTCTTTTATTAATCCGTTAGTTGGCGCAATAGGCACATTCCCGAGAAAGAAGGCAATTGGCAAACGGTGGTCGACAGTGTTAAGGCTGGCGATCGCCCATATTCCCCATGCAGAGGTTACTTTCGACGAAATTTTCTGGAAAAGTATATTTCGTAGCATTAATTTTGATACAGAAATCAATTCATGAATTATGCCTACGGGTTGTAAAGAAATCTAAAGAAACAGAGTTTTTTATAAATACTCGAAAAATAACTTTTGATCTTTGCTGTCAAAACCACATAGAAACCCTCAACTTGTCGACGTATTTACTTTTAAACTAAACATATTGAGACGTTTTCTTTTCGTTACCACCCGTACGACAATGCAGATCAAAAATGGCATATGCCCTAACCAAAGCTTGTATGAATCTGTGCAGTAAGAAGTTCAAGGTAATTTGACAGATGCCGCTTCAGATTTGTATTACCGTTATACTTGAAGCAGCCAAATACTTTTTGGACCTGGCCCTTCTATTGGCCTGACAAAATCGGTAGTGACAGACCTAATTAAAGAACATTCCCTTGTGAAATTCAAGGAAAGATGGGATGAAACAAAAAGCTGCAAAGTTGCCAGGGAGCGAAGTAACATTATTTTATATTAGTATATTCTAATTCAGTAAAGCATCATTCTACCTATACCAATTAAATTACCTTTCTTAAATTGTACCTAGAAACTTTTCCATCTTTGGAATAAAACACCAATGGCTGGACAGGTACTTTACGATCAGCAACACCTTCTTTGTCTGTCAAGTTAAACCTACAAATAAATGTTTCATACACAACCAATACATATAAGTTTTATTTTTTATATTACCTGTGTCGCTGGATTTCAGTGTATTTAAATGGTTTTGGTTTGCCACCGCCCCATATACCAAGAAAATAGTCTGCTATCATTGAGTGAAAGTAGTAAGCCAAATTCATATTTTTAAAATATCTCTCTTTGGCTGTGTCTCGAAATTGCCTTAAAAGTCGTTAAAAACAAATTAGAACTATAAACTTCAACAATACCCGCTTGGCTAAAATTAAATTGACTAAGGGCCCAGTCTTTTTTTCTTTGAGTAAAGTAGAAAGTAACTACTTGCTGATTAAACATGCAGGCTATTGTTCGCTAATCTATCAAGTGAACCTACGTGTAGCTTTACTCAGAGGTGAAAAGATCGGCATAACTTTAACAATAGAGAGTTATTGCAAGTTCACTTAAGGTCAGTCACTATTAGTACCTAATATTAAAGAGGCATTAGAAATTATAATTTAAGAAGGTTTAAATGACGAGCGCATCCGAAAGCTATAAAGTCGCCACTACCTGCTGCCCTTAAACATCCACAATTAAGGACAGGCACAATCCTTAATAAAGTCAGTTTTAGAACATAAACATCTGCGCATGCTTAGATGTCAAAATAAGAGCGGCACTAATAGTGAGTGACCCTAAGTGAACTTGCAATAACTCTCTTATTAAGGACAGGCACAATCTTTATTAAAGTTAGTGATCTACGCATGCTCAGATGTCAAAATAAGAGCGGCACTAATAGTAACTGACCTTAAGTGAACTTGCAATAACTCTCTAATATCTCAAAATCACGGACTCAAAACAATGTTTCCAGACGTAATTGACAATTGACAATTAAGTTGTCATAAAAATCATTAAAAAATGCCATTTCCATACAATTTCTTGTTTAACTAGATCACTGTTTAAATATTGTTATATTCCAAGTTTATAACAGTAAAGGAATCTTTTTTTTAGGTAATATTTAGAGACTTTTAATTATTTGACACAATTCATAATGGTAAACCTACAGATGAACACGAATATTATACTCGTAATATAAGGCACATAAAGACATAAAACGTACTTATTAGAGTTATTATTAGAAAGTTATTCCAAGTTCACTTAAGGTTAGTCACTATTAGTACCGCTCTTATTTTGACATCTGAGCATGCGCAGATCACTTACATTCTAGAACTGACTTTAATAAAGATTGTGCATATCTTTAATTGTGGATATTTAGCTTTACGCAGAACGTTGCGCTTGCAATACTAGAGGTATTGGATTCAACTTTAGCAATGCTTCTCGTATTAGAAGAGATAATATTAATTACCTGTGGTACCAATTCATGACGCTTACACCGTCAGCTTCTCTCTCTGACAAATAATTCGGAAGATCGTTTCTTATTCTCGTCCACAATAAAGGCGGTATACGCCTTACAGGCGGTAAATGATATTGGTAAACATCGTCCAATACTTTGTCATCTAACGATATTAAATCTTCTAATTCTGATTCTGACAAACCGCTTTTAGCGGCTGTGATATAGGCCAGGCCGTGGAACACCAAAATTCTACCATGCTAAAAAATAACATTAAAAAGTAAAATAAATATTGAAATCAAAAAGTAAAATGTTAAAACACTAAATTTGTCTTAACCTGTTCTGGCATATTGATCAAAAACGCAATACATAGGGTGTTATTGAACTACATGTAGCTATTAAAACTTTATATTTAGGCTCTTCTAGAATATGCAAAAATATTATTTTGAAATAATATCTATAATTATTCTATAATAATTGAAGGAGTTATTAAATTTTGAAAATCTGTGTTAAATCAGTCGTACGCCACTGGAATTGAAGGATGATGTTAGTTTTTAACCGACTTCAAAAAAAGAGGAGGTTATTAATTCGTCGAGATTTTTTTTTATGTATGTTCAGCGATTATTCCGGTGTCCGATTTCAATGATTCTTTTTTTGTTAGAAAGGGATACTTCAGGGGTGGTCCCATATAAATTTAGTAAAACTCTAATAATTGGGTCCATGAGAAAATGAAGAGTTTGAGGATTTTCCCCTCAAACTCTTCATTTTTTATGTATGTTTAGCGACAATGCTTTACCGCCTTGTCCGATTTATATGATTCTTTTTTTGTTAGTAAGGGGGTACCTCAGGGGTGGTCCCATATAAATTTGGTTAAGATGTGGTGATGGCATCTGCACGTTTTTGAAGTCGGTTTTTTTAAATTTTTAATACTTGTAGCATTGTATAATATACAATGGTTTTAGGTATAATGTCGATAAAGGTTGGACACGTAGGCAAAGAACAGTGGGGAGTGAAGAGCAATAAGCTCTTTGAAATTATGCCCGAAATAAGCTGCAATATGCTTGCCAATAAGGTTGGAGTATATCAATTTGTTTGGTGTACAATTATTAAAAAACAGGGTTTACATAATTGAATTCGACAGAATGCAAGTTCGAAGATCAATTAATTTCGTAGGTGTGCTTTTATCTCTTGCCTTTGGATGGCGATACTAAGGCATGTATACAGTTAAAAAAAATAATCGATACCTGTTTTTCTATTCTCTCAAAAAGCATCATAATTGAGTCCATCACAGTCGAAGCTAAATGCGTATCTTGAGATTTGGTGTAACTTCTCCATCTGCATATTTCGGCAAAAACTAATTTAACGAATATAGGAAGACTACATTTTTCAATTGCATTTGACACCAGACGCCACTGATAATTCGTTAAATCTCTGTGAGCTGTTTGCATCCACATCCTACAATATACATAATATTAGAATGAAAATATATAATGCTTGGCATTCTATATTATACTCTTCACAATTTAAAAGAGCCCCCCTCCCCCTTAACTCCTATTTTCAATCAGATTTGTTTTTTCAGAATCAATAGGCTTCATCCCTTTATAAAACTTGATTTTTCCTGAAGATTTTGTTTTTGATTTAGGATTGTTTTCAACATTTCAACCCTACTACCTCCCCCTATTTTTATTCAGATTTTTTCTGAATCAATACGCTTCATTTTCTTATAGAGCTTGATTTTTACTAAAAAATTCATGTTGATATCGCTTTTTTGTTTAATTTCTATTTTTTTAAATATTTTAACCCCCTTAACCCCCTCATTTTTATTCAGATTTTTTTTTGAGAATCAATAGGCTTCATCTTCTTCTTAAAGAGCTTGAGTTTTACTAAAAATTTCAATTTGATATCGTTTTTTCTTCCCGAGTTAGGAAACTGTTTGGTATTGTTATAACAAAAGCAAGGGAAATTCAAATATAAAATACAGGGTATCCCCTTAAAAAAACTAACTTTGATAACGATCACTTTCTTGGAGAACCCTGTGTAATTGAAATTATTTTCAAATTGTTGCCTTTTCTGATATACTTTTCTCTGTGGAAATGGATTTTAAAAAAATCGAATAATTTTGACTCTATAGACCAAGACGTTACCGGTTGTCCACCCTATATACAGACAAAGGTTGTCATGATTTAAAAGGACCATGGCTCATTAAGTTTTAGGTTTATTAAATATTTTTGATTTTTTAAATGAATTACAAACTATGGAAAGGACGAGGCACGAATTACATGGAATTATGTACCACTGTAAATGTTTCCCATATTTTTATATTTTGAAAGTGTTCACTTGAGCAGTGGCGGTTTGCCCGTAAGGTCACTTGGGCACGTGCCCTAGTATAATAAACAAAAAAAAATAACTTACATATTTTATATTTTTTTCAATGCCTATTATTATTTTATCTAATATTCAGCGCAAACCGCGTTGGTACGACACTGGACGACCGGACGTTGAGCGACATTCCGAGAATTCCGAAATTAAGTGGGCACGGGGCTCAGTAAATGTGTGCCTCTGTTGATTTCTCTCTCATTATGAAGCGAAAAACACGGACAACGGCAATATCGCTTAGCAAGAGATGAACACATGCGATGGATTATACGTCACAAGCAGGGCGCTGTCCTAGACCAGATATGAATGTACGCAGAGGCATCTTTACACAAAAGTCTAGGCGGTAAGGGTCACAAATTAAAAAGGCGAGCTGGTTTCGGCTGAAGGTGCGCGTTTGTTGGACCATGATAATAATTTATTTATTGTGATTACGAAAAAACTTTAGTTGGACCATTGGAATAGTTAAGAATTAAAACTACAAAGAAAAATAACTTTTTTTTATAAAGAAGTCAAAAATATGATGAAAAAATCAATAATATTTACAAATGGGACAAAATTTTAATTTTTCTTTTGGTTGTGTCTGAATTTTTCGAGGATTTCAAATCTCTGTTTGCATATTTAAGAGTATAAAAAATTCTAAGTCTAATAAATAATTTAATGGTGTACATTTTCGCAAATTGTTGGCAAGGATAACCAAATTCTATCTCAAAAAGGCATGCGTTGGAAATTCCAGGCTTAGTTGACAAACTATCAAATAGAGATATAAATATTTTTTCTAATTTGAAAATATAAAAGATACATTTTTCGCTGGGAGATTTTAAATTGCCAAACACATTTTCTTCAGAGTCGTATACTTTAAAATGCTCCTACACGATGGAATTTTACATAGAAGTGTGTCAATACTATTTATGTTTACAAAGAGGATTTGATTAAATGTCTCGAAGAAATTATGAACACAAAATTCGATAAAAAAAACTATTAATCAGACTAAAGGGTTGATAAATTTTGAAAGACAGATTTTAGTTTCTGGTTATTTTTTTTTTCAGTAAAATAATGCCAAATTGCGATATACTTTTTGATCAACTGTAGAGTAGACAGCTCGATGCTTTCAAGGTTAAGATAAACATATCAAATTTTGCAGCAGCTATTCAAAAATATTAGAAATAATATAGACACGCTAATTCATGAAGAATGGCAATGGCAATGACAACAAGACCCACAAGAACTAAACTTAAGCGACAACAACCAATCAGGTCCAAGTACAAGCAAGAAGAGACGGTTTGTTGAAAAGGAGGGCCCCATTCCTAATTTAAGGATATGTAAGGAAATTTGTGATACAATAGTAGTGCAGGTAAATGAACGTTTTAGTTTTACTACTCACCTAACAATTGCAAGTTTATTTGATAGTGAAAAATGTAAAGACTACCGAGGTTGTTTTCCAAATAAGGACGTTAAAACTGTGTGTAGTTTATTTCCAAACGTAAACAGCTTAAAATTCAACTGTCCATACTTTACACCCGAGATGACTTTGTGCAACACAATGGGGCCGTACCGTTATTACAAATGTTTTTTGAGAACAATTTGACAATTACATTTTCGGAATCTGTGGAGCTCCTAACTATCCTGTGTACAATTCCCATGACCACAGTGGAGAGTGAAAGATGTTCTTCGACACTAAAACGTATTAAAACATTTTTAAGGAACACTATGTGCCAAGATAGATTGTGTGCGTTAGCCATTTTATATATCGAAAAAAAACTTATTCGGTCCATTCCAAATTTTAATAATCTGGTCATCGATCACTTCGCTAGCCAAAAATCCAGAAGAATAGACTTCAATTATAAGAAATAGTATACAACTGCAGCGGTACCTAACAGTTAGTCTTCAATTTTGTAATATTTAATTTGTTTTGTTTTTTATTTTCATTAAGCGGAGAACTTGTTTTCCTAAGGGAAAAGCGAATCCCGGGATTCCTTTCCAGTGTGTGCCCCACTGCCGCTAGTGCCCACGAGCCGCCACTGCACTTGAGCGAAAATTGTAAAATAGGATCGTAAATCTATGATAGAACATCCGATCTAAGAACGTAAGTCTGCCATAGCACCCAAGAAAATTTTTGCTCATAAATCGTAAAGTATTTGACAGTTTTTAACGAGTTTCTTCTCATTTACTATACTCTGTTTTTAAACTAGGAGGAGCAAATTGAAAAGACGCATTTACACAGGGAAAAGTAACTAGATTTGTTACTAAGAGCGAGTTTCGAAATATAGTCGTGTTCAAAATTTATGAAATAATTATCTTTATCGGCCTTAGTCGGCGAACGGCCAATGAGCGTTTAAAAAACGAATAAATGTCATAGAAGTAATTTTTTAATTGGTCCCAGACAACGGTCGCAAATTTCACATTATTGTGATCTGAAATGTGTCTAAAACGAAATGTCACTGTCAAATTAAAGTCAATATGGTTGTTGATTGATGTCAGAAATACTTTTTTCTTGCTTTTGAAATCGACTTTTTGAAAATAACTATGATCTTTTTAAAATGGATACCTATTAAATATTTAAGAAAATTGTTAATGGAATATCAAGATGTAGCCAGGTTAGTATAAAATATAAAGATCTGTTTACATTTTTAAGGATATATTTGTTATAGGTATAAAAAGTAAAAGTTAATCAGTGAATGACAAGTGGATCACACAGTAGGTTCTTTCGTTCGCTGTTGGTGCAGTGTCCACCAGTGTAAATTACACCAGTTACACCACCTTATTTCCTAAGTTTACTTCCCTCCTTATTCCTTATACTCATAGCGAGTGTAATTCACTCCTGTTAAATAGCTGGTGGAGAAAATATCCACCAGTGGACATCACAACGCCCATAGGAAGGTATAGTGGGTTTTACACCGGGTCAAACGAAAGGTTTAGTGTACGTTGGTGTAGTTCATTCCTACACCAGTGGGACGAACGAAAGAACCTAATAACTGGTATCTCTTCTATGAGTAATGTGGATATTATGGCTTATTTAGTGTTAACCCATGGTTAATGCGCTAGAGGGCAAATAAAGGCATTCAAAAGTTTACAGGTCTATGAGTCAGAATTTGTATTGAAAACTGGAACCAACATTTTCATAACACTACATGTCAACATATATTTATTAAAGTGAACTATTCATACATACCTATGTATTAATTTTAAGTATTTTTGAAATATTTTTTGTGAAAGTAATGTTAACTCATTGTGCCAAATTAAGATTATCCCTAAAGTAGTAGATGGTGTTTTAAATGTTATAACAATTTTGTAAATAGTTTTATTCTATTCTAATAAATAACATTTGCTTAAACATTTAGTTACATTTTAATTATTTTGGTTAGAAATTCATCAATTTTTAGTTTTAAAAAATCAATAATAAAATTATTTTTTCTAAAATACTTCGGAATTCATCTCTTCATGGTAATCTCCCATCTTTTTACCTTCAAAAACCAATAATGCATTTTCTACAAAACCTTCAGAATCAGCATGTAAAATAATAAGGTGTCTTCCCTTTCTTGTAAGGCTTTTCAGGAATTGCTACCTTTAATAGTACTCGGTGTAGAAGGATCCATAATTGTAGATTTTCAATACAATTGCTTACTGAAGAACTATTATTTACGAAATAAAGTAAAAAACTAAGTAATGGATGAGATATCAAATTATAAAATGTCAGAACTGTAAACAATATCAATTATTAGCTGATGTTCATGCTAAAAAGTAATGTGTGAAACTGACTGTAATCTGACCAATCAGAAGGCTACAGAATTGCCAACTTAAATTCAAATCGCTCCTCTTAGTTTAAAAACAGAGTATAGATGATTTTAACACTATAAAATATATGTGTTACATTTAATTCAGATAAAGCGGAAATGATCATCGTAAATATAACAGTGCAAAGAAAACGCCATACTTTTTGTTTAAAAACACAGTAATCTTTTATGGTTATTTAACAAGTGTATTAATAAGAGCGATTAACAATCGAGATAATTTAATGCACGAGCGGAGCGAGCGCGTTAATGTTCGAGATTGTTACTCGCCATTTTAATTCACGAGTTCGTTACAGAACTTTTCCGTCGGCCGTCTTTTCAAAAATAAAGATATCTTACTTTCAATTTTTAATTATTTAACGAAAAACAAAACTATACATAGAGTTTTTGAATTTTAAGAAATTAAATAATGACATGCACACCTTCTTGATTTCAAATGTATATGTACGTTTGGTTGCCTACACCATAGGTAACTGTCAATATGCGCTGGTTCCACATACTTTGATTTTCTTTTACTATACGGAGAATGGTCGCACTGCGCAGTTTTCTGAGTGCCTTTTAAAAGGAGATAGAAAACTCCGCCATTTTGAACCCTTATTACGTGTTGCCTACATCTTGGCGCAATATTTTTAATAGGTGCGTTTTAATCATCCGCTTCTGCTTCGGAATTGTCGGTTTTCTTGTTTTAATTTGACAAGTTAAAACGACTAAACCGACAATTCCGAAAGCAGAAGCGGATGATTAAAATGCACCTGATATTTTGCTTGTGGCTGTCAGTGTCAGTGAATATTATTTTTTGAGTCACAGAATATTGCTAAAGAATCAGTTAGCTCACTCGGACCAGTTGAAAGTTTCAAAATAAGATCCACTACAGGGATACAAATTTAGGATACGCAGAAGACAGCTGTTTTATTATAGGCGGTTGTTATATATTGTATTATCCGAGTTGCGCAGTGTATAAACTGGAACATTGAGATCAAAAGTGCCGACGCAGAGTGAGCGATCTGATTCTTTAGTTTTAAACTGTTGCATAGGGTTCAAAATGGCCGGGCCCTATGTTGGGCGTGTCGGACCTCTCTCTTGCGCCGTATAGTAAAGAAAATCAAAGTATGTGTCTGGTTCAGTGTGATGTCATTTTGGTTCCACTGACATTTAATTCTAACCAAACTTTTAACAAAAACATCAATAAATTTGACATATACGTTTTTACTGTTTTTAGTTTATTTCTAAATATTGTTTACAGGTCATAAAAAATAGTTTAAAGGTATGTAATTGGTAACTAAACGATTGTATATTTAATGCATGTTATCTACTTACTTTAGGAATATATTTATAAAAGTGAAAAAACGATATAATTTAGGTAAACAAAACGAACAAAACGCACTCAAAAAATCTACTGTCACTTTAATTGTCAGTGGAACCATAATTACATCATCACTGAACTAGCGCATAAGAGCAATGTACGTTAGGTTGCATATAATAAAATCGTTGATTAATAGAATCATTCATTAATAGAAGTCATTAATCAACGATTTTGAGTGCGTTAAAATACATCATAAATGGTCGGTCGACGGAAAAAATTGTTAAATATTATTGTTGGCATTTATTAATGTCAACAGCAAAGCCTATTTGATGAATAAAGTTCTGTAATAAGTACATTAGGAGCTATTCTGAAGACATTGAATTAGTTTTTATTCAATTATTATATTGAACATATAGTTTAATCTGTACACTGAAGAAATAGTTTGAAAATTAATAAGATATATTAATATTTACTTGATTACTTTCATAGCCAATTCTTCTCCTAAAGCTTTAACTTCTATAAAATTTTCTTCTACGTCTATCATTCGTCTCAATATGTGATATTCTTTTGATACATCAGGGTTACTTTCTTCATTAGCACAAGAAACTATTATCTAAAAATAACAATCATTAGAATTCGAAATAAGTTATGCTAAAGTAGTTTCTTACTTTACAATGAGGTGGGAGCCTTGTTGGCAGCCATGACACTTTATTGGCATCTGCAGTCCCTGTGAGCTGATCAACAGAATCCAGAAACAACAAAAGAGGTTGTTGCTTGGAAGCCAGAGTTATAAGTTGTTTAAAATGTGCAGTTAACGGTACCAAATCGTCTGGTATACCTTCGAAAGGCATCATAAAATTGTATGAAATCTAAAAAATGGTTTATATTTAATTTATATTCTTTTTAAATAAGCTATTACTCACTTGTTGGCAAATGGATATCAAAGTGGGAGTAAGAGCGGACGAATCAGGAGTGGTTCCCAGAAATCTGACAATGCTGATTGGCCTGGCACCTTCAAACCATCCCTTACTCGTTGACATACTAGCTGACTTAGCTAATAGAGAAGTTTTGCCACATCCTCCCTCTCCATATAAAATAAGACATTTCTCATTATCGTCTAACATGTAACAGTGAATACGTTCTAAACTGTCTTCTCGACCGTAAAAAACCTGAAATACAAGAATATACGCCTTATTAGTGTGACGTCAGTAAACCAAAGTGTCATTGACTTTGAAATATATGTTTGGATTTTTAAATATACAGGGTGATCCAAGATTTTTTACAGATTGAGAACTCAGAGTAAGATTGAGAAATGTCCTTGGAACCTTCAGTACTAGGATTTGAGGTATAAGTGAGATTAGTGACGCTGTAACGTCATCGCATTGAACAAAGTTGAATTTGGAATATAAATTAGTACATTTCTCGTAGAAAAGAATAACCTCATGATCAGAATTCATGCTTTTACGAAGTTATTTAAGCAGGCAAGTATTGAGGGGTCTAGATATAATTTACAATTTGGATCAGATAATTAATTACCTCTTGTAAAGGAGCTGGAATAGATTTGATAGCGAAATCATATAGATGAATCATGCCCTTTACTTAGGGGGCAAATTCTTTCGCTTCTGTTTGAAAGCCCGACTGCTGCTTCATCTGTACAAACCCTACAGACGTTTTTTCACTGTAGTCCTCAAGTTTCAAAGACAGTATCTGCTCCGTGATTTTGTAGTGGATACAAGGGCACTACAAAACGCGAACTCTCTTTTGATGTCTTCTAATTGGATAAAATATTTCGCAATTGAGAACTGATACCTCTTGAGAAAATACTCTTATGAATGGCGCTACACACGCTTGGTTACTCGAGAGCCAGCTTATTTGAAGTGGTTTACTCTTACTCTTGAGACGGCGTTAAAAGTAATCGGGCAGCTGTAGATGGAGATAAAAATTTTCCGAACTCGCGTTGATTTAAGACTATCTGAACTGAGGGTACAAACAACGGGCTTTAATCGTTGTTTGTGCCAAATAACAAATTTTCTAAGGGTTGAAAGAAAACTGGGAGAAAGTCACGGTTTAATAGTCGCATTATTGTTTTAATTCAATAACTATTACTTAAGAAAGCTATACATACACTTATCGCAACGCCCACCCATCACAAAATAATGAAACCCTGAATAAAGATAAGCCGTGCGGTGGTTGAATGTGTTGGGACCTCAATCAGACCATATCGGGGACTGTTACAAGAAAAGAAATAGACGGACAAACAGAACGGTCTCAGACTTTCGGATATATGACTAGTAAGACGAAATTTGGATTGTGAGCTTCAATTTAGTACAAACTAAATAAAACATAACATGGTTTCCAACTTAATACTTACGGAATAGGCCGGTGCCTAACATATAAGTTAACAAAGAAAGTCGCGTGCAGATATCCTATATTCACAGAGATTCGGAAAGCCAAACGGAACAATCAATGCAAAAAAACGCGGATAACTTGTAAATACTTGATGTGACTTGCCGTCCCAGTCATCATTCAAGTTCGTTTTATGTACCACGGTTAAATCTTTACTAAAACTATCTGAGAACTCAGATAACTGTAACAACCAACTTAGCCTAAAGGACCACCGCTTGGCACCAGATGTAACAATCAACTTGCTTAAAGACCATTTGTAACCACTGATAGGTCTTTAGCTACTGTTATTAATATACTATTAAGAGATTAAAGCAGCACTGTTACCAGCCAAAGGGTCTTGGAGTCCAGAAGGATACATCCATTCACCAGTGGCAAATAAAAAAAATTAAATTAAAAGAACAAAAAATTATCCCTTAATAGCATAGTCGAGCGGTTCTTGGCAACTAGTTTTAGACTCTTCTAGTCCTAAGGGAATAGAAACGCTGAGGCTTCTCAAATGCTCGGAATATTTCACTGGTTTTGGAAAGGGGAAGAGAGATTAGTAATAAGTAAAAAAATTATAATAGTTCCAAGAACAAATGAATAAAATTATGTTAAGGGAATAAAGCACTATTTGATAATATATCCAAACTTTAAATAAAGAAACCTATGATTTATAACAATTAGATAAACTTCCCATTAAATTATACAGTTTGGGCATATTAACAACTAAAAATAGCACTTGATAAGATAAATGTAATATTCGGGGCGAAAATGTAAAATTGGCATTTATATGTAACTCAGTTAATTATCTCAAACAAAACGCTTAAAAAATAAGTTAAAGATATTTACCCATAGTTCACAAATCGCTGCACAAAAACTTTACACATTACTTTGTTTCTTAGTCTTAGTCCTCACTTGAGTCCTTTCTTTCTGTCTAGCCTCTCTATATAAACCCACAATGTATGTGATAGTTGTGTACTTGTTAGAATGCACACGTTCTATCTTGAATTCCCTAGTTCAGTGTAAGCCATTGACTGGAGTAATAACCTGATTGTTTTAATTCCATAAGTTCCATTAATTCCTTTTGAATTTTTAATTTAAAACATTAAAAATACTTTTTTGGAATTTTTGGTAAATTCTTTATATTTTCAAATAATAATAATTATTACATAACATGTAAATATTTGAAATGAAGTGGCCTATAGTTCCAGCAAAATCATTCAAGAAAATCATTGCTATTTAATCAACTTTTAATTGTTATTATTCCACGGTGCAATCTTCATTAAAATCTAAGTTTACTGAGAACGCGGATAGCATGTAAATATTTGAAATGAAGTGGCCTTCAGTCCCAGATAATTCAAGAAAAAGCTATGGCAATTAATGCAACAGTACGATATGAAAAACAAATTGGTCAAACACTCTGTCGGAACAGTAAACTGTAAACTATAGAGGTAAATGTTAATAACCTAACCGCCTTGAAAAAAATTGACAAAGGGCTCTCTATACAAGATTAATCATATGTATTCGTACCTACTGGATATAAACATTTACAAAACTATCATTTATGATTGAGCAGCTGCATAACACAGTCAAAATTTAAAGAAAAATTATCGTACCTGAACAGAGTTGTTACACGCATGTAAGTGTTGCAAAATTTCAGTCACAATTTGTCCTTGGGCGCTAGAATCTTCCTTTCTCATGGCTCTGTCGACTAATTTAATGATATTTTTGTAAAAATGTGTTATAAAATGTTTCAAGTATTCTTCATGAGTTTCCGGATCTAAACCTTCCCTACCTATCCATTCTACATTATATCTAAAAAAAAAGGTTAATTTGTCCAGTAATCATTAATGAAATATTAGCAACCACTAGCAAAGAAATTAATATTCTTGGTAATAAATGATAATATTCTAAAACTACTAATAAAAAAACAGGGACATACTTCTGAATATTGCTCGTTTCGATTTTAGCTGGCAATCTTTCATCTCTTAAATTACCTAGAAGTTTAGCAGATTCGGTATCCAAAGTTCTATTTAAAATGTCAACAAACAAGGAAGCTTTCTTCAGGTTTTGTAAGTTGATATTGTTTATATATCTTATATAAGCTAAACAATGGTTTTTTGTGTTTTTTACGTCAAGAATTCCGTTGATGACTTCTCGTTCCGTTACTGAAATTTAAACAAATTGAAATAAAAAAACACTGAAAAACAATTGACGTTCGATTTGAGATATTTTTAGTGGTAGGAATTTTTGATAGTGGAATTGATATGCAGATTCTTCTCAATTTAAAAGATTATCTGGTACGGTATAATGTCTTTATGATATTATGCCATGAAACAGACCTACACTCCTGATGGGTACTCCATGGTATTACAAACAGAACAGGACATCGTTGAAAAGTTAACCAAGAGCAGAAATACACACGAAAGGAACATTCTAGTAACTACTTGTGCATTATGAATACCCGGCTAAGGATTTTCAGTAACAGTTTATTTAGTTTGATTCTGGAATTGTACAACGAATGCCTGAAAAGCCTAGAGCTTAACGACAGAAGAATACAAGGTAAACTTAGAGAATGTATAGATAAGGAAATGAATAGAAAGGGAACTTGATAACTATCTAAAGATTGGAAACCAGTTATTATACAAATGGAACAAATTTTAACGTTTTAAGTAAGGACAAATTGAGAAGTAAATAAGCTTGAGTTCATTTACCTGACATAAAATAATTATGCATAGCATCATTGTCAATCTTTCCTTGTTGATGTAAAGAAGATGAAGCTTTTCTAAACATTTTTTGAAATTTTCCCAGCGTATCCCACCATTTTGCTTGGTCTTCAGCTTGTAATTTCGGTATCCTCTAAAAAAAAGTAAGAATGAATAACTATTTTTTAGTAAGATTCATTTGTTGTTAAGTTTGTTATCTAAACATTACCTTATTATTAAAATTAATTAAAATAGATGAAATTGGTTGCAAAACTGAAATGGGCGGTACTGCATTGGCATCTTTTTTGTACCATATATCGATCAAAGTTGGATCGTTACCAGTTGAAGCTAATTCTTCACGAATTAGTAACAATTCTGATGTAAGGATATACGTCGGAATAGGTCTGTAGCCATATTTTTGCCCCAAAAATACCTAAAGAAAATGTGAATGTGTTCAAAATAAAAAAAAATATTCATATAATATATTAATTAAATTGCAACTCTCCAAATCTTATCATTAACCATGAATCAAAAAAAGAAGAATATGCAAAAATATGTCAAGAAATTTTATTAGTTTTAAGTGGATTTTATTTGTTGCACTAGGTGTAAGTTTTCTGCACTAATAGCATTTCATTTGTTCGGAATAGCTTCAAATATTTGACAGCAGCACACGTATAGCATATACTTTTGACTATTATGACAGTTTGAATATAGTGTCGAGTGTGACACTAGTGCAACAAATACAATCCACTATAGGATTGGATTGAATTAGGCATTTCAAACAAATGAATTGCCAGTGGGAAGGTTTGGTATATCTGAGGGGTGGTGACATACAATGTATTGTATCTACAATTCCTAAATTCATGAATAATGGATTACATTTAAATATTTTATGTGGAACATAACAAAAATATTATTAAAAAAAAAGGTTTGTAAATTTTTTCATAAATTGGAGTCTAATATTTCGAATAAAAATAGCGTCCAAGATCCAAAGCTATGTCGTTACCCCCTTAGACATACGAGACCTTCCCATTGGGAGCTACTGTTTGACAGGTCATTGGAATGCCTAATTAGCACTGTATTCGAACTGTCATACTTGTCAAAGGTATAAGATACACTCAAATATTTAAAGCTACACTGAACAGATCAAATGCAATTAGTGCAGAACACTTACACCTAGTGCAACAAATAAAATAATAATACTCTCCCTAATTCACCCCCTTACGAGTGAATTTTAACCCCAAAAGCTGAGCTTGTGCGGTTAAATTATTATTTGCCGTGGCGCTTCGGTGCGACTTAAAGATGATTGCTGGTGCCATTTGATTTACAGGTGAGGAAAACCCGGAAAACCTCACCCACCATCATAATCTACTATTAGTTTAAAAAAAACGACTTTAAAATATTATAAATATAAGGTATGTTTCAACAACGATCAAAAACCAGTCACGTACACCAGAATTCTGCAGTACGTTTAGAAACCTCGCACGGCGCATGTGACAACATACATTAGAATAGGTTCCAGACGCGCCGTGCGATGTTTCTAAACGCACTCCTTGCGCAGTAGACAAGTTGGCGGCTGCAATAATCTACTGCGCAAAATCCTGGTGTCAGTGACTGGTTTCTGATCGTTGATGGAACGGACCTATAATTACAAAACCAAACTGACAAGCTGACAACCACGATGACAAACAACAGTGACCATTCTGATCGTACTACACCAATAAAAGTATGAAATCGTCAATTAAAGAATGTCCGTTCTACAATGAGTATTATCTTATTTCATGTGAGTTGGAATAGAAATTGATTAATTACAATAATTTTTATGCTTACCACAAAATTGGGGCCCATAGATAACCTCTGACAATTCTGAATTTCCTTCATACATAACTCAGTAGTCATGTGATCATCTGTAGCCTCGTCACGTACTCCCCATCTCATATCTACCACCTAAAATGTATAATATAATCAATCGAAAGTGTGAAATAATCAATAATCACTTAAAAATAAAATAATTTAGTTTTTATTTCCTAATATCTCTAATGTCTTCGAAATACACTGATCTGTTGTTCCATAACTTCTTCAACAGACTTGGAAAAGCTTGACAGTTTGGGAATAGGTGAAAGTCACTTGATGCTAGGTGTGGCGAATAAGTTGGTAGGGGGAGGGGGATTTATCTCAAATAGTTTCACTGGGTGTGTGAACGCAATGTCATAATGGATCAGATCCTTTTTGTTTAATATGTTCTTTCCAGAAGAGCAATATAATATTAATCTTTTGAAAGCTAATCGTTTAGAAGTATCTTCTTTAAATCCAAAAAAATAGTAGCACTTATCTTCCCAACCAATGAAAATTACTCAGTCCAATTCAATTTTTGTTTGTTTGTTTGTTTGTTTGTTTGTTTGTTTGTTTGTTTGTTTGTTTGTTTGTTTGTTTGTTTTCACTTTGGGGTTGTGGGGATAAATTTCTTAATTTCGTAGAGGGAATTGGGGTTTAAATTTTCACATTTTCAAAAAAATTGTATAGTTATAGTTTTCGAAACTATAACCAATATTTCTCACCTTTGTAAAAAAAATAACAAACAAATTAAAATTGTGAATTCAATATAGGTATCGTGGATCGCAAATCGAAATCCGAAAAGTCAGAAATATCTGAAATAAGTTGTAAGAATAATTTAAAAATTCGGAAACAAATCATAGAAACAAAATAAAAGACCATCCCCGAACCCCAAAGGTGAAATCAAAACCTTGAAGGTTTGAAAAAAGCCTGTAGTCCCAGGATTCGAATCCACACACCTTTGTTCTCTAGACAAATACCCTTTCTACTTGATCATGACAACATTGACTGTCGAGGTTCTTAGACAGAAATTTGATGTGCTAGTTCGGGCAAGATGATGTTTCAGGCCCGTTCTCAAAACTTCACAAACCTCTATACAGTATCGGTATATGTGAGAAATGCATTGATGCATACTAAGCCCATATTTTGATCTGCCTGAGTTAAGTTTTCAATGTTCGTTAAGCGACGTAAACCCGAGTATGAACATTGTGAATTTAATATATCATAGATCGCAAATCGAAATCCGAAAAGTCAGAAATATCTGAAATAAGTTGTAGAATACTTTGAAAATTTGGAAACAAATCACAAAAATCTCCCTACGAATTATTAAGACCATCCCCGAACCCCAAAGGTGGAAACAAATACTTGGAGATTGGAAAAAATGCATGACGTCAAATTATTCTAAAAAAAAAAATACTTTAACAGGATTTTCTTTTTATATATTTTTACTACTCTAAAATACTCCATCGGTAAGCAAAATTCCAATAGAGCCGGAAATTTGTCTAAGCTTTGTCTGTTCAATTGGATTGTTTTAGAAAATTGACGGATACAGTTGCCAATAAAAATCAATTATGTCCGACAGAAAACTCTGTTAATTTTAATTAATTCCCATGTGACTTTGAGCAAAGGTATTTGTAGATCCATCGATTTTTATTCGTGGAAAAGTTTTAAGTGGGTCAGATTTGTACCATCGCGTACCAAGACGATTCGAGTGCCAAGGGCAATTTTTGCGAACTTATTGAATAGCGTGACTGAATTGAGCAAGTGCAAGCGAATTTTTGGCTCATCGTGAAAGATTTATGATCGAAAGAGCACCGGTTAAGAATTAATGCGACTCTATGCGTCAGGTCATGATGTCGATACAGGCAGGAAATTAATTGGCTTAATAGGCTGGGAGTCGGCCGTATTAAGTCGAAGGGGGATTATTATAGGCTGAATTGAAAAAAATTATAGGCTATTAATTGTTATAATTGTTAAACCACACGTCAATATTGGTAGGCCCTTGTTTTACGAACTCTCTAAAATAACTACACACTTCCAGTACAACAATTTTAAGTTTATTGAAACGTTATTTTATAGTAAAGAATACTAGTATGAAAAATTACTTGTATACAAAATAATTTTATCAAAAAAATGAAAAATCTATAAATGTGGCTACAGAGGTTCCACCAAGATGTGCCTTGTTTAGATTTGTTTTTTTTTATATGCCTTATTGAATAATTTTTAAAGTGTTTTGCAGATGGTGGTTTGTCAAAATTAAAAACATTGTGAGATAATTTACAATAATTTCATAGGACGAAAAAGATAAAATAACATTAGGTTTAAAAAAATATTAGAAAAAATTAATGTTTGTCATTAGTTTTATTTTTTTAGCAAATAAGATGAACAACCGTGAACAAAAACTTTTTTTATTATTAATGATACTATCTAATAACAATTTTTTTCTGAAGTCATTAAAATAGTACAAAATAAATAGCGAAAAGATTAACTCTAGCGGGTTATTTTACATGTATTTAAAATAAATAAATAAATAGTCGTATTTTTCCAAAATAAAAAAAAAAAGATGTTTTATCAAATCGATTTTACTATTAATATGGACTTTACATCAATCAAAATAGAAATTGATTCGTCTGACATATTTGACAGCTTATACGAAAAGTAGATTCATATTAAACCGAAAATACCACAGAGTGGAAACTATGGAGGGTAGAGTGGAAACAAAACAAAAACAAATTTAGGAACAAATATTAACCTAACTGACTGGAGTTGGAGGGAAACAATAAGATGGAAAAGAATTGTTCCGTTATACTTTCCTGTCAAACAAAAAAAAGAAGCTGAAAATTTGGAAAAAACTGTTCAAGATAATTTAAAAGATTCATATGATGTAGATTTGACAAAAATGAGAAGACCCAGAATGAAAATCTACAATTTTACGGAGAATATGACCAAGGAAGAAATTGACAAGTCCATTGTGAAACAGAATGACATAACAGGTGAAATAAAAACCACATATGTCAGAAAAACGAAAAAAGGCTTCAATACTGTATACTGTGAATGTTCAGGAACTACATTCAAACAATTGATACAAGGGAAAAAAATATGTATAGGATGGGAAAGACTTCCGGTTTATGAAGATTTAGAGATACCCAGATGTTTTAAATGTCAAGGTTTCTACCATAAAAAAGAAAACTGTAAGAATGCAATCGTGAGCCACATCTGTAGTGAAGAACATGAAGCTAGGCTTGTGTCCAAATAATAAAATACACTGTAAGAACTGTAAAACTTCTAACGAAAAATATAAAACTGAGTACGACTACAACCATTCTGCACTGGATTTGACTTGTCCCTCTTTGAAATATCATCAAATGGTATTGCAAAATAAAACCGAGTATACAGATCAATAACATAACGTAACTGATATTTGTACACACATGATTATTAATCAAGAAAATAATCTATTAAATTCTATTCAAATTGATTCGATTAATGAAGTCGTTAATGCTGATAATATAACAAATAATAGTATATTATTAAACGAGCAATTTATGGTAGCCATTATTCACGCAGGGTGACGTTTGCGTCCCGAGCCGCAGGCGAGGGGCGCAAGTCACTTGCCATATAATATATATAGCAAAAAAACTTAGATTTATGATTTATAAATTTTATCTTCTAAGCAATTTCTCAACCAGGATCTACTAATAACATTATACTACAGTCTAGTAGAATCTATACTACGGTATGGAATCTTAGTATGAGAGGCCTGTATAGAACTACATTAAATCAGTTAAATGTTATTCAAAACAAAATCTTGAAGTTAATATATGTATAAAAGAGATAGATTGTGTGCCACCATAACTTTATATAATGAAAAAATTAGCAATGTTAGATGTTTATATATTCACGCAGTGTAAAATGATACAAAAAAATGAATTTTTAAAAAACCCTTTAGAACATAGACATAACTCTAGAACTGCATCGAACATGTGCAGTGTAAATTATCTAGGGACAAAGTTCTATAACGCTCTACCTCTTCATATAAAATTATTAAACAAATATAAAAAATTCTGTAAAGTTAGCAAAATATACATTTTCCAAAATAATGCAAAGTTTATCAGAATATTCCAAGAATAACGGACTTAATACATGGATTTTTTTTAAATAGTTTTTTTTCTGTTTCTTGCATAAAGTTTTTTTTTTTATTTAAAAAAAAAAAATGTTTTTTTTATTTCCTTTATAATTCATTAAATATAATTAAAATAAAATTTTAATTTTTGTCATCACATACAGGTGTTCTCACCTAGGTGCTTGTTATTATATAATTGGTTTCCATTATTGTACTTTATTGTAACTTATTTATTATTGTAACTCATTATAACTATTCAGACTAAATAGTGGTCGTAGGAAACCGAAATGTCAAATTCAAGCTAAATTCATCATCATCTTTAATAATAACTAGGGTTGACTTTGTTTGCAAACGCAAATAATGGCTGAATTGTTTTTGTATCGCAGTCCTGCTTACCGTTCTCACCAGATGAGATAGCTTAAAAGTGTTTTTTTTTTGCTTTAAAACATTGAAATATGGCAATTGATTGCTTACACCATATTTTTCATTAATATATTTTACTGGTACCATTTTGTATGCTAGTTTTTTCCGAAATTTCACTTTCGACTAAAAAAAATCGATTTTTTTTTAATAGGTAATCCTTTTACTCTTTGTCGTATAGTACAACCAATAAATTGTCAAATCTTTGTATTTTGGAAGTCATATCTTACTTAGAAAATCAAGTTTTTTTGTTAATGATTTTCAGTTGTATAATGAATTTTAAGAAAGTGGTTTATAGAAAACTTGATTAAAACTATTCCAGGTCAGTTTGGTATTTAAAAAATGATAAAGTCACAATGAACTTTTCATTTAAAAGTAGGAAATTAAAAACAATCTAAGTTTGTAATGCTGTAAAAAATACCTGAAATTCTAGACCATGTTTTTCTCTACAATAATCTTTAATTTTCGGATAACATTTTGCCATCAACGTATTTCTTTCCATTGTAGTATCTGCAAAAATTAAATACCTGTATTAATAAACTCTTCCAAATTAACAAAACATACTATAAAAAGTTGGACAATTCAATCTTTTGTTTACTGGATTGACGAATTAGTAACATTTACCTTGAAAACTTTTAGCGGAATTGTTTGCTGATTTTTGAGGTAGTTTACAATTATTATAATTGATCTTTTTTCAAATAAAATTGAACGTATATTTTGTGTTTTATTGAAAATGTAAAACTAGATCACTGCAATTTTGAATTTGAACATTACACGAACATTCGCATTTAATAAATTTATTAGATACACTATATATCTTAAGAATATAATAGCTATTCATGAAACCAGTTAGGAACTGCCTTATTTTATGTAACAAGTAAATATTCAACGACTTGCAGTGTGTATATATTGTTTTTTTCAAAAAAGTGGGTTATTTTGTCGTGTATTGTATTTTAATTATTTTGTACTGATTTGGACTGGAAAATAAGGACCAAAACAACGTTATTACTAAGTTGTAAGTTAAACCAAATTCTATTTTTTTAAGTCAACCTGCCCTTCTTTGATAAAACTTTCAATAATAATAATAATAATATATAATATTGATTTTAAAACCAAAAAAAGGTTTATTTTTCTTTTCTTTTCGCAACCAGAAAAGCTTAAAATAGGATAAATTAAATGCTTTAATTTACAATGATTGGGCGTATACATTTACTCCAAAAGAGTTTCACCAAATTTCAACATTGACCGAAAATGTATATTGCTGACTTAAAATTAAATATTTAAAAAATACGCGTGGCACTCGGGGACTGCCGCGGTAAAGTTATTACATAGCATTTTTTATCAACTTATTATAATTATTTATTTTATTTATGCAATATTTTTTTTCTTTGATATTAATTCAAGTTTTTTCTTTGATATTAATTCAAGTTACACTTTTTGAACGTGGTGACCGATAAGAAACCAAATTGTTTTCTTTTATTGAATAAATGAGAAGTTAATATTGTTTAAAATATTTTTATTATCTTAGAATACATGTAGGTTATTCAGGAATTTTTACCATTGAAACTATAGGTTTATGGTAACTGAAATAAGAAACATAAGTTTGAGACTTAATATCCTCTAAATATCGCGTCAATGGTGGTCCCATATTTTGTTGTGGATTCTTGTGGATCATTATTCATTTTCAAATTCAATTTTTCCGAAATTGTGTCTAGAATCAGTTAGCAGCTAGTCTACACGCATACGTCTAGTCGCACGCACACAAACACCGTGCCGATTTTTGGATTTTTCGATTTTTAAATTTTTCGATTTTCTTTTATTGAATAAATAAGAAGTTAATATTGTTTAACGCCGCACCGCTGTGCCGGTCGGAGTGGGGGGTGTTAGGTTTTTTTTTCGTTACGCGTTACGGAATTTCTTGATTCGGTCGCCGTGCTCAAAGCCCGCGATAAAAGCTATGCAATAGCTTAAAAATTCCTACAACTAGACGAGCTGAAATTCAGCAGAGCTTTTCACCCTTTTATTAGTAAGGACTGGGTCTATGGGTTTTTTGGTCTTATTTCTCTATAATTAAAATACAAATCGTATTAAAAATAAACTGTTTTTTACCTTCAATTTATCGTATTTTAAGCTATTTTTTTTTTTCTCGAGAATAAGGTAACTATGTTCCTCTTAATGTATGACATTTGAGGATATTGAGTAAATGTATTTAAATTTTGAGTCATTGTAAGTTTATTTTCTATTAGTCTAGTTAATAATTATAATGGAAAACGGGATTTAGACAAATAAAACTAAGAATAATGCGCTAGTTTAGTGTGATGTCATTTTGGTTCCACTGACTTTTAATTCTAACCAAACTTTTAACAAAAACATCAATAAATTTGACATATATGTTTCTATTGTTTTTAGTTTATTTCTAAATATTGTTTACAGGTCATAAAAAATTGTTTAAAAATATGTAATTGGTAACTGAACGATTGTATATATTTGATATACATGCTATCTACTTACTTTAGGAATAAATTTATAAAAGTAAAAAAGTGATATAATTTAGGTAAACAAAACAAACAAAACGCACTCAAAAAATCTACTGTCACTTTAATTGTCAGTGAAACCATAATTACATCATCACTAAACCACCGTATTAACAACTGTTTAAAATGATTAAATATCGCTATTATATGACATAAATTGATAGCACCCAGCTTATATTTCGTCATAATTTTGGTTGATATTTTGCCAAAACATTATTTGTACAATAATTTGTAACAAAACATGCATTTGAATATCGCGTTTTTGGGTGCTATATGTAATAATTTTAATTTCTTCCATCAAGTCATCGTTGTGTTCGAAAATCTAATATATTTTTGCAATGAAATTGCATGATGAGTCAAAATTACTTCGAAACCTTTGCTAATAAATAGGAAGAAAATAATACATGCACTTTTATTCACGACATAAACTATGAATAGTTCAAGGAACGTGTTAAAAATTTTATTTTGAACTTATTCAATTCTTGCTCAAGAATACGAATATACAGAGTGTCAAATTTAAATCTTCCCATTGGCAATATCTCCTAACAAAAAAGGATATCAAAAATTGTTTGAAACAGGTAAATTTTTATTCCAAGTGGACACCCATATCATATTCTTAATTTTCATACGTCATTTCCCTCTACACTAACCCTTACGATTTAAATAGGGAAAGTACAATGCATGATATATCATTGAAAAGATAATTTTGTGGGAAATTCGGCATTTTTGATATTAGAGCCCTCTAGCAGGATAAAAAGATGTTACGAATTGAAAAATGTAACACTTCATTTGACAGCTAATTTTATTAGTAATTTAATCAATTGTATTGGTTAATGTAACGTATGATAATATGATAGAAAGGCATGATACTATAAAAAGAAGGTACAATATTACGCCAATTGATACTACGGCACGGTGACGTATTGTGGTGTGGAGGCGTGGCTTTTATGAATTTGAGGTAACAACTGATCGAAAACCGCGCGTGCATACAAATTTTAATCTGCTCATGACCAATCAGCCATATTCTACACCACAATACGTCATGCGCGAACTCAACGCGATTTCGTCGGCTAAACATCATACCTGTTATTTTTTGTATCACTTTGTGTCCTCTTTGGAAAAAAATTACCTACTCAAGCATTTTTTTATTAGAAGATATTGCCATTGGAAAGTTTTTAAATTGGCACCTTGTATACCGGGTGTTCAAATTAAAGTGTTACAGTCAAATACCTCCGAAAATATACATTTTAGAAAAAAAAGTTACAGACAAAAGTTTTATAGTTTTTTGGGGGAAACATTTTTTATTGGACTTTTACTTTTTGAGTAACAGCTACTTGAAAATGTTGCTGCGCGAAAAAAAAGTTGGCCATATTATGGTTAGCTAAAAAAACGATTTAGCCAAAAAAATTTTCCCTACAAAATTATAAAACTTTCGTCTGAAACGGTTTTTTTTTATAAAGTTGAACACCCGGTATAATGATTACATGATTAAAATGTTCTTACTCTTAGTTCAAAGTTAAAACTAAATAAAGAGTTTAATTCTCAAAATCTTTTTTAATGTGCTAACATTCTACAAGTGTTATTTAAATATTTTAAAAAAATAATTTGCATGGTATATATAAACTAAAGAAAAATATTTCAACATGTTTAACTTACCGGTAAATGTAGAACTAGTAAATATCCTGACAATTTTTGAACTAACTGGTGGTAAATTGTCTAACGATCCAAAAAAAATTTGATCTATCGTTCTGTCGTCCATCTTGAATAGTTAAAAAAATATATTTCTTTACAAATAGCCAGAGTTGACCTTTCAAAGCGCCAAGTATATTGAAGTTTGCGCGTCTCAACTTCTCTACCACTACTAAAATATCACGAAACTTTAGAGGAATAATCGATATAAACCATTATAGAGTTAGTGCTCACCGCAAAAAAAAACATTTTGATGTCGGTGTAAACAGATTTTTATTCTCGACGTGATTGTGATGTGATAATATTAATATAATAAAATGTTTTTTTTATAATAATTCCAATATAACTAATCTAGAAAAACGGTAAGATCGTTAAAATTGCATTACAGTTCTTTGCGTTATAATATTTATGTAAGTCGTATTATTAGAGAAAGAATTAAACAACCAAACACTTTTATATAAGCAAAAAATCTGATAAAATTAGCATGCCTAACATTAAACAATTTTCGAATAACATCAATGTTACCATTAGTAAAAACTCTATATCTAATCTCTTACACTAGTACGTTCAACAACAAGGATTTATTTCAAATTATTTTAAGCAAATCTCAGATGTACTGCAAGGTTCACTTCTTGGGCCCCTACTCATCATAGTTTTATTGGGAAAAGTACAAATGTAAAATACGCTGTATGCTGGTAATTTAAAAATGTTTGCTGAAATACGAGATATAGTTGATTGTACAGTTTTGCAAAGGTGTTTAGTTGAATTATCACTATGGTGTACTGAAAATTATTTACATTTAATTTCTGATAAATATAGTGTCAGTAGGTAATGGGCTACTTGGGAGCCCCCCCCCCCACACTACTTTTTACCAGCCGTATTTCGACGTTTTTAGCGCTATTGATTTTATTTTTAAATCTTATAACGTTTAAAAACGTCGAAACACGACGAAAATCGGCTGGTAAAAAGTGGTGCGGTGGGGGGGCTCACAAGTGGCCCATTACCTACTACTCCACTTTTTAACAGCCGTTTTCGACGTTTTTCAACGTTATAAGATTTAAAATAAAATCAGTAGCTTGAAAAAGGTTGAAAAACGGCTGGTAAAAAGTAGTGTGGTTGTTTGAAGGGGGGGGGGGGGGGCTCCCAAGTGGTCTATTACCTACTACTTCACTTTTTAACAGCCGTTTTCGACGTTTTTCAACGTTATATATTTAAAATAAAATCAATAGCGCTAAAAACGTTGAAAAACGTCGAAAACGACTGGTATAAAGTAGTGTGGTTGGGGGGGGGGGGGGGGGGGGGGGGGGCTCCCAAGTGGCCTATTACCTACTAGTGTCATATCCAAGGATAAAATATTATTTTTCTATCCATTCTAGGTAGTGAGAACCGCAAAAAAAATGAAATGCACCAATCATCGTTCACATTTTGATCAACCGACTGCTATTATTTTTAAAATTTTAAATAAATGACAATTCTGTCAAACTAATTGTCAGTATGTTTTTTTAGTTATTGAGATTAAACATTATTGAGTTTAACAGTTATTGAGATTAAAATGGGTTATTCATGTGTAGAATCGATAAATAATAACATTTCTGTTTTTATTTCGTCTACAATTATAAATAATTTGTTAATTTAAAATAAAACTATATGAAGTCAATTTAATTACGAGTATTAAAGTAACAAAAATAAAAGAATAGGTGGTGCTGAGGTTAGCGTTCTTGCCTTCCACACGGAAGACTCGAGTTCGATTCTCGGATGGGGAAAAATGAAATGAACTTATTTTTTATTTTATTTTAAAAATTATTAAAAGCATTATTTTAAAATTAGTTATTTTGTCTTAATAACCTTAAAATGTTTTTTTTTATTTGTAAATTTTCGTTAGTGGGTCGTAGAAAAAATATACTGTACAACTCGAGTGGATTGTCCACATCGCACTCAGACGATTGAGCACTCCGCCTACGGCGTCGTGCTCAAATTTCGCCTTCGTGCAATATGGCAATCATATCCGCTCTTGTTGCACAAACTACTATTTACGTTTGATTATTAGATTATTGGCCTTATTTTAACTAAACCGGAATTTATAAAGGACCTGGAAGTCCATTTTGATAAGGGTTTTGACGTTCATTAGGCATATCGAGCAGACCTTAGTGCTTCACAGTCATAAATTCTAGACAATTTAGTAATATACTTACAATGAAGTTATATATTTGTTTTGTTAAATGTAGACTGGAGTACGGATTAGTTGTATGGAATCGATCATATAACATCTAAAGTCGTGCTATTGAAAATATGTAAAAAAAAATTATGAGGTCAGCGTCATATCTTTTGAACAATATATATCCCGCTATAGGATTTCCCCATGACCAACTGTTCGTGCTTTGGTTTAATAGAGCTACACATACTCGTAAAATGAAGCAAGCTTCACTCTTATGTAAGATATTTTACATGATGGGTTAGATTGTATTGATCTCTATGATTAACATTAAGGTACTACGCCTTGACCTTGGCATATATAAAGTTTTCATAAAGAAATAGAATAATGTTCGATATGTCGTCCATTTTGCTGCTGTATAATCACCAACCGTACCTTCAAATTGAACATAGCATAATTAAGCATTTCTGGTTGAATTGCAGTAATTTGCTCCCTAATAGAGTTTTTAATTCTTTCAGCGTCGTTGGTTGTATTCACTAAATTTTTTAAATAACCCCGCGAACATTACTCCGCTGGATTAAGATCCGGCCATCTTGGAGGCAGTGAATTTACAAAATATCTGCTTATATTACTGAACTTCTTACCAGTGGAACGCTACAAACTGCTGCTGACCTAATCAAAAATGACATAGCTGTGCAATGTTTAGAGATAATACAATGCATGCGCATTACAGATTATTTGCAGAAAATCCATCGAAAATTACACATATTGGTTGCATATATCAGTTATTAGGACTGGATCGCCTTGCCCGCCTGCGTATTGGTTGTTACCATATTTTCTTGAACTTGCTTATTCTAAAATTTTCTTTGAAACGAAAGAATGTATATTTATGAAATTGTAGGGCGATAAATGCTATTGTACTCTGCATTTTATAGAGGACATGTCAAATTTATGTGACGTCAGCGTTTAGCGTACCGCCGCTATCTTGATTTTTTTTAAATGGCCACGTAATTTGAGTTATATATCAGAAAAAAAGCTTATTTTTCCTCTTTTCAAGAATACTAAAAGTACCACATTACTAATGTAATTCAGTGCTATTTATCACCTTAAAATACCTTATTGCCAGACTTTTTCGCTACCCTGTATGTATAGGATCAGAAAGAAAACAATAATAATATAATACAGTCCTATTCATCACCCTACAATTTCATAATCATACATTCTATCATTTCAAAGAAAATACCTTGTTGAGAGACTTTTTCGCTGCCCCGTATGGGTTATATATCTAAATCGCGATGATTATGTTTGACACTTGTATCAGCAGCGTACACGATAACTCTTTTGTTTTACATAGATTGATGCAACTAGATTCCCTTTACTTTTGGCTACTAGCTTAATTTCTAAAAATGTTATAGCCTTTAAAGTATAACCCTTATTTTATGATACCCCATTTCTGTATCTGTAAGGTGGCGGAAGGGTGGATTTCTCTACAACACTTAGGCCTCATACGGCCCATTGTGCGTCCTGTGAAAACCTGCCGGTTGCCGTTTAAAGGTGTCTAGAGACAGCCATCTTTCCAGCTCATCAAAGTCCTGCAGGGTATCGACCCGTCAAAAACCTGGTGGTTCACGTTAAGTGGTGTCTACAGACAACCATCTTCTCAGCTCGTCATAGTCCTGCAGGTTATTAACTCATCAAAAACCTGCTGGTGGTCGCTGGGGGATGTCTAAGGATAGCCAGCCTCTCAGGTCAAAGTCCTGCAGGTTAATAATGTGGCCGAGAGCTGTCTCTAGATGCACCATTTTTGGGAAGTGGCCATTTAGTGGGCTTCTACCACAGTAATAGTATATACCCGGGCAAATGATAACCCCATATTTAAGCTTCTATTAACCAGCTGCTAATTCAAACATTTTAAACAGCCCTCCATTTTTTTTATTTTAAATGATTTGCAATTATCATCGCCTTCAGGATATCCTGGATATTTTTAGAGCTATTACCATAGAAACATAATAGATATTTATTCTGTTTAAGTTGATATATGTATAGTTATCTACTGTATTTTATAATATATACGTGTACGAAATTTAAACGCGGACCATCTAAGACAAATCTATTAAGAGACGAGCGTAAGTGCGAGTGAGACGGAAGTCATACGTACCGTGCGCCAAACGATCCGCGCTGTCCAGCTGTCTTTGTTACACGCGTGATCCTATGATACCTTGACCAATTCATTGTAAAATAGAGCGTTTAGATTTCCGTACCTATATATTGCATTTGTTAGTTTTTGTGTGATGTTTTTTAAATGTTGTAACATGAATAGTTGGTTATTTTATCTACCTTGATATATGTGTTTGAGCTCAATTTATAGGTAGTGGGTTAGGTTTTTAAATAACTCTAATAACTTTGAAAAAGAAGTTAGGCACCACTATATTTAAAGCTTATACACTTAACTCTACATTAGTGATTAAAATATAGAAAATCACTAACAAATTAAACTTTAAAAAAATGCTTTAGATAAGGTAGGTATCAAATTCTAATTCACATAATTCAAATTTAAAACAATTTATTGATTAGATCAATTGCACTTATCTGTATGGTAAATAAGGTAATATATGGTATGGTAAGTTAAAGGTAAAAATCAGGTATTTCTTCCTTCGCCCCAAACTGCAGAGGTACATCAATCCTTAAACATTATATATACCAGTCAGGCAACTTCAGCCAAGTGATTCGGAATTCTTATTCATAATTCTCATTTGTGGCTCCTATTCGTTATTAAACCGTGAATGATCTTCAAGATATATGATTCTTATTTCGATTCTAACCTGGGCTGGTACTCTGTGTCATGTAGAATGGGGCATGTTCAAAAATTTTGAAATTTTTTTTATGAATAATAGAGTTGAAAATAAAATTACATTTTTTTTATTTTTTTTTTATCTATTCATTTGCCGGAGTTATGAATTTTTTTAAAATGTATGACGTCACCGGGAATAGACCAATAGGAGCTAGC